CTAATGTCACGGGTTTTGATAACAAACTGATAATATGTTATTTTAGAACCCCATCAATTTTAACACTTACAGATTTTGTAATCTGTAACACAAAATAAATTACTTGGGAAAATATTTAACGAATTTACGACAAAATTAAAAATAATATTACATACCCCTTAGTGTCCATTTTATTTTATATGTAGAGTGATTTTTATTAAATGTATATACATACTAAACAACAAACTAAACAAGATTAAATACAATTGCATTAAAAAGTACCTTAAGTTCAAGTGCTGATAAGATTATTATACCATATTAAATACCAATATGTTTACAGAAATTATATAAGCGATTTTACTACTAAAACATATATAAACACATATTTTAGTTTCACGAGTTTGTTCAAATGTTACCATTTTGGTAGTTTTTGTCAAAAGCTGGATTATAAATTTTTTCGATAACTCTCCTAATAAAGATTTTATAAAATAGATCTAGGGGTGTCAAATTTATAAAAAAACACCCTGTACAGTTTTTTATCGATCTATCATGAAAATATATAAATTTATCATATTTTTACCTATAAAACCAAATTTTACAATAAAAAATACTTTTTTTTCAAACGTAGGTATAAATTTATAAACCGCCGTACAATAATGAAAATACATTGAAATTACACAGCAAGAGTGGTTCCATCTATCGCAATAGCTCGAAATAATTGTAAGAAACAGCAAAATTACAGGTTACTGTAGAATAAATTCATACACATAACATATGTCAAAAGTCAACAGTAGAGAATTATTAAAGGCTTGAAAAAAATATACATATGTACATATACAACACGGCATATTAAAAGTTTATATACAAAAAAGTTTATATACAAAAGTGCTCTTTTAGTTCCACCCTTACTTCTTAAGAAGTCCCATAAGCCAACTGAATGGCTTGTGCGGGTTAGGGGTAGGAACGGACCGCGGGCTTAAAGTCCCCTCCGAAGGACTAATACACAATAGTACAAACACAAAGCATAGCATATTAACTGCCTCGCTCAGATCTTGGCAGCGAACACTGAGCTCGGCTATAATATAAGCGCTTTCTCCGCCTGTTAAATAATTAAAAATGTTTGCCATTTTCGGTATTCCCTGTATAATTAATAAATAATAATAGAATGTGGTTTACCAAGTTCATAGTGGGAAATTACAGAAAAAAGATAAAAAATAAACAACAAACATTGAAGAAAATGTTAATATTATGAAACATTTTGTAATTTGTGTATCAAAATTTTTAAAAAGCTGCAATTTATTAAAAAACACTTTTATAACAATTATTCTACCAAAAACTAACTTTTTCTTTAGTGTTAAAATAGGTGAGTAGACAAATAGTAAAAAACGCTTTGGTATAATTGTTATAATCGTAAATAATGTAGTTTCTAGAATAATAATGATTAATTAGTTTGTGACGTATATAGCTGGGTAAACGGGTGTAAACAAAAACAATGAAGGTAATCAACAAAAAATTTTATTCGGGACATATGATACAGGGTAACGCCATGGGCGTTATAAATTGCATTCACATGTTATGAATATTTTTAAATGTAACAAAAACGTACATAGGTTTTTTATACTACAAAATTCTATATCACACTTATGCAATATAATGTAAACTAAAAATAGTAGGACAATGACGATATAAAAACAAAAAAATTAAAATTCTAATAAAAACCCATGTTGTCCTAAAAAACGTCGAATTAAATATAAATCTAAAAACTAAAGAACAGTCAAAAAATTCAAATGCATCTACAAGTGAATGTAGATTTTTGCATAACAAATATATCACAAAAATAGCATTAGAATCAGTTCTGTAATTCTGTTCATGTACGGAAAATGCTTGAACTGACCTTAAAAACATAAAATTGAAAAGTTCTTTACAAAAATTGGAATTAAAACCATTTAAAACTAGAAGGTAGTTAGGTACAACTATTTGATAGTCGAATATTTACATTTTTTGATATTTATCTACCTACATAGATCATCATTCGAGAGATGGTTAATTTTATTTTTTTTAAATCAACCCCTTTTAATAATTAACACAAAACGGGGCTTTTCTAATTAATTATTACATCACAGACATAGGAGAATTGAAAAAACACCACACTAAATAAAGTTCGGTTTCTTTTTTTTGTTGTCAAGCATACCTATATAGCTTTTTGTAAAATGATCTTTAAAATTCTCCTTATTAAATTTAATATAAGCGTATTAATACCAAGTAAGTAGAAGGTATACCAAAGAAAAAATAATCGGACGAAAAGACGTCTCTTTGGCATTATATATGCAATCGCCTATTGCAAATCATTTACTCTTTTACACCATACATATCATCACTAATTTGAAGTTTAAAGGAACATAATAAATAACTAATTACGTTGGCACGCGGGCAAAACACTCAAGAAATACACCTCCACACCTTTTCCTAATATGTAAAACTAAATTTATATTTTAGTTTAGGACTGAATTATGTTAAAAGTGACTTCTGTCTTAAACTAAAATTAACCTGTTTAAACAAATTTCTTCAAAGCGATATAATTTAAAAGATCTGTAAAAAAATGTAAACGTAAGCTCAAAACATGGGTATGTGAATGTGTATTTCTGCGTGGTTAAGCCGGCGTAGTTAACTAAAGTTGAACTAATTGTTTTAATTGTCCGCGTATAGGCCGAGTATAACTGGACTGGAGTCCTCGTCAGATTCATAGAAATATCTTTGTTTCGGCGACAGACCCAATTTGACACGTCTGACAGCTTCGTTCACTAAACTACCATCTTTGAGCAATTTTTGCAAGAGTTCGTACGGATCCTCTGAGGCGTCTTGCGGCTGCTGTTTGCGCCTGTTCTTTTTAATAATATCACATGAACTGGGTACGCGATACGGCGAGGCGCGAGACGATTTTCTCGATATGTGGCTGCAAGGCAATGCTTTCATACTGCTGGCGGTTACTGCGGACAATCGCAGGTTTTCTTTGATTTCCAGAACTAAACCTTCCACGTCTTTCGAGCTGATCTGGAAATCCGGCCCTCCGTTGTGATTTGACGTTGTCATCGTACAGTATTCCGCCGAAGGCATTATTATTTCACAATCAACACATATAACTACCAGTTCATACAATCAAAACAAACACTTTGTTTTTATTTACAAATCGATTTTTTAACAATGACTTTACTCAACACTGTTCTCTTTACGACTAAAGCGCCACTAGCCAAACCGACAACTCATAACTGTTGTTTGGGTGCGCTTACGAAAAGTAGTTCCATGTAAACATTACTAATTTTACCTTAATTTAAACCACAAAAATCGAATATTTAACCCAAAAAACCTATATATAACTTTTCTTCAACAAATTAACAACACGGAAAGCTATTCCCAACAATTTTATTTACAATTAATATAAATGTAAACATAGCAGAGCGGCGTAGGAATCCTCAAATCAAGGTTACGTTACGTGGTGTAGAATGGTAGACAAACGTCACGCAAAGTGGTGGGGGGTGCTATTTATTTACACTTTTTAATTTGTCTAAAGAGGAAATTGGAATTGTACAAGAAACCGTTTTTATGTTACCCAATATTCTTTCCTTACTACCTATACAGGGCAATCCAAAAACTCGGAAGCGAATTTCAACATCAATTTATCTCCTTTCACATACAGGGTGTTTAAAGGAACAAATATTTTTTTGTATTTTAGACAAATTTGCTTGAAACTCAAAAACTGAAAAAGCTGTTAAATTAAAATTTGGACAAAATATACATATTTATATATAAAATTTATAAATATAATGTAAAACTCGATTATTATCCTCAAGATTATTGCTTATCGCGCGTGTAATACCTACCTACTAAGTGAATATTTTTCAATTTTTTGTTAGCAAAGTGGTTTATAATCATCAGCTATATGCGCTGTTAGATGAAAAACTTCCGTAAATCAGGAAGTTTCAACGTTAAAACAGATTTTCTAAAAAAAAACATGGCACACACGAGTAAGCTAGCTATTTCATATACCTTGAAGTAATACTTCAGAAGTATACAGGTTTTGTTTTGGATATCTTTGAAACTGGAGAAGCTAAGAAGAAATGTATATTTTTGCAATGTAACGTTAATTAATTAAAGTAATATTGCATACTTAAATCTATTTATAATAAATCCAAAATAAAAGAATAAAAATATTAAACGGATTAACATTTTAAAATGAGAAAATAGTATATTATGTATCAAGTTGGATAAACGCCATTTTATACACGAATAGAAAAGTTTATAAACGAGGTGCATACTATACTTTTTCTACGACAAATACTTATTATTATCTTAAAATGGTTTAAATCAAAAATTTGTATAGAGCGCCATCTATGAAACAACAGGGGAAACTGTCAAATGTCACATTTTTACATTTTATAAACACAATTATAAAGGTTATAAATCGAAATGTATCTTGAAAATTGACAGTTTTTCACAGTGACAGTAAAGGAAATGTTTTATGAGGACTTTACAGTAGAGTCCGTGCCCGAATTTAAGTTATAGTTTACTGCCGGCGAAATTAAAAGGTCAGTACAATGTTCATATAAACTTTTTAAATATTGGCGTTGAAAAACTATTTAATATTTTTGTATTTAATAAAATAATTTTCACATTTAGTATTATTTTACAAGAAAGGCACTTTATTTTAACGATTGTATGACATTTGACAACTGTCAACTAACTTAAAACTAACTTCAGCCCGTGACTAAAGCGCCGTAAAGCCACAACTTGTCAATGTGTATTTAAAAGGTCACTTAGTGTCATGGAAACATACGTACGATAAAGGGCATTTTAAAGGTGGGAGTAGAAAAATATATTAAATTGATTTTCAAGTTAAGTGTTGAGAACACATTTTAAAGTGTTTAAAAATAATCAAATAAATGTCTAAAACTGTATCTTGCGCCATCTACCGCAACACGTTCAAATTTGTTTTTAACTTAACCTCTTTTAAAATCTAACCTCGTCTTAAATTACGTACAAACTTAAAATGACAACGATTTTTAGAAGCTTTCTAACAAAATTACGTCAAGCTACAATACCGACCAACTACACCAAAGTAGTTTTGCAGTTTAATTTTGATTTTGATAATAATTTGATATTTTTTAGGGTATTTTGGGTAAAAAATTGTATTGTCAACAAAGCCCTGTAACAGAAGAGCAAATATCATCAATATTAAAGCAAAAATATCCTTTGGCCACAAATATAACAGTGGAGGATGTATCAGGAGGATGTGGGGCTATGTTTAATATATTCATCGAGACAAATGATTTTAAAGGACTGACTGTAGTAAAACAACATAGAAATGTGTATGAAACTTTAAAAGAACAAATTAAGAACATACATGGCTTACATGTTGAGACTAGAATACCAAAATAAATTATTGTTGTAAATCATAATAGCAAAATGTAATGTAATGTAAATAATTTTGTATAATTTTTATTAGAAGTAAAGATAATAATAACAAATAGTTAAAAACTTACTGCTTAATTTCTTGAGCCATTTTCACCACGACACAGCTTGATTAAACAGCAAACAAAACAATAAAAAATCTCAAGATTCAACTATTTTGACGTTTCATACTACATAACCTCAACTTTTGTCCAATAAGAAACGCCCCCCTGAAACAACGAAATTTAAAATTAAATAACTGCTTAAACAAGTATGACAATTATAAAAATTTGGTTTTTTTTTCAGGGCAAATTATACTTGATTATGTAAAATATACAAGCAATTAAAAATCAGGTGCAATTACGAAATTGTTATTTAATTTCCTTATGTAGGTATTTAGGTTATTTTTGTAGGAAGAAAGATCTAGCTAACAATCAAACTTTTAAATTGATTTAAAAATACAGGGTATTATTAAAATACATAGGTACCTATGTAAAATAATATTATTAATAATATTATCCAGGATATCTAATAGGATAGTCGGGATCTTATAAGACATAGGTACCTATAATATTATTACATATAGGTATTCACACAATTTTTTTTAGTTTTCTCAGTATTGCTTGCAAATCATAAATTGGAAAAGCTAAAAAATTGAAAATTAGACAAAGTAGCATGTATAACAAGGTTAGTATGGCTCTAAATTTAATTTACAAGATTTTTGGTTATGTATTTTAAAAGCTGCAGCTAGTTCATATTATTTTTATAAACCAGATTTAGTTTTGGATATCTCGTAAACTGGAGAAGCAAGAATGTTGAAATTTGGACAAAATAGGATGTACAACTGGATTAATATGCCCCTTAAATTTCAAAATTATTGCTTATGTAGTTTCAAAGTTACCATGAATCCATATATGGAAATATATTTGGTGTTGGGTATCTTAAAAACTGGAGAAGTTATAAAGTTGAAATTTGGATAAAAATGGATGATTAACCAGGGTATTATGCCTTTTAAATTGCAGGGTTATTGCCTTTGTAGTAAAAAAGTAAAAAGCCATTTCACATGATTTTATTCATCTAGTTTTGTTAGTTGATATCTTAGAAACTAAAGAAGCTAGGAAATTTAAAACAAAATAGGATGTATAATTAGGTCATTATGCCTCTTAAATGACAAAGTTATCGCTGATGTAGCTTGAAAGTGGATAAGCAATAGGGTGAGCCAAAAAAACTAACTGCAGTTTTAGTGATTTTTTAAACTTTTCATAGCTTTCAAACATACGAATTTTTGAATTAAAAAAAATCATCCTGGTATAGATTCTTTGGGAAATTTTATGCTCTACAAGAATCCGCGACGTAAAAAATTTTCAATTTTCAAACGGTTCAAAAGTTATAGTCTTTTTAATGAAAAAAATTTTTTTACGTGTTATTTCAATGGAAAACTTAGAATGTTCACCGACACCTTTTAAAATTGAGCAAAAAATTTTGCCTTGCAGGGAATTTTTTTGCTCGGTATGTAGGTTCATTTTAACCCATAAATCCGATAGGTTAGTTTTTTTGGCTCACCCTAATAAGCAAGAATGTTGAAAATTGGTATAATTGGGATATAGGTTCTCATAAAAGTATTGTGCTGAAGTAAAATACATTGTTTAAGAAATTTATAAATTATTTATTAAACTATACATACATAAAATTAAAAATAGTAAAAAATACCTATCTGGAAAAGTAGTGAAAAATAACAGAGGTGTTTCCTGTGAACAACATTTTTAGAATAATTTAACAATTTAACCTCACCGGCGGATGATTAAATGAATCGCATAAATTTGGATAAGAAATTAAAGTTTGCTTGGTAGAATTAAAGTTCAGTCTTGTCCGCTTTCGCGTTACCCTTCCTGTCGAATCCTTTGAGTTCAGAGGATGCGTGTTTGGCGATGTACTTGACAAAATCGTCGACTTCGCGGCCACCTTCGTATTTGACGGGCGCGTCCTTGGAGCCCTTGGGCGCCCAGTAGATGGTGGGGAAACCCCTTACGTCGTACGGAGCGGGCACATCATTGGCGGTGGCGTCCATCTTGGCGATGACCACGTTCTCGTCCTTCATCTTCTCTCCCAGCTCGTCGTAGACGGGCACCAATTTCTTGCAGTGTCCGCACCAAGGCGCATAGAACTCGATCAGCACGTCCTTATCGTTGTCGACCACCAGCTCGTTGAAGTTCTTGGCTACGGCCACTTTGACTGGCACATCGTTGTTGTCCGGAATGGCTTCGGATTTTAAGTATGGCTCCAACTTGCCGTCCAACACGTCCTTAGCGAATACTGTCAAGGATTCCACGGAGAATTCCTCTTTCAAAACGAACTTCTGGTCCTTGGAGTCGCGAGCTGTCACGACCGGTTTGTCGCCTTTAACGAATTCCAAACCGTATTCGTTCAGTTCGTGTTGGAAGTCGTCCTTCGAGCTCACGGCAAAGTTCAGTTTACCGTCGAATTCTTTGGCAACCTAAAAAGAAGACATTACCTATATTGACTTTATTGGGAGTTTACAGAACTTACTTTAAGGATTCTGTTACGCCAGTAGTTGGTTCCTTTGGGATTTTTGACGTAGTCCACATTGAAGTAGGCAACAATCAAAGGATTTTCGAATTCCTGCCTATTATCGGATTTACGATGACCGACCAAACCGTGGCTAAAAAAAACGCAAATATAAATATGGACAATATTATAACACATACTTGATGCATAATGCATTTATTCAAATGTACCTATGAAATGTAATGCCAACAATTATGTGTAGATTTATTGAAAACTATTGAAAAGTTAAATAAACAACTCATAAATAATATGATAACGTTCTGCCATAACTTTCGTTATACACTTTAATTGAGCCAAATTATATTACACAACTACAATTTTTATCTAATTTATGCAAAAATGTGAAAAACCCTTGAAATATAAACTGAAGATAATACTTACAAGTTTTTGGTGATAAAGGTTTTGATGGAATCTGCATCGGATTTACCGGTAAATTTGATGGTGCTTTCTTCGAATTTGTTGTTTAAGTGACTGGGACGGAATAGAACAATACCATCGCTATAAAAAATGTAACAATAAAAATACGACCTTAGATATTCAGACAAGTACAACTTACGTAACTCCTTGTTTGTCCAATACATCTTTGAATGTGGAGTGAGCAAAACGAACTTTTTCTCTGAGTTTATCGGCGGTTTTCAAGAAAGCAGCTTTCAGGTCAGATTCTTTTTCGAAGAAACCAACAACAGAGGCTTCTTTTTCTGCTGTGAGGAATTTCTCCAACTCGGCAACGGATTTTACTTCCTTTGAGCTAGGACCGACCTGAGCTTTCATGTATTTCACAATACCTGTGAAAATTTCAAGTGATTAGTACTTTTGATGTGCACTGTACATTGGGAATGACAAATTGTCATTAACCTTACCTGCTGCGTCTCTAGGTCCGCTGTATTCCTGCGAAACCTCACCATTTCTGTAGATTTTCAAAGTGGGATACCCACTTACACTGTTTTTATTACACGTTTCCTTTCCGGCTTCGGTACAATCAATTTTAACCAAAGCGACAGGGGGATCGTTCCTAATTAAATCTTCGGCGGCTTTAGCATACTCAGGTTTTAATTTTTTACAGTGTCCACACCTTCAATTAAAAAGTTACTAAACAAAAAATGACACAAAAACTAAAACACTTACCATGGTGCATAAAACATTACAAGAGCGGTTTCATGTTCGGCAATTATGCTATCGAAATCACTGTCCCCCAATTCCAAAACGTCCTCTTCTTTTGCATTACAACTCAGGTAAAACAAACATAAAATAAAAATTTGATAGAGACGCATTTTGACGTGTATTATTCTGAAGCCGGCTGGTTCGTCTACGAACTTCACTTTTACACAAAACCGATTGTACGTGGCCGCGCATGCGCGCACATTATTTCTTTCAGCGTTGTAACGATCCTATTGGTGTAAATTTTCATGACATGAAATGTACGTTTCGGATTGGACAGTTTGTTACTGTAAATTCGCTTTTGTTAACTGCGTTGCCTATCTATCCAAGTACACAAAAATATACAGGGTGTTTCAAGAAAAGACTGTTTGATGCTTACTGGGTGCCTTCGTTCATTCATAAAAAGATCTACGTGTATAACGGGTGGCTACCCCGAGTTTTAAAATCTTTTGTGTCCTTGGATTAACTTTTAAACCGTGCAATGCTATATTTTACTTTGCACAACCCGTGCGAAATACTTTTTTGTCGCGCAATGTTGATTCTGGCGTGTGATGTCCTATCCGGGAGTGCAAAACTTTCTTTTGACGTGCAATACTCTATTTTGGAGTGCAGTAACATATTTTTTACATTTAAATTGATTATTTATCGTAAAAAAATGTTTGTTCGCTATACAAATAGGTATATTTATCTATATTTTTTATGTTGCCCAAAATTAAACAAAAATCTTACCAGGACAAAAATCACTAAAAACTATATTAAGAAGATTCATTCATGTTCTAGAAAATGTAAACCAACTTATCTTCGAAATACAATATAATAAAAAAACCATATCTTTAAAACGCTTTTATAGCACTTTGAAATTTATTTAAAATACGAAATCAAAAATTTCATTCAATTTTAACATTTGACCTCTAATTTTGCTGAACTGTACATTGTATTTTCTATTTAAGCTTGGAAACAAACTTTAAAATGTTACACTTCTCTGACTTTTGCCTCAGATTATTGTGTCCAAAATGTTTCTTAAATTTTGTGCGTGTTTTCTTGGTAAGTTCTTTTAATTTATTGTATGTTTTTTTTACTGGTATAACTTATTGCAAGTTTTTTTAATTTTGAAGTTATCAATAATTCTCATCTCTTTATTCTAGTTGGGTTCGCTGTAGCCTCGAACCCAGGCTGGAGAGATGACAACGAATACACCTACACAATCCAAGGAAGAACCGTAGCTGGTTTACAAGATGTCAGCGATCAACATTCCGGTATTTTGCTTAGAGCTAAACTGACCGTACGACCGGTGTCAGATGAAAATCTGATGGCGAAAATAAGCAATGCTAAATATTCCCAAATCCACACTAAAATGCCTGAAGGTTGGAACAGCTATATCCCCGACTCCCAATTGGAATGGAAAACCCTGGATATCAGCGAAAAGTATTTCAAAATCGTGATGACCAACGGTGTGGTGCAGGATGTGATAGTCGACCAAGAAATCTCCAACTGGGAGTCCAATGTAATCAGAAGTATTGTGAGTCAATTCCAACTCGACACTAAAGCCCAAAACATCATTCCCAGCCCAGTCAACACTCTTCCCGATGGTAATAGCAACACAGCTACCTTTAAAACCATGGAGGATACAGTAACTGGTAACACAGAAACTTTGTACGACATCCACTTGCTTCCAGAATACGTTCTCCAAAATAAGCCATGGTTGGCCCAAAAATACGATCAAAAATCCAACGAGCAAGTCATCGAGATCGTGAAACACAAAAACTACACCAACGGTGCCGAAAGGCCTTCCTATCACTTCGGTTTGTTCAACATGGGTTATATGGAGCCCACCTCCAACACAATGGGCCAATTCTTCACAAGATCGTCACTAAGCAGAGTTATTATTACCGGAAGTCTTAATCGCTTCACCATTCAAAACAGTTTTACTGTGAATAAGCTGGTTATGAGACCCACTTTAGTCGACGATCAAAAGGGCTCCGTTGTGAGCATGATGAACATAACTTTGACAGAGATCGAGAAAAAATCCGAAAAACCACAAGACGTTAAGCACCCAATTTCCCTTGGTAATTTGGTGTACAGATACAACAAACCCTATGGTGATAACAAAGTGCGCTCAGCTAACCAATTCGATCACCAAGAAGAAGAATTAATAACCAGTGAGGAATCTTTGTTAAACCAAGGTAGATTCCGCAGAAACAGCGAGTTAAGTCAAAAACTATTCAACGATTTAATCTACGCGTCTCTTCGCGAAAGATACGCTCAAGTACAAGAAAACAACGATCTTCATCTTGCCCCAGAAGCTCCACTATTGCCTTACACCATGGCTTTTAAGGGATCCAGCATCAAACAAGATAAAAACTTTAATATCGTCGAAACTGCACGTAAACTGAGTCGCGATATCGGCCATGACGTTCAAAATCCAGAAGCTATGCTTGAAGAAGATACACTGGCTAAATTTACAACCCTTGCTTCTTTGTGTCGCGTTATGGATGCCGAGGAGTTGAGAGAAGTCGCCGACGAAGTATACAGTAAAGAAGAAACTGGTCCTAGACATGGTGCTTGGGTGGCTTTCAGGGACGCTCTGGCAGAAACTGGCACAGGACCTGCTTTATTGACCGTTCAAAAATTGATTCAATCAGGCAAATTGCAAGGCGATGAAGCTATGAATGTCATCAGTACCATGGCCTTGGCGGTTCGTGAACCAACTTTGGAATACATGCGTACCTTTTACACCATCTGCCAAGAAAGTCAAGGTGAATTACGCGAGTCTGCCCTCTTATCCTTTACAAACCTTCTACGTAAAGTATTCGTAAGTAAAAACCAGTCTCACAACAAATACCCCGTGCATAGCTTTGGCTCTTTCCGCACCGAAGAAGGTAAACTTTTCACCACCAAAACCGTCATTCCTAACCTTCAAGAACAACTCAACAAAGCCATCCAGAAAGGTAATTCCCACGAAATCCTCATCTTAACCCGTGCTATCGGCAACATCGGTCACCGCGATATTCTTCAAGTGTTTGAACCTTACCTCGAAGGTCACAAGCAATGCTCGCAATTCCAACGTTTATGGATGGTCGTAGCTTTGGACAAGCTTGTCAAAATTGATGCTGTGCGCGCCAGGTCCGTCCTTTACAAAATTTATCAAAACATGGGCGAAACTCCAGAAATCAGAGCGACCGCCGTCTTTCAAATTATGCGCACTGCTCCTCCAGCCAACTTACTGCAACGTATGGCCGAATACACCAATATTGACACCTCCAAGATGGTTAATGCTGCCGTTAAATCTTCCATTGAGCATGCTGCTTCTCTACATGGAAAAGAATTTGAACAACTGTAAGTTTATAGTTTATATTAACCAGAAAACTAGATAGATTGTTAATTTCAATATTTTTTTTATAGAAGAGACGGTGCCAAATCAGCGATGGGTCTTCTTAGCAGAGAAGATTTTAGCCTCCATCAAGCCGGAAACCACATCCGCACCTTCGTTTTTGAAGAACTCAACATGCTCTACAAAAATACGTTGCAATACGTAGGCGATAAAAACTCTTGGTTCCCAAAAATGTTGAAATTCGCTTTCCGCTCCAGCAATGCCGGCATTAGGCGGCAATGGGCTGTTGTTAATGCTTTGGTATCCAGCGTTGATGAATTATGGAATGTTGTAGAGCAAGGAACTGAGGAATACAAAAAATCGCGCCAATCTTTAAACAATGGAAAGAAGAATCAATGGTCGAGTGCCAATATTGCAAGATTGTTGAATTTGAAAGCTGACGAACGGGAACAACTCGAAGGTTTGTTGAACATTGAGATTGGATCCTTGCAAAAGTTGATTACTTTTGACAATAAAACATTGGAGCACTTGCCCAGCTTGATTAAGGCTTTGGAACAACAGTACGAAGAAGGAAAAACTTTCCGCACAACTAAATTCTCCAACAGAGATGAGATTGCTTTCTCATTCCCCACTGAAATGGGTTTCCCATTCTTGTACACCTACGATAAACCCACGTTAGTGAGTGTAAGGGGGGTATCACAAGCATCAAGCAAACCTAAAATTGTAAACGACAAACATATTAGATTGCCCGAATCAGTGACCGGCAAAGTTGATTTGCACCTTGTTGTTTCCACCAAGATCAAGGGAAAATTGTCTTTCATCACTCCATTTGACCACGAGCAATACAGCGCTGGCTACGATAGAGTATACCAAGTAAATATTCCACTACGTGCCAAAATGGATTTGGACGTTAAGGAGCAACAAGTCAAATTCGAAGTGGAACCATTAAAGACCGACTACGAAAAAGTTTATCTCTTTCACGTAAGTTCCTGGCCTTATACATCTGTACACAACATCATGAGTCCATTGCCATTATCTCGCACCAACCGCCAAATAATGCAGAACGAACAAAGAAACATTGACACAATTTTCGGCAAAAAGTCCACCGGGATGGCATTACATCTAAAAGGCAACTACGAAAATATGCCAGATTTAACTTGGTTTAACATCCTGCAAAAAGCCATGCAAGGACAATGCGCTTTCCTCCAAAACCAAATGCAACACGCCATATATGACATAACCTATATCCCCAAAGAATCCTCCACCAAAAAACTCGCCATCCACTTTGGAACTCAACACAAATACAAATCCAAGAACAACGACGATAAACACGATTTAAGTCACTTATATAACAGCCCGCATCAATCCATGGCACGCGAACAGGATTTCGAACGCAAATCTGGATCAAGCATGCGCAATGCTGACATCGCTTCCTACGACGCCACCTTCGATTTTCAAGGCCACGATAACTTCAAGTACACATTCACCGGAGCCGTTGCGAAGAGCAACGTCGATCCAACCTCCAGAGTGTTGTTCTACTTCAAAAAATACTCCAACAGTCAGGACAAACACCCCTACCAGTTCGCCATAAGCGCCAAAATGCACATTCCAAACAAAAACGAGTTGAGCGTTGAGGATGCCCTTAAAAACGAACCAAACGCCAACGCGCAAGTTTACATGGCGTTTGGTCGCGAATATCAAACCTCACCGAAAATCAAAGCTGAAATTGAATTTAGCAGAAATCCAAGCACCAAGCAGAACATCATCAAGCATCCCACCTACCAGAAATGCAAAGAAGAGATGGCTGCCGGGAACAAGCAGCTCCACGCATGCGCCGAATTGACCAAGTGGGCCAACAGAATGGATGTTATGCGTGTAAAATTGCACCACCATAATGTAAATGAGGAGCTTTCTACATTAACCAGAAGTTTGTACGATGTGTTGCGGTTTAACTACGAATCCATGGTGCAGATTGAGCAGTTGGAAAAAGATCACGCTGAAGAGTTCTTGTACGAGTTCAGGGCTAACCCAGATTGGAGATCAGTTAATGCTTCATTAAAAATGCAAGGTCAACATATCACCGTTGATGATGTCAAAGTAAACCTAGGCTATTTAGTGAAACAACACGAAGTCACTTGCTTGGTTGATGAAACCGCTATTAAAACTTTCAATGACAAAATTCATGATAGCACCATGGACGAAAAGTGGACCGTATTGTTCCAATACGTACCACAAAGGGCTAGGAATCAAAAGCACAGGCTTTCAGTTGAAGAACAATTAAGAAACGAAATGGAAAATTTCGTCGTGCTCGGGCGCCAAGTCGACAAAACCCGCAAAGAAGTCAAAATCACATTCAACACACCTGAAACCCAAGGCGAAACAGTCGAAGTCAACATGAAAACTACTGGGCACTCTGTCAAGGTTATCGTTGACGGACAAGAAGTTAAAATTACCGATGATGAAAGCTACGATGTCAAACACGGTTTGATGGAGGTATACATGTTGAACAACGGAGAAATCAAAATGGTGATTAAAAACCGCTTTGCTGTTATCTTTGATGGTTCCAGAGTTAAAATTACCATGATCAACTTGAAGTTCAGCAGCTCCATCAGAGGAATCTGCGGTCAGTACGAAGAAAACCTCGATAAAGATCAAATCACAAGCGAAAAATGCGTACACAGAGATTTCAACAAATTAATCGAAAGCTACAGGGTTGAAGAAGGCAAACAACGCAACTCCATCCAAGACCGCCAACACTGCTCCGACATCCACGAGGTCCTCTACGCTAACGTCATCTCCAACATCGACGCCGGCAGAAACGAAAAGTACGACACACAGCTGGGCAAGCTGCCAAAACTCTGCTCCATCCACCAAACCCGCTACATCGAGGAAGAAGAACAAATCTGCTTCACAAGGCGTCCATTCCCAGTCTGCAAATGCCAACAACGCGGCTCATTGAACAAACAAGTGTCCGTACACTGCGTGCCAAAAAGTCAGGTCACCAACATGTGGAAACAACAAATCGCCGAAGGATTAAGTCCCAGCTTCGAAAATAAACCGGAAAGCAAGTTGATGCAAATTGCCCTACCCCAATCTTGCTCTTTGTAATGAATTTGCCGTTTTACTTTCAATAAAATAAAACTAATGTTATGGTTTTTTTTATTTTCGCTGCTTTCATGTCTTTTAGAAAAGTTTGTTCATCTGGGAGTCATATCATGCAATATTTTAAAAACAAAGATTACAGCCAGTTTCATAATCATACTTTAAAAGTAAAATTCGACTTTAAAAAATGTTGGTGTTTTATAATACTTTAAAGTCACTTTAAAGCCACTTTAAGTTAAAGGGCCGATTTGGACACATTATCCAACTATAACCTTATCTATTGACCCATTAAGTGGGTCAAAATTTTGTCGGTTTTCAATAACTTTCGTTATAAACCGATACGAAGGCATATCTTCAAGTTCAAGTTCATCTGATGAGGAAAATCCGGAATTATTTTTAAGAAGAAGAAAACTATAGAAAAAGAGAAAACAGATTTGATGGTTATGATGATGTTGATTTTTTCGACAGATTTCGTCTAACAAAACCCACCGCTCCATTCCTTTTTCAATTAATCGAACATATGATTATTTTGCCAACAAATTGGCTAGAAAAAATAATATTTTTAAAGAAAGTAATAGTTGTGGAGCAAAAATGTTTTAGGGGTGGAAGTATTTCCCCAATGGTCCAGTTTCTTCTTACACTATGCTACTAAGCAACTGGTAGTTTCTTAATTGCAATGGGAGATTTTATGGGGGTGTCAAAACCTTCAGCGAGTCGAATGGTAAAAAGGGTCTCGGAAGCCAAGACCAAGGTTCATTGGAATGTATTAAAATAACAGGGAAATGGTAAAAAGTGCTGCTGAGTTCTACCAATTAGTGAGTTTCCCTAGTGATTGGAGCAATAATAATAATAAAATGACCAGGTGGAGATGATGCAGAAATATTTAGAAGCAGAAAGGGCTTTTTTGCTTTTAACGTGCAGACAATTTCAGATGCTTATCTGAAAATTCGGAACATTGTCGTTCGTTGGCCTGGTTCCATGAACAAACAATATTTAACAATTCATGAGTGAAAAGGGACTTTCAAAATGGAAGATATGGAAGATACACATTAATAGGAGATACTGTAAGAGGTAAACACACCTGCTGAAAATTTGTATAATGAAAGCATATTACGTTCTAGAAATGTTGTCGAAAGGCAATACGGTGTTTGGAAGCGTCGATTTTCAGTATTATAATACGATATATCGACAGAAATATGATTGAAATTAGAAACGGCCATGTTGGTGATTGTGGCAACTGCGGTTATACACAATATAGCTGTCGAAATGAATGATGATTTTCCAGATGACTGGTTTGAAGATCCGATTGTGGAAGATGAAGATGAAAATTTGGTAGGGGAACATGTACGTCCTGGTGCGAACATGGGAAGACATGTTAGACAACTCCTAAAAATAAACATTTTACAAGATTATAATAAAAAATGTATTTAATAAAATGTTAATGATCTTTTAAAAATACTTTTATTACAAAATTTTAATACATATTTATATTAATTACTATATTACGTATATGTATATTATTTGAATATTTATATTATGTATTTATATTATTTACTTTATAAACTCTTTTGGGCCTTCCTGATTTGTAAATCCAATAAAAGAATTTTTTGCGTGCATTTCTTGTTCCCTTGCTTCTCTGTTATGGGCAATTACTCGATTCTTATTGCCTCTTCTTTTGCTTTTCGTTGAACATCTTCAATGACTGCTTGCGTCAGCTCTAATTTTTTTTGTGTTATTCCCCTTTAGCTGAGAAGATTGGATTTGGAAATTTTGGTCTGAGCCCTATATTTACAGGTTCCATGGCTGAGTGAATTTCTTTACTAACAGCTCGTTTAACTTTTTTTGCTAATGAGCTTTCTACAGGATCTGAAGGCTCGGCATTCTGCTATAATTTATTTTATCAAATAAGTAACAAATTTTATACCTTCTAATAGGAATAGAAAGTTCCTATAAAAATTGTATAGGTACATATTATGTGCTCCTACCTCCCAATAAATTTCAAAAATATTCTCATTTACATCCAAGGATGTTATATCAAAGGATGTTGATGGATAGGATGACGGTTTTTAGAGAAAAAATAAACAAATATAAATTAAGTTGTGGAAAAATAACTAAAAACTGTATTCAGATATGAATAGGTAAGTATAAGAAAAAGTAAAAATAATACTTACCAACATCTTCTGACTACTTACAAATTTGCTGCTCACTTTCGATGTTATTTTTTGTGGTGACTGGAGTGTCCTAAACAGAAAATTAAACACTGAAAAACTATACACCTGCTTATAGTATAAGCATTATACCTCCAAATCATCATCACAGATTGGAACCAGACCACAAACAGCTTTATAATTTATAATATTTATCACAGCTTCTAGAACAGAGTCGGAATGTAATTTTGTTGCTGGTCCACCTCCAGTGCCTTTAAAATTTTTTTTTCTCTGCTGCCCACTTTCGTGCTTTAGTCTTGAGATTATCATATTTTGATTTTAACTGATCCAATGTCCTGGGGTATAAGTTATTGGCATTAAAACCAGATAAAACTTTTTTCCAAGCTTCGTTCTAGAAAATTGTGGTAGGTAACAGTGGCGGCTGGTGGATTTTAAGTATACCAATATCTCAGTTATTAGACATGGGACCCACACCAAATTTATAATAGTTTATATTGACATTAAATAAACAAGTTCGGCGCAAACAGAATTTAAATTGAAGTTTGCGAAAAAAAGTTAGTTTTTCCTGTCGCCTACCCTGCCTCCAGGCCCCCCTATTTGAGATAATTCGAATTAAAGTCGTGCAATTTATTATCTACTATAATTTATCGACAAATTTAAAATTTTATTCAAAAAATCCATATATTACAGATTTTATTCGATTTTAAATTTTTATTATTTATTTTATTAAAATAAAAAAATATTTAAAATGGTATAAAAACTATAATATTTGGATTTTTTAAATAAAATTTTAAATTTGTCGATAAATTATAGTAGATAATAAATTGCACCACTTTAATTTGAATTATCTCAAATAGGGGGGCCTGGAGGCAGGGTAGGCGACAGGAAAAACTAACTTTTTTTCGCAAACTTCAATTTAAATTCTGTTTGCGCCGAACTTGTTTATTTAATGTCAATATAAACTATTATAAATTTGGTGTGGGTCCCATGTCTAATAACTGAGATATTGGTATACTTAAAATCCACTTATTTCTACCTATTTATCAAGTGGAGATTATGACGTATTACATTTTCATTGCCAGAAATATTGTTGGTCTTTTTTTGTTTTTCAATTTCATCCAACAAAAGAAATTCCTCCTCTGTGGAGAAATTATTACCTCTTTTTAATTTATTACTGTTCATAGTGAAAACACGATAATAAACTTACTAACACATCTGTCAATTTTTGTCAATTTTCGGCTGGGTCTAAATTTTCATTAGTTAAATCTTTATAAAGATTTAACTAATGAAAATTTAGTTAAAATTTCGAATGGGTAGGATTATGAAACACCTTAAAAGTGGGCTTAAAGTAAAACTTTATCTTTAGTTAAAGTACATTTTAAAGTTTGATTATGAAACTGGCTTTTAGTGTTTTAAATGTTATTTTTTGTTTAACTGTCATAAAATTAAGTACATTTAACATTAATTACACGTTAGCACAAAACATGCACTTCTCACAAATTAACAAGACCAGTTGGGAGCAACTAAGCAACAATAAAAATAAAATAAAAAAACAACTGACACACTTTACCAAGTGCAGGAACTATCTGACCAGGACACGGACAATGACAATAACGAACAAGACGAAGACCTCGACTACGAAACTACACCCCTGCAGCGAAATAACAACTCCCCAACTCCAAATAGTAATCCCAAATGTTTGGAGTAATACTAATCGACTGGTCTAGGGGGATTCCGCGTCGTACTTAGTTTTAAGTCGGCGTAATTGCCCCCAAAAAACCAACAAACGTCTATCCCTCCCGTCCCTCCTGATACCCTATTGGGCGTATAGCATCGGCTCGGCGAACCCGAGAATGGCTATTAAAACTATTCGCATGTCGCTCTCGAGCCAAAAATAGGGGTCAGTACGGAACGCAATGGACATTCGTACCCAGCAAACACGGGTGAAGCCGTGCAGTTGCTGGGGGCGAACAAAAATCGGCGTAAGTAAACATAGGCCTGTACGGGGTCCGGGAGTGATGAGGCAATGGGGCTGGTTATACGTCTCTTATACTCATACTCATACTCATGTATATTTATTACACTGTAGAATTATACGCATTATTTTATTTTGTAATATTTGAAGTGTTTCATGTTCATTTTTATTTAGGACAAAAAGAATTATTGCACAGTATTCTATATGCTGCCTATCCTTCTCAAAAAGTATTTTTTTTATTAATTTTATTTTGAATATATTTAAAGTAAAGTACACTTGTAGTTATAGTAACAAAAATAAAGCACAAATTATTACATAATTGATTTATATAAAAGTATAAAGATACAATCAATAAATAGAATATATACAAAAATTAATACAATGTATTAGCTAAATAAATAAAAACATTCAGAAAATCACATTCATTTGGTATTTTTCCAAAATTAATTTTACTTTGATTACATTTACCAAAGGAAATTTTGTAAATAAGTACCTAAATCATTCACACCGAATGAACTCAAGGCTTTCAAAAAACTGAAAGAAGAATAAACCGAATAAATCGATTAAACAATCACAAGATTCAAATACTGTTCTTAAATAAATTTAGACGATTAAGGCGTCTTTACATGCATCCACAGGAGTCCACTATCATATTCGGCAAAGACTTCACACTAACAGTTTTATTAACTATGTAGACCAACTTCAGCTCAAGAAACTGAGTTGCGGCACAACAAAATGTTATCTCTGGCCTTTCTTGGGGGTTGTTATTGCTGCGAGGAGTGTTCATTATTTTCTGAAAAGAAGATGAACGTTACGGAACGGTCATTAAAATCATTAAAATACTTACTCTTAGAACAGAGTGGTGCCCTGAAGCACTTAGAGCAGTTGCTGCTGGAGATATACACGACCCTTTGCAAAAATAAGCATTATATCCTTTTGGTTGAATGATCCAGTCGCTCCATCCGATTTCGGCAAATGAAACATAAAGACTTTCTTTGCAACATTCGTTTACACCGGGATCGCAAGTTATTGATCGTTTGGGCCTTCTGTGGATCGATTTTCTTCCTCTTGAGTGCGTGTAAATGACCAAGAAAGGTTTTAAATTGCTGGTGAACGATATTGGCGATTGATTTTTGTTCATACCACATGTTTTACAGGCGACGTTAATTGCGTGGAGGGGTGAATCCTGGTATTCCAACCAGTTTTTTACCACGTATGTTACATCAACTTTTAACCAACCCTCTGTAAAAAAGTACATAAAGTAAGGGGTGATGTATGGAAATAAAAATACATTTTAGATTAAACAAATATTAGAAATATTCCCTAACACCAAAACAAAACACAAAGTGCTTAAGGCACTTTTCCTCCAACGTTGTTGGCATCTTCAGAAGCGAAGTGTAACTCCCCAATAAACAATTTGTACTACTTATGGTAACGATAAATTATATAAAGGTTATATAAGAGTTGTCAAATTATATATGAGTTTAACAAGGTTTCAGTTTACTAGTTTTATAATGATCATATAAGGTTACTGTAAACTCTAAGTATATAATTAGGTTATATAATTGTTTCTACAAACACTTTATATAACCTTTTGTAAACGTTACCAGTGGGTTTTTAAAGAAGTTTATAAAGTTTGCGGTTACCTGTTCTATAAAACTATCGTGTCTTTAATTTTTTTAAATAAAAATTGTGAGTTATTAGATATTTATGTGCTTAATAAACCAAAAATGTTTAGTAATTGAAACAGAAATTAAGCGGAGTATTAGCTTTCGACGCAATGTTTTTCATAATTTTAATTAAAAATTGGTTGAAAAGAAAATATTTAGCATAGAATATATAAGTAATATAATATTACTGCAGGCAAAAATGGCGAACCTGACAACACTTACCTAAGCGGTTAGATGGTTGCCTATCAAAAGTTTTATAACATCACTTGTAGTAATGAAAGTTACTACAATGTATATAAGAGTTTTAAAATTATATAATAACACTTTAAGTAACTTAGATAGTCCTATAAAACTGAACTAGTAGCTTAGGTTATATAAAATTACCATGAGCAATATAAGAGGGCTCAAGGTTGATACATTATTTCCGCCATGATTGTTTTTTACATAAAATAAATGTTAATAAATCGTATTACAAAATACAACTTAATTGACCAAACCAAGGTAAAAAAAATCCCTACTTTAATGTAAAAAAAAGCAAAAGAAAGATATTAATGTATTTAAACAAAATATTTTCATATAATTTTTAATAGGATAAAAATATTTATGTTTTGGTATTTTGATGTCCCCTGCTGTTTTTCGAAGTATTGTGTACATATTTACAATAAAAATTGCACTTTAAGTCGTATTGAGTAAAAAATCTTAGATTTAAATTATATACCATTAATATTTTTGCCATACTTGGCTTCTCAAAATATTCACGTGGTTTAAACAAGTTAATTAATAAGATGACAATAAGAAAGATAGCGTACCTATGAAGAAATATATATTTTAAATGGGTCTGAGGGAGAGAGAAATATTAAAATAAGGCACAAAGCCAGTAGCAGTTCTTTAGGAAGTTATATAGTGGTTTCCATAATATTTCTGTTATCTCTAGTTAAAAACTTGGGTTTTATAGTGTTACTAAAATAGGTACCGATAACCTTCATAAACTCCCCAAATAAGCTCTTTAAGGGTGATATAAATATTTCTGTAACCAAATTAAGAAATTTAGGTTTTATAATTTGAATGATATAACAATTATGAAAACCACTATAAAAACAAAAATGTTTATTGGGTCAGTTACACTTCCCTTCTGAAGATGCCAACATCTTGGCGAAAAGTACTTTAAGCACTTTGTGTTTTGTTTTGGTGGTGGGGAATATTTACAATATTCATATCACTAAAGTTGTCTTTTTCAAATACCTTTTAGATTAGTTTCTTGTATAGCAATCGGTTTGGTTTTTTGGAAACTTTTGCCTGTATCCCAGTGAGCTACCTCTGAAACCACAAAGGTTTGGTTGTGCTCATCCAGTATATCTTCTTCCTTATGAAACCATAATTGGGCAGAACTGACATCGGATGTGTGGATATCATTTGGCATTTGAAATGGCAGACATGCAGATGGGACGCGTTCTTTTCTCGAACATTTAGCTTCATCTAAAAAAAACAATAAAATATTAAGTAATCGAGCCAGTTCCAAATAAAATTTACTGGCAAAAGACTTATCATCAAAGTTTCAAAGTTTACTAAATCGTATCGAGGCCGTGTTATAAGGGTATGCTAAAGATTAAAACAATTATCTTTTGTAAGTACAAAGATTAAAGGAAATATTTTTTTGTTCAAAGTAAATTAAATCCATGTCGTTATTCGTTTTAGCTTATTTTAAAGTCTATAATTAACTTCTAAACAAATGCAACATTTAAAAATCAGGGTTGGGTTGCGTTTTTTGAAGATAACTAACCTTCGTAAGGAAAAACGATGGCCTGGGTGGTTTTTGCATAGAACTCGTCGGGACTAAAGAAATTTTCATCAGTTTCAGGCAAAAGACTGTAATTTTCCCTCAGCGGTAATGGTAGATTTTCTATTGTGGTGGTGGGTTTTTCCTTTAGTCGCAATTTCTTCAGAATTTGGTTCTTGATGTACTCAATTCTGAGAGCAGTGAATTCTTGTTCTGACACAGTGTATGGTACTGTTGGGTCTTCCATAACACTGTTTTCCGATTCTTCCATGTCTTCATGGTTGCTGGAAATAATCGAAGGCAGCTTGTATTCGAAACCGAATATTGAACGCACCTCTCTACCCGATATATTTTCGCTCGCGAATATAACCACGAATAGAACAGCCAAGTGAATACGTATTCTCATTTTGATTTTTTTCTCAAACCCGGTGACACACTAGCTTGTTTACAAATTGCTTAAAGATTGACGCTAAGAGTCCACTCTTAAAACTTAAAGTTTCTTTTCCCCACTACTTTTGATTCCTTAACATTTCTTAAACGAATGATAGATGAACCTTGAACCTGTATGTCTATCGGAACTAGAATTACTTATATGTGTCCAAAATAGATAACAAAGGCATTTCTGATTAAAGCACGTGCTTTATCAATCAATTTTCACCATTCCCCAAAATGATTTTTCGCAATTTTTCTTTTTTCCTCTCTATTGTTATCGTTACATTCAACCGGCTACAACTTATACAAATACAAATATTTACTATTTTATAATATTTATTATGTATTGTAACAGTCGTGGAATATTTTATGGGCACCTTAGTACCAGTTCCCTTCTGAGAAACAGCAAAAAAGAGAATGATGTAATAGATAATACCAACTGGTGTCACCCATATGAGAAAATTGTAAACTATTAAACATTTTTGCATAGGTTAATAATGAAAGTCTTTTTAAAGTAATCAGCAATCAATAAGTAATAAATAAATATCTATAAAACTGGTTGTCGATCCCGGATTTGTACTCTGGCCTTTTATACATAAATATGAGTCAATTATTGTATGTATATAAAATTAATTCATTTAAATGTTATTTTGAAGAGCCAGAATATATATGTGTAAATTTCTGACTATACGCGGCGTAAATCTTAATGTGTTTTTGGAAAGACCTAAATCAAAGAAAAAATATTTTTCTGTCGACACGTGTCAGATATTTTATTTTGCAATATTTATAGTAAATCAATTATTAATCATATTAATTAGATAGATAGATAAAAATATTAATACAAATGACCTTAACGGGCAAAAATTTGAAATGAAGATAAAATTCCTTTATGCAACTAATTAACATGCCAAAGATCCTAAAAAAGATCACATAAAAATTGTAGTAGTAGGACTTAAAAATTGTTTTCATTTCTGGGTGGTGTTTACGTTTATTTCTTTCTATAGGAGAAAAAGACGCGAATTTCTAAAAACTGTTGTTTAGTTTTTGCTATTATTTTGTATGATCTGGACAAATTATGTTAATAAAAGTATAAAAAATATTTTTAGCCATTATTAGGACTGGGCATGAGTGTGTAGAGTGTCTTACACATAAGTTCGGGTTCATTAATTAACGATTGATTCCATTTCGAATCCTTTTTAAAATATACGATTAGAATGAGTATTAGAAAAAATCCTGATAACATTTAAACTTAATAACCTTTTTAATTGATACGCTATTTTCATATAATTATATAATGGGTTCAACTTTTCACTTTTTTCCTAATTTTGGCATATGCATATATATGCATATAATCACATAAAAAATGACTTATGTGCAAACAAATTTTTAATACAGCCCTGGCTAATACTATCAGGGGCCGTCATTCGGTTTTATTCAAAGTTTTATTACTATAGTTTTAAAGCGACTTATGAGATCGCAATAAGAGCATAAGTGTTACTTGGGATTTTTCTGCACTAATGTATGTATATTTTAATATTTTGTTGTTAAATTATTTATAACAAGTAAACAATTGCGATTAATGTTGTTTTGCATGTTTTGGATAAAAAAAATCACAATATGTTTACCCAAAACTCAAAATTTTGATTTTGTTTTCAGCCAAAAAACAGAAGAATCTTTAATTAACATTAACAGCGTGATTAATTTTAATAAATATAATCATAAAAAATAATTACGAACGATAAAGATGATCCAAAATAAAAATAATTAGCTTTTAATTAAAAAGTAATTTTAATTTTCCCCTCTAGTAACAAGTATTATATTTAAATATTAAAAAAATGTTTACTACATATAAAATATACATTTCATAATTTAATTTAAACTATGTTTTAATTTAAAGTTAACTTTTGAATCTATTAATATTTTCAAGTAAATACTAATTATAATTTTAAAAATAAACTAATAACTATGAAATAGGCTTTGGAAAAATTTTGATGCATAAAAAAATAGTGATTCGAAAGGAAAATGCGTGAATACAAATCAAAAAAATACCTATTAATTTATTTGAAAACCAAAAGTAATGACATGGCACTATTTTTGTTTCTGCAGATAATGTATGATTGTCAAAACCTTGTACCATTGGCCTATTTACAAATTCCATATTTTGTTGAATAAGAAATTCCAGAAGTATTTTTTTATTAAATTAATAATTATTATAATGTTTATTTATTTTTGATTTGATTAATTTAATTTTGATTATGTAATAATTTTATTTAATAGTAAAAATTATACAGGGTGTCATTTAACTTGAAACTTTGAAATATCTTATTTAGTATGCATTTTACGAAAAAATGTTTAAAATGATTCGAGGGGGGAAATCAATCAGTACTAAAATTTAGAATACCCTATTTTTGATTGCAGATTCGGATCATTCGACTAAAAATAGGTAGATTTTGTCTAAAACATTTTTTCATATTTGTAATAGATGGCGCTGTAATGAAAAAAAATCAATTTTGTTCGATTTTTCTTCTGTATACGATTCTCCAATAATTTTTGAATAAAATACTCTAGTGTGCTTAAATGAGGATTAGCGGCCGTTGCTGCTAATACATTAATTTCATTATTTCCACCTGTGACTCTTTTTTTCGGTTGAACACTCCCCCCAGCAAACACATAAGTCAGGTAATGTAATGGCCCATTACAGCGTTTAATGGTTAAATGATGGCATTTTTAACCCAAGCTGTTCTTGTACTGGGCCTTTACAGGAATTTTTCGTTAATAAATGTCAATTTAGACCAAAGGCTGTCGTGGTAAGGTCTTGCAATGGCCCTTTTCAGGCAATGATATGTATAATTTAACATTAAAGGCCCACATATGGCAATTATAAGTATCAAGTTAATGGAACTGTAACATACCATTACAGTGCCAAATGTTTTCCTTTGCTTTACACCATATTTACTAATGAATTGCCTCATGTTAGTGGTATTATGCATATGCATATAGAAAAATAATATAGGTTTTGAGATATATTAATTAATTATCTAATAGGTGTATTTTATAATTAATTATTAATGAACTAATCAACTAGGTAGTACCTTTTTCAAGTAAGTATTTTTACTGTACAATTTATACATTAATGTCGTACTATTTAATAACCTGGGTTAATATATTCTTTTACTAATGATACTTTTAAGTAAAAATTAATTAGTTTTTAGAAACGGTTAGGCTAAAATTTGAATTAGCCACTACAAAAGATATTGAAAATACTATAAAAGCATGGTTAAGGGGAGCAATCGACAGGAATGGTGGTCGTAAAAATCGAGAGGAAAAAAATCAATGAAATTATTAATTTTTCTTATTTTAATTTTTTTTTATTTACTGAAAGAAATTTGATTTTATTTTATAATATTTGTTAAGTTTTTTTTTTAATTAAATATGTTATGTTATAATTATGTTTGAATTACATGTATTTTATAACACATTAAACACTTTGTATTTTATTTTTTGAAAGTTTTAGGGACATTCCATGATAACGAAATTTTTGTCCCGACTGTTATCTACACTGCCCGTCAAAATTAACGCATAATAAGTAAAAAAATTCTAACTCTAAAACCCCTTTACCAATCTTTATAAAATTTTGGATAAAAATACTTTAACTTATATCTCATTTTACGTTTTCAAGGGTTTTTCGAAAAATATTTTTAAAGCCCTTTTATTTAATATTAAAAAAAACGTTCGAAAAAAACTTTTATAGGGATTTTTTTTAAGTAAATAAAAAATATGCTGTTAAAGACTTTATTTATGTTAGTAAACCCTGAAAATTTTGTAGAAATCAAACGAACAGTAACGAAGATACAGCGCTTCAAAGTCGGTAAAAATGACCACTTTTCAGCAAAATAATCAAAAAGGGGTCATTTTTACCGACTTTGAAGCGCTGTATCTTCGTTATTGTTTGTTTGATTTGTACAAAATTTTCAGAGTATACTAACAAAAATACGGTCTTAAACAGCATATTTTTTATTTACTTGAAAAAAATACCCTTCAAAAGTTTTTTTCGAGCGTTTTTTTAATATTAAATAAAAGGGCTTTAAAAATATTTTCTTGTAAAACCCTCGAACACGTAAACTGACATATAAGTTTAAGTATTCTTATACAAAATTTCATAAAGATTGGTAAAGGCGTTTTAGAGTTAGAATTTTTTTGCTTGTTATTATTTAATTTTGACGCGCAGTGTATATAGTAAAGTACCTATCTATTATGGTGGATTAAATTTGGTAGGTATATATTTATTAGGTCGGATATTACACGATAATCGGGAATGTTTATCCCTACCGTCAAAAATCGGTCGGGATAAATTATTTCAATTATCATGGAATATCCGCAGGGCCGTGCCGTGATATGATGCGGAGATGCGGCCGCATCAGGCGGCACCGTAAAGGGGCGGCATTAGCAGCAACATCAAAATAAAAAATATAGGTTTTTAAACTGAAAGATATAGATGACAATAATACTTTCGGTGGAAAATGATTCAGATATAAATGCAAATGACCTACAAGAACTAAATGATGTATCCTTGATGCTGAATTATTCTATGAAACCTTTAGATGTTTTGAATTACTTGTGCCAAAATAACTTAAATACTTTGTATCCGAACACTTTTATAGCTTTGCGAATTTTATTAACACTCCCTGCATCTGTAGCTAGTGGGAAAAGAAGTTTTTCAAAATTAAAACTAATAAAAAATTACTTAAGAAATTCAATGAGCCAAACAAAACTTAAAAATCTATCAATAATATCTATTGAATCTACATTAGCTGCCACTCTTGATTACACATCTTTAATTAACAAATTTGCTAAAATAAAAGTTAGAAGGGTAAAATTATAGTAACACTTAATATTATTTTTAGAGGTAGTTTATATGTATGTTTTTTTTTCAAAATAAAAATAGTTTTCATACATTTTGTGCAGTTTTCTTGTGAATTCCAATCGAGGTTATTAAAGAGAAAACATTTCAATAGCATCAGTTAAGGGCGGCATTTCGAAAACTTGCATCATACTGAAAAAATCTACCGCACGGCCCTGAATATCCGTACCTAGTTAATATACAGGTATATAGGTAGGTACCACATTTAATCCGACATAATAGGTACTTTACTTATCCATTAAAGAATATTTAACTAACCACTATAGAATCTTTAACACCCCATATAAGAACCTTTAGCTTGCCACATTTGTACCTTTAACCTGCCATATCGGAACCTTTAGCGGTTCTTGTAAGTGTCTTTATCGACTGCCGTTACATGCCCATAAAAGGTGAACGCGACATAATATGTAGAGGTCCATTAAAGTCAGCCTTTGTAGGGCCTTTAGTTTATTAAAGGCACGCGTTTAAAGGGCCATTACAGAACCTTTACGTTTGTGTTTGCTGGGCCGTTTGTAGTAAACTGCTTGACTGTACGGTGAAATGAACTACGTGATCGAATTTTATCCGGAAAACGCTGAGCGTAGATATTAACCCAGACTGCAATGAAGGTTCGAAAATATTCCAGGAATATTCCCTATCGCCTAGGAATAATCCGCTTCATTCTAGGAATATTCATTGGGAATATTCCTAGAATGATCCTCTAAAACTTCCAAGCATCATCTAAGAATATTCCCAGTAAATATTCATTAATTTAGTTGCAATACCTCTCACCGTTGCTTACGCACGCTTGATAACTATATATACCGATAGGTTAATAATATCAGTTGGAGATGTGCGTCTGTGATGGCACAGCCAAACAATGATTAGAGTGGGGCTGATCTACTCAGTAACTCATTAATGGCTATACTTAAGTTAAGTTCCTGGGTATAAGAGGCAATAAGGGCTGGGAATAATCCCCAAATTATATCAAGGAATATTCCCCTAACAATCCTTGAGTCTTCTGCAGGCAGATACATGGAATATTCTTTTTATTATGCCTGGATTAACCAAAAAGCGGACATTTGATTATGCCAGGAATATTCCTGGGAATATTCTGGGACGCTTGGAATATTCCTGGGAATATTCCTGACATGTGCAGGGAATGTGATTTTGCGGTCTGGGAACAGCATCATCAAGATTCCTGCCTGCTTCTCCATAAATCAAAATCATTTCTATTTGTTCTTCCACTGTTAAAAAATTCATTATGAATAACTGCTTAACGAAAGGAGGTCTTTTTGTTTGCAAATTAATCTTCGAACTAAGTTGATTAAATAATGCTAAACTATAAATAGTTTCTTTATACCTCAATAATAATTATTATTTATAACTAAATACCATTTTTTATATCTCAACTATGATTAAATTAATTAATTGACAAAATAATGGGTTTTTTACCTTAATTGAGGTATTTTTATTAGAGATAGTACAATAATCCTTTAAATTAAAGGATTTAATGCTGACAGGTAAAGAGTCACCATGGTGAGCAATTTATAATTATCACCGAATGAAATAATGTATAAAACTTAAACCGAAGGAAACTTAAATATTAGTTAAAAAATCGTGGGTTCTTAAAAAAATCAGATTTAATTTAATAAGATTTAAGATATTTCCAAAAAAAGTGATATTTTTATAGAAAAATTATTGCAAAATGGTATACAGAAGAAAAATCGAACAAATTGTTTTTTTTTTCATTACAGCGCCATCTATTACAAGTATGAAAAAATGTTTTAGACAAAATCTACCTATAAATGACTCACTAGTCACAACGAATTAGGGAGCACTTTAAAAATTAAAAATTCCCTATATTTCACAATCTTTGTCCGACCCCCGTATAAAATTCAGTTAGTAAGTAAATTAAACCCTGCCTTGAAAGAAATGCTTATAAAGTGGCCAGCTAATAGTCCCGATTTAAACCAAATTATATTTTTTTATAATTTCCTTGGAGCGTTATGAAAAGATCAAGGAATTCTTTGTTTTATTTATATCACACCTTATTTGAATTATTTGGATTTTAATTTTTTAACTTCAATGGATCAGAAATTTTTAAGTAAGGGTAACTGAAGAACAAAATTTGACTAAATCAACCTGTTTTTGCTCAAGGTCATATTTACTATAACTCAAAAGGGTGGCTAGTTTTTAATTAAAAGCCCTGTATATAGCCAATTACTGAAATAATTGTTTGAGTTTTTGACTATTATTACAAGTTAAACAGGAAAGATGTCATAACATTCTCCGAAATGATATCACAAAAATTAAAATATTCTAATGATAATAATTTTAAGCAGCACGCTTCAAAATTCTGATAATATGGCTCGGACATCAAATATATTTTAATAAACTGCGTATATAAAATATTTATTCATTATTTATTGCACTTTTGTTTATTTAAATTTAATCTACATTATTTTTGATCCCTGTAAACAGTTATTTATAACTTTTATTGCAATATTCAGCTCCTTTTTGTCGTTTAATTTAAAATTGTCAATTAATTAATTACATTGGTAAAATTAAAAATCTCATCTAGCAAAGAATAAATAAGTTAACCGTTTAAACATTTTTTGTTTAATTTGAATGTTTCGCAATTGGGATAAAATTTAAAACAATTAAGATTTCTGACCTACCATAACAACAATCGGTTTAAAATATAAGCCATTGATAATGAAAATTTAAACAATATATGCAATTCTCTTTCTCAATGTTTAAATTGTTAACTTATACGGGTTGTTCAAAAAATAAGTACCTGGGAGATTTTTCTTGAAATTTGCTTACTTTCTATAGAAAACGATCTCTATAGATATTAATAAACCATTTAGGGCAAGGTATTTTCCATCGCACCTAGTGTGCTGTGGAGAATACCGTGCCCTGATTGGTTTATTGCTTTCCATAGAGATAATTTTCTTACTGCTCAAAAAAAAGGGTAATATTAGATAATAGTATATGTATATGTATTACGTTTTATAAACGCAACTTTATTTACGCTTGCGAGCGTGTGTTTAATAAAAACGAGGGTCTAGAAAAGTTTATAAAACGAGTTGAATACTATACTTTTTTTACTACGAACAGACATAAGAATTTAAAGCCAATTTTAACGATTTTAACCTTACTTTTCCCAATTTGTATATCAGCCCGTGACTAAAAGGCCATAAAGTCACAGCTCGGCAATGTTGGAGTAGATAAAGTACTTAAAAACTTTAATTTTCGGTTAGTTATATTTGGGATCAGAGTTCAAAATATATTTATAAATAAAAACATAACCGTTTTATTATATCCGCATAATTTAAAGGAATAAACAATTTTCAAAATTTTGTTTGTTAACACGCGCTCTTGTTTACTATGTACATACATTAAAATAATTTTTTGGCATATCGCAATAAATTTTTTTATTTTACAAACTATCATTTGTCGAACGCGTGTATTTATTCGAACACTATCATATGATACATATGTATCTTAAAGAAAAACATTTTATGAATAAAACGTTGGGGGTATCGCGAAGATTTAATTTTTTTATATTTTTAATGTCAAAACGGTTATCTAAATTTATACCAAGGGCGTTAAGAATCATTTGCCAATTAATCAATATCTGCGATACTTTTTATTTATTTTTAAATAAACTAATCTGCGAATACTTTTTAAATTAGTCATTATTTGGTCAAAAACAACAAAACTAAGTAAACAAACTTTTGATTTTGTTTGCCTCTTATATGTGTGTAATTTTGTTTGTGGTAAGCTGGGAAAACCAGCTCAATTAAAAAGTTAAGTTCTGAAAATTTTATTATTTTATACTTTTTTTTTTACTTTCTATAGAAAATGATCTCTATGGAAAGCAATAAACCAATCAGGGCGCGGAATTCTCCAAAGCACACTAGGTGCAAATATTTTAAATAAAAGACTTTTTGACAATTTTTGTGTATATAATAAAGAACAAGGCTTATAAACAATATATAATTTTCTGACTAATATTTAATACTAGTTATTAGAAATAATATATTTATTAAACAAAACACCTTGACAAAATAATAATAATAATAATAATAATAATAGAGTAAAATAAGCACACAATTAAAGGATAGGATAATTATCACTTTATACAGAGGGGCAAAAAATAAATGTCATCATACAAATTTTGCCACTCTGTTTTTTAATAATAAACTAATATATTTACTAAACAATAAGTATTTGTCTGTTAAATAAAATAATAACTAGCATCAAATTCGAAAAATAATTAGATGCCTATGCAAGTACAAAATATGTGTTTGCATATTAAAAAGCTATATATCACTGTTTCAAAATGAATACGAAACTAACTGGACGTACCTCTAACTTTTAAGTAATGAAAATCTGAGCATTTTAGCAAAACGCGCCATAATTTAACCACTGGAGTGAGGTTGGGACATGATGTCGAAAATCAGCGTGATACCACTTCTTTTATAGAAACAAGTCACTCAAAACAACTATACCGTTGAAAAACACGATTTTTGCTATTAATTTGTTCTTAAAATTGACATAAAATTATTTTTTAATTAAATTTTTTACCAATTTTCAAACGATTTAAATATTGAACATAACCTTGAAACCACCGTCTCATATATAAGAGCTTGCTATTCGTAATTCTTGACACATCTGTTATAAAAACGTGACTTCACGCGTCATCAAAGCGTTTTGAATCTTGCAATAAAAAATGCACGTTCCAACCCCATTGAATCACTCTGTATATATCGCAAAATATTGGGTAGGTATACTATACACAGGGTTTTTAATTTTTTACGTAGAGATATGTATAGACCTCGACGCCATAAGTAGTTAAATAATGCTTTTTTATAATAAATAAATTTGTTAAACAACAAAAACCCTGTATAAGGACTGGTTTTTATTATTATAAAAAATTTTATTAGGCTTATACCGTATTTTCACGCTAAAGGTATACAGTGCCGAGTGCACCCGAACGCTTTGAAAGAGAGTGGGGATTTTTTGCCACCGAACTGTGTTCGGATGCACTCGGTACTGTATACCTTCAGCTTGAAAATACGGTATGTTTTACTATTTTATCAGACTATCACCACTTAAAAATATCAGGAAATGACTATAAACATAACATGAGTAATTATACATTAAGGAAAAACACATTATACTCTTTTAGGTAGAATAAAATCTATAATATATAAAAAATGATTGTTGGAAGTACATTTACAGAAAAACCCTTACTTATTTAACAGAATTTACACCAACTATTGGGTAACGGCAAATGTTGCACCTTGAAATCTATTGCGGAACCCAATTTTTAAATAATCAGTAATTGGTTCATGGACAAGCTGTGTCTGAACTTCAAACTGGTTGACTTATGTAGACAGAAAATATCGCGTATACTGAGGTCATAACCAAAGTAAAATATTGCATTAAAAATTACCGATTATTTAACAATGGGTGTGGTCTCGCTACCCTGTAGTATAGAACTAAAACATGACGTTAAACATTTAACACAAAACAAAAACTTGTATACAACATATATTTAAACCCCTTGAAGTTTCTCAAAAGCTCATAAAAAAGAAGTTTAGTATTTTTTTATAAAAACGTTAAAAATTAGAAATAATCACAACCACAAAAATGTATTTATTATGTATGAATATATTTGTAGAAAAATGTAGAAATAAGGCACTACTTATTGGAAAAAAAATTGTCACATTCCATTTTGCGAGCTCCTGGTGCTTTTCCTTTATTAAGTAACTTGTTTCCCCTTAATAAATAATTACTGCCAACATAACTAACTAGCCACGGTATCCCCAAAAAATAATAAAGAATAAGTAGGTGGAAATAAACCTTAAGAGAAAGGACCACATACATTTGATCGTTTTGGGGATGAAAAAAACTAGGTTCAGAAATTTGCGATTATAGAAAATGATCTCTATAGAAAGCAATAAACCAATCAGAGCCCGGCAAGAAACACCTCAGGATTCTTGAACTTTTCTAATAAAATAAATGGGGGGTACATAATAATTATTATTTTTTGGCGATAGTAAAAAGGATCACAGCCACACTATCTCATACGCTCATACAAAGACATTCAATGCCACAAAAATATAAAAAGAATCATCATCAAATCAGTTCTGAATCACAGTGTTGTTCACATCGAAATTTTGCAGAAGGCACTGGCCAATCGGAAAAATCAGTTGGTTTCGTAAGTTGTCAGCAATGCCGCGTCGACAGGTTCCATGCAGCTAGGACAAGTCAGACTTCTCATAAGCCAGTCGTCGATGCAAGACATATGATAGGTGTGCATGCACGGCAAGTAGCGCAAAGAATCACCGACCATGAACTCGCCCATGCAAATCACGCACTCGCGCGCCTTTTTGCAACCGTCGTAGGTACCTGTGGGCAAGTGTTGGATCAAACCGATTCTTTTGGCTATCTTCACTTGCTCCTCCTCGGTCAGCTGCGTCACCGATCGGGTCACGCTCGGAGACGGGTGAAACACCGGTGATGCTACCTGGATTGGGAGCGATTCCTAAAACAAACATCATCATTCATCTTACTTCCTCACCTACATGTTTACAAAGCTCTTACACGTGCAAAAGTGATATTTTGTTATGTATATATATATATGTATATGTATATCGTCTAACCCGCAGCAGAGCAGCAACAGCAGCCCAGCAGATAAGACCTGAAGATGGTACATACGATTGTACCGAAACGTCGTCAGACATACGGTCCTTTTAAGAAACAAAAACCGACAACACGGAGCAGATCCCAAAAAACCATCAATACATATATATATATACACATATTGGTTCAAAATCAGTGCAGTGCCAGAAACACTTGTAATGTAACGTTTGAACTCTGTCAATACCAAAATGACAACTAACATGGCCACCTACTAATCTTAGTTTATAGCTTTCAAGCTACTAACAGACAACAAATGTCGGCCATGTTTGGGTCCCGTGTCCGCTGGACACTGTCCAGATTCTGGACAGTGTCCAGTCGACTCCAGACTCTCTTTTTATAGGCAAAGGTGATACTGAGCCACTTAAATAAAAAAAATTACAATGATTTTCATTATCCGAATAAGAGTAATACATAGTTTTATTTAGATCAGATCACTACTGCTAAAATCGTAAACATCTTTAAATTAAATAATTGAACACAATTGCCAGTGCAACAGCTGTATTTTGTTTTGGTGGTGTTTTATTAAGGTTCACTTTCATGCGGCGATATGATAATATGATTCATATAAACGCACCCTAAGCGTGGCGCGCAAATTCAAAATATCCGAAAACCCCGATGAGTGACAACGCAAATTGTTCACTCTCTCCCTTTTTTAGACTTCCTCGCTCTAAAAAGGAAATATTTCTGTAAATTATTTAATTTACAGAAATATGCAGTTTTTAAAATCAATCAAACGTGCAGCAGGCCAAAAGCACTGCTAAATCAGTGCATATGGCATATATGCATATATGTATATATACTTATAAAGAGACAAACAGCTGTAAAAAAGATAATATTGACAAACTTTACTTTAAATACAATCAGTGTTGCTAGACCACGAAAAAATTCTGTACTGATTTGGAATGAAAAAAGTACTGATTTTACTAAATAGGTACTTTAAAAAAACAGTGCGGTCACGCAATTTAAAACATACCAATATATTTCTTAGCATTTTAATCCCACGTTACTACCCAAATGACTATATTTGACAATTTGCACCATGATCGCTTTTTAATTTTTTGAAGCATCAATGATCTAGCCGTTAGAGTGGTAGGTGTCAATAAAAAATTAATTGGGATTGTATTTTATATTAAAAATGGCAAACAACAGTGCATAGGCCTTTATACACCAATGGACGAGATTAGTGACATTGTTTAGTTTAAGATTTGAGAATTTAAAATAAAAAGTATTTTTTATGTTTATTTTTAATAAATTTTTTTTGTTGTTTTTGTCATTTGTTTAAGTTTTAACTTTTTTTGGTTGGGAAAGAAATTTTGCAAAACGTACTGCAACTATGAAAGTAGCACTGACGTATTGACAGACCTTAAAATGTACTGATTTCAGTACAAAAGCACTGGCAACACAGAATACAATACACTTTTCTTGATACCTTTAATATTAAAAAAATATCATCCACAAATCAATAATACTAGTTGCAAATAGTAGCGTATAGTAGAAAATAGAAAACAAATAAAGAAAATATGTTATGAGAGAACAGCTGATTGTTAAACTGTGCCTACCTGATAGGCTGGTGGACCTAGCTGATCTGAAGACGATTCTCTGACATGATCGCTACCCCTTAGTAAAGAAATATCGTCGGCAGTCGATCTTTTCAGGCAATTACCCATGGTTTTTACGGCCGTCATACATCTATGTGGACAAATTTTCTTTCAACACCATCACAGCACTTTTGTGAACGGGTACACAGGACTTTATTCATGTAGAGACAGTCCTTTTTCAGCTGTTGATATTAGTTATGTCGTTGTTTACGAACATTTAGAAAAAATAAGATCACTATAATGGTAAAATTATTGACACATAAATGTTAACAATGGAGTTCACCATTCTATATTCTTTTTTTCTAAATTTGGCCCAAGCAGAGTTGCCAGGTTTCCACTAAATACGCAGCAACAAGATTTTAGCGGGCATTAAACGGATGACGCAAGTTACAATTTTTTTTCACACGAAATAATATAATTATTCAGATAATAAAATAAAAAACGACCGATTTTACCATAAACACAGATAAAAATAATAGAAATTATTGAAATGATATATTGGATATCACCGTTAAGTGAAGAGTCTTAATCACCATGAATGTTTAATAATTTTACTATCATCAAATATGATTTCAACAGGAATGATTATATGTTAATATATTTGTTGGGGATAAGTTCGGCAACGTTGTTTTTTAAAGCGTCCTCTGTTGTTTGGGGGAGAAAGTATCCCAAACTAGTTATAGGATTTTGTAAATTATTTCTATTTCTTAATGTTTTCTATTGGTTTTTATGGTATCGTAATATTTAGGAAATACAAAATATGTAACTATAATTGACATACCATTAAAGAATAAATTCATTAAACATTTTTTATTGTTTTTTTTTATTTCCAAATTTGGTCCAGCGCAGTTGTCAAGTTTTATCAAAACACATAAGAAATATTTCTGATCTCCATGGATTGATTGCAATCAAGTCAGTTTTTTTGGCACAAATATTTAAAAAAGATGCGTAATGGTGTAGTGGGAGGAGTGCTGCAGTAGGTAAGAACGAAAAAAAGAATAGACGCGTGGCAACTAAAGTCGGTTTCATATAGATGCGAAATACAAATATTCGCATTTCGCAACTCCTATTTCATATAGATTATTTTAGAGATATTGTTCTTTGCCCATTACAAAAACAAAACAAAAACTTAAAACCCTTATTTAAACAGTATGGTATGATAAGCAATTGCATTAAGCCTGGTTCATATAGATGCGACATGCGAATTTGCGAAATGCGAAAATGTTTTCATTGGTCCATTTGATTTGGCGGGAAAAAAATTTCGACGTTTCGACAGATTCTGCGAATTCGCTAGATTTGAAATCTGGGGGGCGGGAATCTTGAGATTGATCCAATATTTTGCGAAAATCGCACGAATTTGGCTTGATGCGCATGCGCATTAATGCAGATGCCTATTATACGTATTTGTTATATGTACCCGCGCCATTTTTGTTTACGTTCTGTGTTTATTTCATTTGTATTGCATCGTTGTTGAGTTTTATTTGAAATGTTTCTTGCTAAAGTTGTTTTTTGTTCTTTATAATGGACAAAGAGTTTTTGGAGGTACATTAGTTTCTTATTTTACCTTATAGTAGCATATTTTTTTAGAAGTAACTATACTATTTAAGTACCTACCTATAGAAAATGTTAAGCAAGTATGGCAAATATCACCTGGAGAGAAAATAATGTCCCTAAAATACCATGGCAAATATCGCCTAGTGAGAAAACAATGTCCCTAAAATGGTTCCGACCATTCGCATCTATATGAATAGGAGCTGCGAAATGCGAATATTCGTATTTCGCAAATTCGTAAATTCGCATCTATATGAACTCGGCTTTAAGGTGCATGCGAAACGCATGCGCATCGCCACAGATTAGTGCGATTTTCGCAAAACATTGAATCAATCTCAAGATTCCCGCCCCCTAGATTTAAATCTTGCGAATTCGCAGGATCTGTCGAAACGTCGAAATGCTTTTTCCGCCAAGTCAAATGGACCAACGGGAGTATTTTTCGCATTTCGCAATTCGCGTTTCGCATCTATATAAAACGCGCTTAAGTGCCGCACGTGCCGATAGGCTTTCCGCCTGTTTGCAGGCCGATCATTTAGGGTAGGTACCCTACCGAAATAAATATTTATTTGCAAAATATAAAGATTAAAAATTATATAAATTTTCTATTTTTTTGTTACGCCCCAACCATGTTTTGAAGAAATAAATAGAACAACGTTGTGCGTCCTGTGTTGTGCGCATATACTCAGAGATAAAGAAGGTACTTACCACACAGTGTGTGTGTGTGGTAAGTATATGGTTGTGCGTATTTGGTAGCGTCATCTGTTGTAGAGTAGTAAAGTATTTGGGTTGACTAGTAGAATGTTGTAATGCGTTTGAAAAGACGGTGTGTGTCATTGTATTTTTTTTAGTTGATGTAGTTTTTTGATAGAATGCGCTGCTAAAAAAGCGACGTCGAGCGTCGGAGGAAAGCGGCGACGCCGACGAAGAGAGCGACAATGAGAGGTGCTGGGGAGCTTTGGTTGTACAAAAATACAGGCCGATAGCATGCTATTGATTTTTCAAAAGCGTTCGTTGAACCAATCACAGAGTTAGAACTATTTTTAAAGGGTGAGGTTGTTGTTGAAGTTTTTATAAGCTAGTGCGACGGGCCTAATGTAAAGTGCGTCGAGTTTGGTTTTTTTTCGTGCGGACCGAGGCCGAGCGCGAGCTCGAATAGTTTGCAGGTGATGCAGGTGGCCACTCTATTCCGCGAATCCACCACCTTATTGGGAGCGAGCATGGAGGCGGGCGGAGGCACCTGTCCCTGCCCCTGTCCCGGTCCCTGTCCACCGCCACCGGGACAGGACCAAATGACGGGTCAACTGGGACTGGGGGGACCAGCTACACATTCGCCGCCACAGGCACAGTCTCAGCCGCCGCCTCTGCAATCTTCTTACGATCATTACAATCATCCCGCCAACTTTGCCAATAACAAGTACAAGCTGTAAGTAGCAACAAACACCCCCCCAATACCGATACAGAGTACATTACAATAGCCAATGGTGCATGCACAGTCCCATCCGATCTATCCGCTTAAACCTATCTATCTTTAGTTGCTAGTCAGTGCTCGGCCGATTATTGTTGTAGCCTTGTCCTACTATTCCGCCGCTACTTCCTGTTATATTCCTATTACTGTTATTTTTCATTTTTGCAAGGCCCCAATTTTAATTTTCATAACAACACCTGACTGACCCCATCCAAGTGTTACCCACTGTACGTGTTATTTGCATGGCATTTAATCCGACCCAATAATAACAACAAAGTGAGAGTTCCGACCTAAGCACCTGTAACGGTTCATATTTTTTTATTTACAATAGTTTAATGGCCAGCGTAGCGTGTTAGTGGTTTACCTTCAATGTATACTTGTTGCCTAATAGCTAAATGTAAAAAAATATTTCAACCGATTGCAATCCCATCCCATTCAATTCAATTGAGTTAACAATGTGCACGACGTGATACACGCCCCGAAAAAATTACACAAGAAAGAGTGTGTTCAGTGTGTGTTTCTATTTGTTCAGCAACATGAAACTCGAACCCCACGATGATGGTTACGAAACTAGTGCCGACATGCTGATGACGAACAGCGGTGGCGGCGGTGGCGGCAATTTGAGCCACAGTCACAACCATAATCACAACCATAACCATGGTGGTGAAGTGAAGTGCGAAAAGTTGGAGGACCCGTACAGTTTTATCGACGACGAGCCCATGCCGATGCTGCCGATGCCCCAGCATCACCAGCAACAACAGCAGCAGCAGCAGCATCAGCATCAAGGGCCTCCGCCACATATGCAGATGCACCAGCACCAGCAGCAGCATCCTCAAATGCCCCCAATCAATACCCAACAAATGATGCCAGGCCCGAAAAAGCGGGGAAGAAAAAAGAAAATCAAACCAGATCAGTAAGTCATCATTAGTCAGTAGTCAGTAGTTGAATTCATTACAGAAACAAACATTACCCACAATGCAATAAAAATCCATATAAAAAATGGTGTGTATTTGTCTGTCAAAAACGTGCTGTCAAAAGCGTTCACGTGCAGCCGAGAAAGTTTCCGAAAGAAATAAATTATAATTAGGCCATCGTTCGCGAAACTTTTCCCCGGCAGCAACTTTTCAATGAAAACCCAAATAATATTAGTTTTCAATGTCATTGGTAAACATAAACTTTTAAAGCAGCTATAAAACTAAATCAGCTGTTTCTTTGTCTGTATAAATCAATAAAAAGTATAGCTATGCACTATGTGTGCCTCTCACTCTAAATGTGTGTGTGCAGTGTGTTCTCACACACTCCCACGCGCTTTTGTATTTACTTCTATTATATAATCGTTTGGCAGCCTCTCTTAATATTATTTTGGATTTTGTCCATATGCACTATTACTAATCTGCATAGCAAACGATTATTTTTAACGTGCTTTATTCATATATTCCCACTTACTTAAATATAGAAACGACATACATTTTACTTAAATTTTATCGCATCCTGTCAAACCGGAACTAGATACTGTCTTATCACCAACTCTTTCTTTATCATTATAATTATACAGGGTTACTTGAAATTACAAACCGTAGAACTATGAAACCAGATGGGAACAATCTTTTATCATTATTTTCAAGGCCGTGGCTAGAAAAAAGTTTCGGGAGGATTGGTTGATAAAAAAACGGGTGCAACGGCCTTCATTATTATACATAATTAGTGATTTTAAATTACAAACCATAGTTAAATAACAATACAAAAAAAATGGCGGATAGGACATTATCTACATATGTACATATTGTTTTGTAATTTAAAATTTATTAATTATCGAAGTACCTAAAGTTGTTTATGAAAGTTTAAATTAATTAGTTCGTTTAATGTCACTGCAACTGACAGGTTAAACTTTGCATAACCCAATTAACATGTATTTTAGGAATAATTATTTTCCTTTGAAGTTACTTAAGACTTAATAAACTTTTTTTTACTTACGTATCATAGTAAGCAACATTATGACACGCATTTGCGTTTTATAGTGGTAATTTACCACAGAGTGCTGTGTCATTACGATACGCAAATAGATGGGGAATTTTTTTTTACAAATTTGGCAACACGATATTTCATTATTATTGAAACGTCAGTTGCCAAATATTCTGAAATAGAACGAAGCCTGATTTATAGATTGCCTTCCTTCATCCCGTAAAAGATGAAAAATACGAAAACCGCTGTTTATAGATTACCGTACGGGAATCTATAAACAGCACTACGGTTTTTGAATTGTTAAACTTTTACTGGAGAAAGGAAGGAAGGCAATCTATAAATCAGGTTTAACTACCAAGATCCAAAGAAGAAACGTCAGTTAGCATCAAGAAGACTATACATAAAGGAGGAGTAACTTTCGACCATGTTATGTTATGTGCTCACCGCGCATAGCTATCATACAATGCTGGCTGAATAATTTACAATTTTGCGCATCCGTATGTTACTAATAGTAACTATAATAGTAACTAACTTAGCAAGTTATTCATCCTATATTTAGTCTTCTTGCTTATATTGTTTAAGATTTAGACCAGGGTGGTTCCACCCTAATTTAGACAATTAAAGATTAATGTACGCCTATTCCACAGGCGTAGTGAAGTGTTATCAAGCATAGACAAGTTTGTTTTGTGTGTAAAGGAATTAAAGAATAGCGCATATTGATAAAACAGCACGCTACCTTACCCTTTTATCTGTTGTTTTGACCCTTAAAGTCCAAGTTTCCCCTATGACCTAACCTGAATTCTTTAATTCGACGCCATTTTTTGGTTTGGATTTGGCAATTTCGCTGACATGTTTGTATTTTACCATTAATTAAATACAATTTTGTCAACTGCAGAATAAAGCTTGATTTATAGATTGTCTTCCTTTCTTCCTCCCGCAAAAGATGAACAATACGAAAACCGTAGTGCCGTTTATATATTCCCGTACGGGATTGTATTGTTGATCTTCTACGGGAGGCAATCTATAAATCACGCTTAAATCCCTAAATCTTCTTCTTCTTTATATATTGGCCTTTAATCTATCTGATTATTTGGCCAGCTCATGATAGGAAATCCCTAAATCGCAATAAAAATTAAATTTGACAATATTCTTCAAAATTTTGGCAAATATAAAAAGTAGTATAAAGAACTTTCACACTCGTCCATTACAAAACTCCCTCGTTCCGTAAACTTGTTCTCGTACGAGAAAATGACGTCGTGTGACATATTTGTTCTTTAATATGTACTATATTTTATCAATGAACTATTTGTTCTAAATTCCGTGCATTTCTATTTCGAAAATGTATGTACTATACATACATAAATAAATACAAATAATTACGCAATATCCAACAAGGTTTTTCCAAAGATAAGAAGTTGTTTATCAGCTAAACGTATTGGTTTAAGATTTAACAGCTAGACAGACCCGTTTAATTGAATATTGACAAGTGACACAAGTAGACAAAATGCATGAACCCTATTTTGCCGATCATTATGTAATGTATGTGTTTATGTAGTATTTATTATTTTATTTTTCATTTAATTGTTTGTTAGTTGTTATGTTTGTGTTTACAGCTACTGAAATATATTTACCTACATCTACATAGGTACTATCGCTAACAAAAAAAACTCATACAGCTATATTGTGGCTGTGTGAATAAAACTTTTCCATCAATGTCAAGCTGACATCGAGCTTTGTTACATCCATTATGACTTTTTTAACCAAACAATGCAGACGAACTCTGGCAGGCGAATGAAGGCATTTGGAACGATAAAGCAAGACGGCGACTTCCATGCTTTGCCGTTTGCGGGCAGTAAGTGACAAAAACAGAGGGATGACGAAATATTATTTTTTTTTCAAACTTCAACCTAATTTTGTATTTAATTTTAGACCTTTCAAATGTGACGTATCATGTTAAAAGCCATAATTACTCCAACGAAATGATAGAAAATCAGGAACACTAGATTTTTAAGCTGTATGAGTTTTTTTTGTTAGCGATAGTACATGATATGCATTCTAAACTCTCAATTTTGATAGGCCTGAATTTAGTCAAGAGTTAAATGGAGGGATACCTCGGCCTGTGAAAGAAAGAAAAAAGCATGACAGGTTCAACGGGATGCCGGAAGAAGAGGTTTCGAAACGAACATTACCTGACCACTTAACTGAAAATTTAGATATAATTATTGTGAGTTGCGTTGTTCCTATTATTCACGATGACTACATCTTTGTCTTGATAATTTCAGATTGGAATAAATCCAGGTTTATTCGCGGCATACAAGGGTCACCATTACGCAGGTCCAGGCAACCACTTTTGGAAATGCCTGTACCTGGCCGGGCTAACGTCCCAGCAAATGTCCGCCGACGAAGACTATAAGTTAATGCAAGTAGGAATTGGTTTCACAAACATGGTTAGTCGCGCGACAAAGGGTAGCGCCGATCTAACGCGTAAGGAAATCAAAGAGGGTAGTCAAATTTTGTTAGAAAAATTAAGGAAATTTAGACCTAAAATCGCTGTTTTTAATGGTAAATTAATTTACGAAGTTTTCTCGGGGAAGAAGGATTTTAAGTTCGGCAGACAGCCAGACCTCGTCGAAGGCACCAACACGGTAAGACAGACAGATAGATCTCTTAAAATGTATTTTTCCAATGTAGTGCTAACAGCAAACGGAAAAATATAGAAGTGTATAGGATGACTCCCCGTTTGAATACTAAATTTTAAAGTTTTATTAGAACTGCATTGAATCGTGCTTTGTTTTTATATTTTTCGCCTCTATACCTATGCACGACTATAGTTAAAGTCAAACTCAATGGTGTCTTACAAGATACATTATTTTGATTTTCTATATTCACAAAGTGGTAGTCATTTATGTCTCTAGAAATTATTGAAAAAGGGGACAGTCCAATGGTGCAGCAACTTCGGATTCTTATTCTCTTAAGAGACATAGAAACTCAAGTTTTTCGAATTTTACTGGCAATGATTTTCTTTAATGTCTCCGAAAATTATAAAAAAACAGCGCAATGCAATATCGCAACGGTTTCGACTTCTCTCTTCTCTACCAAGTTATAGAAACTGGAGTCTTTCTAATACTGTTCTAGTTAATATTTCTGAGAGCATATTGCAATATTGCAAGAAGATTTGATCGTTTGATGGATGCACTATCTCCACTGGTTATGTTAGTACAGCAATATTTAAATCTTGTTGATCAAAGAGTACACACCAGTGCATATTGTTGTAGTATCTACGAACAAATGGCAATTATTCCTATAGGAAAAATATTCAACGCAGCTTAACTAATAAAATGAAAAAAAATCACAATCATGTCGTATATAATTTTTTTTCAAGTATAAAATAATTTTCATATTAATACTAGTTCAAAATTCAAATTACGACCTCTATACTGTGGAGAGTAAGTAATGAAACGCTAGTCTGACGAATACAAATGTATACTGTGGGGAGATTTAGAAAACTATATTCAAATGTGGCGTCATCCTATAAACTTGTATAATTTTCCGTTTGCTGTGTTATTTAGAATGTTGACGATTGGTGTTGTTTCAGCATATGTGGGTGATGCCGTCGTCAAGTGCAAGATGCGCTCAGCTGCCCCGAGCTGCGGACAAGGTGCCGTTCTACGCGGCGCTAAAAAAGTTTCGTGATTACTTGAACGGAGTAATAACGGAGATAAACGAAGAAGAAATGGTATTTACGGAGCCAAGGGTAAAGTCGTGCTACGAAGCGGAACCAAAACCGGATCCGTACTCCACAGATTTAACTGACATAAGTAATGCTGTGATCAAAAACGAAGACGGCACCATAGTGCCGTCGAAAAAGAAGCGAGGCCGACCGAAAAAGATCAAGGTGGAGGGAGAGGAGCCCCCGCCGAAGCCGGTGGTGCGAAAACCGCCGCCCATCCAAAACAATAACTGTGATTTCCCGAAAAAGAAACGGGGACGGCCTAAGAAGGTGAAAGTGGACAATTTAGATATGACCCCTAACGATAATACATCGAGCTCGAACCCGAGCCACAACGCCGGCGGTGGCACGAATATGTCGCAATGTTATTCGAATCAGTCGCCGATCCATCAGTCGAGCGGCTCGTTTTACCAGATGGGCGGGCCGGCGCTCACTCCGCCGAACAGCTCGAGCGGACTGTACGCGCCGCAGCCGCAGGTCGGGCAGCCGTACAGCCAGTCGCCGCGGCCGCAGTACGCCAGTCAGTCGCCGCGGCCGCAGTACGCGAGCCAGTCGCCGCGGCCGCAGCAGTACGCCAGCCAGTCGCCGAGGCCGCACTCGCAGCCGTTCACTCATTCGGACCTGAGCTCGGAAATCAGCGCGGCCATCAGCTCGGAGCAGCTCGGCTCGCCGGCCTCTCCGATCGGGCCGCTCGACTTCGAGCCGCCGCACACGATGGCCGACGAGGCGGAATGCCGGCTCGGCACCAGTCCCGCGCCGTCCAGCGCCAGCGAGCACTCGAACGTGGTACGCTCGCACTATCCGTCATATCACTCAACGCACTACAACATGGAGCCGCCGCCGTCGGGCCAAGGCGGCGGTGCGCAGGACGCACAAGGCTTGGCGCAGTATCAGCAGTCGCCGCGAGCCAACCAGGACATCGCGTCGAAAAGCTTGAGCGGCCTGGAGTCGTTGGTCGACCAGATCCCGTCGATAACGGACGGCGAGGCTCCGTTGGCCGAATCCCCGGCCGAGCATCACTACTCCTCCTCCTCCTCGGGCGGCGGCGGGCAGTTCAGCAATTATCCGGCGCAGAGGGTGGGCGGCGGCAGTCCGCCCGTGCCGTCCGGCTACGTCAACTACCCGCCGCCGCCGCCCTCTCCGGCCGGCTACCCGCTGTATCCGACGCCGTCGTGGGGCGGCGGCCACCACTACGACGGCATGCCGCCGCTCGCGTATCCGCAGCTGCCGTACGCGACGCAAGGCTACGGCGGCGGCCACCACCCGGCGGCCATCCACGTGCCCAGTCCCAACTATCCGTACTACAGCAGTTATCCTGGCACGGCGACGGGCGCGCATCCGCCCCCCGGCTATCCTCCCTACTTGGGCGGATTCTGATTCTGAGTCGTGGTTCGTCGTCTGTCCGTCGTCACTGTGTATTCATGTTGTGTACCTGTAACATATGTTCAGCTAGTACCTAGCAAGTCTGTCCTGTCCGCTTGAGTACGTACAGTGCAGTCACACTTGCAGGCAGTCAGTCACTTGCATTTTGACAACAACAGAGACTTGCACAGGGTAAATGGTGATATTTTTTTGTCATAAGTATTTTCTCAAAACTTTGAATGTTAGATAGGCCAAGGGTTTTGTGCATTATTATCTACATTCAGATCTCAGTCGAGTCGAGTGTGTGTTATTCTGAGTGTGTGGATCATCGTTATAGTTGTAGCCCATGTCATTCATTCATTTAAATAAACATTTGTTATAGCTCTTCAGCTCGTATTTTCTTCTCCCAACAATCCACCACCATCCTACCTCCATTTTCAATCCCCCGACCCACATATCAATCACAATGCATCAATACCTACCTTCAAGCCAACTTCAAATCAATTTAATGGGCCAACCACAAAACACTGTGTAAGTGGTTGCTCTCATCAACAAAAAAAAAAGAAAAAATACTTTTATAGTAACAGAACTGATATTTATTTAATTAACAATTAATTACCTATTCAATGTGTTATTAAAAATGATACTTTTTTTATATCTAATGTTATATTTAATACTCGTACTAGTTTCACATTTTAAGAAACTCTATCTTCAATTTTTGTACTTTAAAACAGTATTAGAATTTATGAGAAAATTGATCAAATAAATTTTGTTTAGTTCAATACGCATTTCATTCTTTCCAATCCCAACCCAAACCACCTACTTTTTCAAATAAAAAAACAACAAAAAAAGGTAAAAAAAACAATTGTATAAAACCCCTTTAGACGGGTTGCTTTAATATAAATTTATTTGTAAAAAATAATAATATTGCAACTTAGTAATAGGTAGGTATTAATATTTCAAAAATACAATCAACTTTACAATATTTGTAGCACACTATTTCAATTAAAAAAATAATTCTAAAGGCTTACTAAAATTTATTTTGCAAAACACCAACTAAATTATTTTTTCGACCCAAATTAAGAACCATTTAAATATGTATAATAATATCTAACAATACTAGTTATGTATGTACATTAAAAACAATTATTTTTTCTAAATATAGATTTTATATTTCAATGCTTAGTATAAAAATACTTAGGTATTATTTTAGATTTGCTAAATTCAATGGCATACATCCTTCGTTTATAATTATTTATTTACACATGTCAAAAAATGCAGCACACAATTAAATTTTGATTTGGTCAAAAACATTTAGTGATTTTGACTATTAAAAAAAAATTAAATCAATTTACAAACTTTTTTATTATACCCGTATATGTTTTATAGCCTTAGAATTAATAATTTTAATACAGTTAAGGCTAAAAGTAAAGCAAAATATATTTTAATTAGAAATGTATTAAATGTAATAAAAATTCCATATACCTAAACTAAATATACCTATATACAATTTATGCATACATATAAAGAACGATGTATATTTTCAAAAACAATTGCTTGATTAATAATTAGCTGGAGATAAACAATAAAATGACAAATATAATTAATTAAATTAAAATACTTTTATTTAGTGTCACTTTAAAATTCCAAATTTAAAAAAAATGACTAGAATGAAAATAAATAGCAAGTTAATACTTATGTATCTGCAATTGTGTCATAAATACACTGGGTTCAAAAATATGTATAAAATACAATATACAATTTGTACTGCGTCGAAAATGTTACAATGTACAAAATTACGTCAAATACGTACAGAGTGTTGCCTATTGTCATTGTTGTTTTCAATTGAATGCTATGCTGGCAACTTTGTAAACGCCAAGAAATAAATCATTTTTTGCGCTTTTGTGTAATGTTAGTTTTTTATTTAAAAGCACACATGTCAATAAGATTTTCTCGATTGTCCACAAAACTTATTTCTGATGTTTTTCCAGAATAGCATTCAATTTTAAATACTAATAACACTCTGTAGAGCAAATAACCCAATGAAAAAATAAATTAGTATGCAACAAGGTTCTTTGATCGATTGTCTGAATAGGAGTTTTTATGAATTTTAGCCCCTGACAAAAAAGCTGCATAGTTAAATAATACAGCATGTTCAGTTTATATTAAAGCTAGTTATGGAAAAATAAGTCATATGCTATGATGATTTTTGGTAAAATGACTTATTTTTAGTTCTATAACCTGTTATATTTGCCATTTTAATAAATAATAAAATTCTTTTTTTATAACTAGGAATAGAATAGTTATCTAAACTAAAAATAGTTTTCATATACAAATTTTAAGGAAAAACTGCATAGTCATAAGCACAAAGAACCTTGTTTGTTATTCAGGAAAATGACATTCATCATTTACCATACCTTAAATACTATCTACTAAAGGCTAAATACTATACATCCGTTGGAGATTTCGCACTTTGGCTGTGAGTGTCACTTTTTTTGTCGTTAACATTACACTGTACATTCGGCGATGAACTTCTATCTCGGCCATCCTGATCCTCCAAAAAGCGATCCATAAAATCCGTCAGGCCCGGATGCAACGTGTATTTTTTCTTCTCCAAGCGCGTTTTGTTGGCAAAAATATCGTGCCTCTCGGATTTTTTCCACAGATAGTAAAATTGGACCAACTCGCCGACGGACCGTGTTCTCACCTTTAATAAGTACAGTCGTATGCAAATAAAAAGCGTACAGCCTTAGAATGAGAGGTACTGCACTTGTCAAATATTGCGAGTTAGGTTATAAAAAACACAGTGCAGTAGATGTAAACCAACCGTCAGTTAACTGTCGGCTTGTTTACATTTATGGCACTGTATTTTTTATAACACAACTCGCCATATTTGACAAGTGCAGTACCTCTCATTCTAAGGCTGTACGCTTTTTATTTGCATACGACTGTACATTCTGAAATCTTGCTGACATGTTCAACATGCTACCATCACCACCAAACAAACCAAACCTAGTGATGCGCAGTTATATGCCGAATGATGCGCAGATGAATACCAAATACCTCAATTTAAAGCAATGCAATGTGATTAAATAGGGTTCCCACGAACTTTCCATTAATTTTTTCCACGACAATTACATGACATTTAAAAAAATCAAGTACATTTTTGAATTTTAACTACAGTTAACCAGTATGTTTTTGCCAGTATATGGTTCCAATTTTGCGATTTTGGAGAATTAATACTACTACATTTCTATGTTAATTTTTTGCACTTAAAATAAGTATCAACCAAAGTTTTGTGGAAACTCCGCTATATTAATAGTAAAAAATCGCAATCTGTAAAAATTAAGTGTTTAGGTAAATATTTTTTATTTTATAATAAACTGGTTTCTGAATGTATGAAAACGTTTTTTTATTATTACCTTGTATTTATCCATCCTTAAGGGAAAAAATTAAATTTGAAGAATACGGAAACATTAAAAATAGGCAGAATTTTGCACCACTTTAGCCCTTGTAGTTTTTTTTTTAATTTCCTGTTGCAAATGCTATTTATTTATTTAAGATTATAAGATTATTATAATAGGGTTATTGTTTAAATGGCATAAGTTTTAACACACTTTATTAAATATTGCTGAATTTATGCAGCACAAATTAACAATAAGTTAACATTAACATAATCATTGAAGTAAAATGAATGTAATCCATTGAAAGCTTTTATTCAACACATTAACATTAACTTCAACATTAAGTTGTTAAAGAGATGGCCACCTTTTAACTTCTTAATGATAATGTTAATTTTTTATTCCTCCAGCGCAGGTTGCGGCGCAATTTTTAAATAAACCGTGTCAGTAATGCCAACATACCCGAAAATAAAATAAAACTTGCTGCTGAATGATTCATTTTTTATTCTATGATTTTGTTCTTTGGTTTATTGTTTGACGTGCAGTTTATAGCACATAGTGGTTTATACAAAGTTTTCATTAATTTTACCTAACGCATGCCAAAAAGGGGTTAAAACAAAATCCAAACAAACAAAAAATGTCAGATGTCAAAATTACTTTAACTTATACTTAACTTTATCTAATCTATGCTTATACTCACGCTTAACTTGCCACTAATTTTGCTGCATAAAATAGCCACCTTAAATTAGCTTAATGTAAACTTAATGTTAATGTTAACTTAATTTCAATGTGTGCTGCATAAAGCCTAAATTATAGATTGCCTGCCTTCATTCCTCCCTTCCTCCCGTAAAAGATGAACTATACAAAAACCGTTGTGCTGTTTATAGATTCCCCTAATGGATATAATAAATATATAATAAATACCGGAGGTCTTTTATAAAAATCCTACATTAGGATGTATGTAGTTAAGGGTTAAAACCATGATCTTTTATGTGTAAGACCGTGGTTAAAACCATTCCATGGTTTTAAATGTTGTCAACACCACTAGCGGATTTAAAAGAGTTTAATAAACTAATTAAACCGAAAACAATATTGCATAAATATTAAAATGTACCTGCAAACTATTAATCTTCCAATCTTACAGCAATTACCACCTTTAAATATTGTTTTTTACGGAAATCGGGGTTTATTATCTATGACTAACAAATAATTTTGTTTATAAGTTATGGCAACCCCCAGCACGCCGCTAGTGACGTCACCTCTCGGTACTCTAATGAAGCTAGTCAACAGCGCGCTGTTTAAAAACACCACTAGCGGAAATTGGAGTAAGCAATTTTATTTTTCAATATTTTACAGTTCGTTTCTTTAACGCCAATTTCAAATAGCATTATTATGTTTGTAATTCCAGGTACCTTAAATAATTTAAGAAAAAATATCTTTTTTTTTATATAATTCCAGGTTAATCCAGTACTGAATATTTTTTTTACAAATTCCAGGTTTTCCAGGACGCGTGGGAACCCCGATTACAACGAGTACAGTGACCAAACATGCAAACGAAACGAACTAGAGCGATGCGCAGTTTTATGCCGAATGATGCGCAGACCAAATAATATTGTACACTTGGGATGCAAACAAACTAAATGTGGGTGGAATATCAATGTCGGTGCAATAAAATAAGTGTTAGTTTTGTATTATAAACGACAATCTTACCTTGTTTTGCTGAATGAGGTGGAAATTTTTGCCGAAACTTCTGACGCCGCTCTCGAAATTCCTGCACTCCTCCTCGGACCAGATGGTGACGTTCGATGCTGGCGTGACGTTGATGCGCAGTCGGCGCAACGCTTCGTCGAAATTGTGCGCGCACTGCTGCAACAAATAGAGCGCCTGCTCGTCGTCGCGCAGCTGCGTGCCCATCGGTATCGCCGGTTTCGATAGAGCGGCGGCTTTCTTAAGGAAATCCTCCACCACGTCCGTTTGCATAATGTACGCGTCCCACAGCAGTTTATCTTCGTTTTCGTACGGCAATGCGTCGTCGTAATGACAAAGACCTTCGGGTATCACGGCTTGGTAGTCGCTGCCCACCATAATCGTCTGAAATTGTCACATGGTTGTCACTAAAGTGTTTGTTGGAGCTTAAGCGATATAATGGTTTGGAGGTGAAATAAGTGTTAGTAGGATGTTATGTTATGGTTGTATTAATAGAATGAATAAAAAGGAATAACCTTATTAACCTTTCTCCACTCATCTTCATCTGGACTGTAGTCATAATCTTCCTCCTCCTCCTCGCTGACCCTCGAAACAGCTGAAAAATCTAAACAATGAAAAACAAATAGTTTGCTCATCGCGCATATCTTACAGCGCAGCAGTCTAGAAGCGTCCTGGTCGTTTTCCGGTATCGTTTCATAGAGGGCGCGCAACTTGGAAGGCTGTTGCTCCTGCGCTTCCGTTTCGCTCTCTTGATCCTCCATCGCACCTTCCGCTTGCTGATCAACGTCCTCTACAGGACTTTCATTTTCCTGATTTTCGCCGCGATAACCGTACAAAGCCAGCAGTTCCTCCAATGGCATGTTACTTTCCTAAAATTAATTATTCATGATATCCATTGGGGCTTTGTCGGCTCTACGTAGAGTTGCTTTGGATAAACACAAAGACACACACTTGGTTGCCTATTTCAGCAAAATAGTAACGTTATTTTTTGACGCAAACAACGTCATTACAGAACCTTGTACCTATATAAGGACTTTTTTGTTGTACAGATATATACAGATTTAAATTTTGTTCTTCCAGCAACACTGATTTTAGGTTACTAGTTAAGAAACTTGGCAAACTGAAATATAACACATCTAAAATAAAAAATACATTAGGAAAAACCGAAAGGAACAGCCGGAAAATCAAAATTCGTACAACTTTGGATTCATTTTAATAGATGGCGTTCGTAAATTCGCTTCAGATTAAATGAAAAAACATAACCACAAATTCATTCATTCAATTGTTTTAGCGAGAAATTAGTTTAAATATTAAAGTTGACGAGGAAAGTTTGACAGATTTGAGCGACTGTGAAAACAATTCCGTGTCGTTTTGAGTTGAAAGATTCATAAGGATTGATAATCGCTTATAAAGAATTTTAGGTGGAACAAAGTTCACCAGGTCATCTTGTCTTTTTATATAATTTAATGGTCTTAGAAAATTTATCCATTAAATTACATTTTAATTTTAAAACAACTCCTGGAAAAAATGTTTGTAAATTTTTTATTATTTATGAATAAAAGTATTAAATTTTTGAATTCATAAAAAACCTTCCATTAAAAAATATATGAGATGTTCAAATATCTGTTTTACACCCCTTATATACACATGTAATGTAATTCTTTAATAAATTTATTATAATTAAATTCAGAAAACCCTAGCTTCTTTAATATGTTACAGCATATTAAGGGTGTTCCAATAAAGTTTTAACTACACCCTTATGTTATTATTAAAGAAACTCATTGTAAACAAAACCAACTTGTTACACTCAATGTTGCACATCTTTTACGTTGGTTTTTACATAAATAATCCGTGTTCTTTTATGTATTTCAAAAAAGAAAATTGCCCTAGTGTTTACAAGACAATTAGTTGGTAACAAATGTGGACTCACCTTTTGCAGACTGGAAAGTTCAGCGTTGGGATCGTCAGATTCACCAGCCGCTAAAGCTTCTTCTTCCTCTAATGTTCTTTCGTCATCAAAATCATTTACTAGCATATCAACAGACGGATCGAATAGTTTGTCTTTGACTGTGATTGGGGATTCCACTTTTCCATCTTTAATTGAAGAAACAACCTCTTCCATGTTATTGAACTTCATTCATTACAACTCATTACAATTTCGTTTTTGTCCAGGAAAAGAAACGTTTACCTAAAACAAACCAAACACAAACTTTGAAAAAATTGAAATAACACAAGTTTGAGGTTAAGATCGACGAAAAATTTAGCGCGCATAAATGCAACAATAAATTTTTCTTCTACTATTAAAAATACCTTGCCCAAAAACTATAGAACATCAAGAACTATTAAATGCTGCCAATTTTATATTAATTTTGCTCGCAATTTTGCCATCACAATTATTTGTTGACCGAAACTTTCAGTGTTTCGCGTCTCATTCGTCACGTGACCAAGATGGCGGATTTTTGAAGGATACAATTCAACAGCACGTTCAATCCATTTAAAAGCATTGTTTTAATTGAATAACTACGAAATAGTTATATACACGGTGATCAATCAGAAAAAAATTAAGCCAATAATTTGAATTTTAACGATATAATCATGTCTAATATAATTACAAACTTCGTAGATGTGGCAACATGATATTGTATCCTTGGATTTTGATAATCAACAAATTTTTTGACTTTGTTTTTGACGTTTTGCTCAGGGGGGTGAAACATAAGCGGGGGAATTGGAAACATGACTCCCCCACGATGCGTTGCCAGTTCGTGCACAGATTACAGTAACCTGTAATAAAAACAAAACGCACCACTTTCGGCAACGTCGTAAAACCAATAATTGTTTAACTGTCAATTTTATGGTACATTTTCTTCATAGAAAAAGTATATTGTTTCCAAAAAGTAGATTGTTTCCAAGTTTTATGCCTTATGGGTTTGATATTTCATATAATATATAACATATTATGTTATATATGTATGTAGTTTGAAAACGTAAGTATTTTGTTTAAATGTAGGTATACAGGTAGGTATGTATGTTTGTATGTAGGTATAACTTTTAAAATAAGACGAATTAAACTGCTTTGCTAAAAAACCGACAAGTTTTAAATATAGTACCTATAGGTTTTTTGTTTGTATGTTGGTCTACAAAAGTTAAATGGGTACTATTATAAGTTTATTAATAATAAATTATAAATAAATTATTAGCCAAGTTTTACTAATTATTATATTTTAATAATATTCAATTTCATTTTAAATCTACTTTGTAAAGATCTACCTACATACCTATTAAAAGGCTTTTATAACCTTAATTTCTAATAAATGTACCTAATTTATCTACATATTAAAAGGCTTTTATAACCTTTATATCTAATAAATGTACCTAATTAAATTATGTACTTGTACACAATATGTATTTTCTTAAAGCAGAACTATTTTAAATATGTTGATTTTCATGACTAAGGACAAAGAATAGTTAGTTCTGCTTTAAGTAAATAAGTAAAATGCTGGTGCATTTTTGTAAAATCTTTAAAAAAACATTTTGAATTAAATTTAGCATTGGGTAATATTTTTATTATGACTATTATTATTAATATTAAAATTTTACTAATGATAATGATATTTTTTTAGTTTTACTTGAAAGAAGGTTTCACAAACTTTGTGCCACAAAGAAAGTTGGTGATTTCAAGTTTTATGATATTTTGGGTCCAGGACATATAGTTTGAAAACGTAAGTATTTTGTTGGTGGGTACAAATATTAGTAATGTTCAAAACTGCTTTCTAGCAAAGCTTGGTTTTCCACGATTTTTCTATGGCTTGGTTACGAGGGGTAAACCACTTTAAAATCTTAGAGACAACCGTTCAATGTTAGTGGACATTGTGTTGAGATTTTTTTCCTTATCAGTTGTTATCAATAAGGAAAACTTGCTTAATCGGTGCTTAATCAGTGCTTAGCGACACGTTGTACATGACTACCCTTGTTATTGTTATCCTTAGCTGTTAATTCGTAAGCGATTTTTAATTTTAAAAATCAGTGGTTTACCCCTTGCTTGGTTATAAACATTTGAGCTTTAAACACCTTAGCTACCTACAAATTAAACAAAAATATTACAAACTGTAAACATGAATATTACAAAATTTATTTGTAAAAATTTATAATTGATTGCAAACAAAATTATTTGAAATTGAAAACTTGCCATTTATTATAGAAGCAGTTTAATTCTTTTTGTTTTATTTCAAATGTTAATTCTTATAAGTTTATGAGCCTAAATATTAGTTTTTAACCAAGGTTTACTAATTGTAATAATAGTTACTTTCATTCTTTTTCTATGATTCTAAATCTACTTCTTAAAGATCTAAAACATGATAATATTAATTCATATTTAAGATATATCTATAGTATAAAAAGCTTTTATATCCTTAACTAATGAATTTCTAATAAATTTAATTATGGTTACTTGAACAGAATATAATATAATAATATACCTATAGAATATTAAAGCAGAAATATTCTTGTCAATATGCCTGACTAAGGGCAGAATAGTTGAGAATTGGTTTTGATCAGGCCTCTTGTTTTTGGGTCTTAAATAAAAAATATTGGACTTTATCTAATCTATGCTTCGACCATTATAAAGGGTGATTACAGACGAAAATGACCCCCATGAACTAGTTGAATTTTCGCCGGGAAATATTTGTTTTTGACCGGGCGCTCCTCAGTTCTGCTTTAAGGGGATGGTATAATAATTATACAATTATATAATATAATTTACAAAAAAAAGCACTAGCATTTTAAATCTACAATTATTGTAGATTTAAAATGCTAGTGTTTTTTGTAAAAACTTGTATAAAATATACCAGGAAATATGTTTTGGTGCTGACTTACTACCCAATATTAAAAATAAAAGATAAAATCTATAAATTATTTTTTGTTAATTGTGATTCAAAAAATAATAATTTAATGAATGCAAATAAGAACTTTCTTTTTTAATATGTTTAACAAATAAAAATTATTTGGATAAAACAAATAAACTGATTGACCATTTTTTACTAGAATTTAATATAAATTAAATCTATATACATAGGTATACAAGTATTTTTTAGACACGCCTATTGGATAAAAAATAAATATAAATAAAAATAAAGGATTGCCTTTAGATAAACATTTTGAATTAAATTAACATTTGCTGAAATATTTATTTAATAAACAATAATTATGAATAATAAAATTTTACTAATGATAACGATATTCTTTTAGTTTAGCAAGTTAGCAAGTTAGCAAGTTAGCAAGTTAGCAAGTTTAACAAGTTGCAAGTTTAGCAGAAGGATTTTTTGTACAAATTTTATTTTTTGTTAGGGTCAACCTTTTTTTTTCATGGAGGGGTGGGTAAAAAAATCCTGCAAATATCCAAAATGCGGAAATAGTCGTCGCTGTGGTATAACTAGCACAAAACGATTCCATTCTTTCCCAACAGATTTGAATGTGTTATTTGTATGGAAGCAATTGTGCCATATACCAGAGGACAAAAACTGCCACAGTTTTTTTATTTGTCAGGACCATTTTCTCCCACAAGACTACCTTGACCCTAACTATCCATTCAAATTACATGCATGGGCAGTTCCGAGATTTTTATCTAGACCACAATCTAATGTTCCTGTAGAACAACAAGCCTCTTGCTCTTCCGTTGAGGAAGCAATTCCTTGTTCTTCTTCAGAAACATTAGATTCTGAGGTAGGTAAAAATCAATCATCTTGTTTAGTAGCAGATAATGTTTGTTTTGCATCAGAACAAACCATTTCTGCTACTGAACCTGAAAAACCAGGTCCTTCAACACTGTCTGACAAATATCACTTTTTAAATTCTAAAATGGAGGGTATTTTAACTAAGGCGGGTCTTAGCAGCAGTACTTTAACAGAATCCGAAAGGGTTATGTACAATGTTCATAGAAGTACTACTGCTAAGTTAAGTAAATTAAAAGGAATTTTAAAAAATGAACGTGCCCATTTGGCAAACCTTGAAAAGCTGTATAACCAGGGGCGCTTCGAGGTAATGGAGGAAAATTTGTCCACTGTTTCTAGAGAATTTATCAATTCTCAGCTTAGAAATAGTGGCAAATCTCCGAATGCCAGAAGGTGGAGTACTCAGGACAAAGCATTTGCTTTGAGTCTCTACAAGAGGAGCCCTCGGTTATATAGATATTTGAGGTGCCATTTTCAACTGCCTTCTATTAGGCTTTTGAAGGCCACATTATCAAAAATACCTTTTAATTGTGGGCCGATTGATTGTGTATTTAAATATTTGGAAACAGTGGTGGAGGAAATGGATGATTTGGATCGCTGTGTTACCCTTATCTTTGACGAAATGTCTCTTAATCGAGGTTTACATTATGATAAAAACCGACAGGAAATAACAGGTTTTGTAGATTTGGGTACACTTGGGCGATCTAATAAGGAAGCCAATCATGCATTGGTCTTTATGGTTAGAGGGCTTGTAAGGAATTACAAGATGCCTGTTGCTTACTTTTTTACAAGGGACACAATTTCTACACTTTCATTGAAAGATATGATTGTGTCTCTTGTAGAAAAGTTGCAACATACAGGTCTTAATGTCGTTGCGACTGTATGCGATCAGGGACCTACCAATAGAGCAGCTATTGCTTTATTGACACGATCCCATACAGATAAACGACCAAGTCCGTACCATTTTGTTGTGAATGGAAAACGAATAGCAACCATTTTTGATGTCCCCCACTTGCTAAAAAGCACTCGCAACTCGCTTATTAGTTGCGAATTAGAATTCGAGAGCGGCAAGTTTGCAAGAATGGCTGATATTCGTTCTGCCTACGACACGGACAATAAGGTGCGAACCTACAAAACCCTCCCAAAGCTGAAAGAGAATTACTTTAATTTTGGCGACTCGTTCGCCAAGATGAAAGTCAAAACCGCAGCTCAATTAATGAGTCGATCTGTTGCATCTGCTATAGAAACTTTTCATGGTTATGGGTATTTGCCAAAACCTACCCTTGATACTGCGGAATTTGTTTATATGGTCGATACACTGTTTGACTCTTTAAATTCGAACAATCCAAGAGCCTGTGATGGAAAAAAATTTAAATGTGCCTTATCTAAGGATTCTCCACATTTAGATTTTTGGTCGTCCATTTTACCTAAATTAGCTAAATGGAAACTTTATGACCTTAATACAAAAACTTTGCGTACAAACTTCAAGTTTATTGAAGGTTGGCAAATAAGTATTAGGGCCATACAATTTCTTTGGCGCAATTTAGAGGCGGAAGGACTACAGTATTTGGCCTTAAGAAATTTAAATCAGGACCCGTTGGAAAATATGTTTGGGCAGATAAGGCAACATGGGGTGTGTAATACGAATCCCACTTGCCATCAATTCGTTGCTGCCCTTAAGACTGTAATTATTAATAACTTCACAAGCCCTCTTTATAAAGGGGGTAATTGTGAAGAAGATAATTGCAAGTTTTTAGGGGATTTCGCGGCTTTTATCAACAACCTGCCAGAAACGAATCCTGATTTAAATTCTTTGGCAAATAATGTAGATGAGGAGGATGATGAGGAGGATGAGGAGGTGGCCTTGCCCTTGGAGGACAACCCTGCTTCAGGGTACGTGGCTGGTTATATTTTAAACAAAATAAATGTTCCTGACTGTACTTCTTGTCGAGAACTTTTATTTTCTGACGAATTTAATCCCAATAACCTCTTAACATTTTATAAGGAGCACGATGAAATAAAAAGGTTGACCTATGCAAGTGACCATGTTATTAATTTTACTGATATAATTTATGTCAAACTTTATCAATATCTTGATGAACATGCTCACTTGCAATATTTAGAAAGAAATTTTAGGCAACTAAATAATTCACTTTTGGATGCTTTTTGTTTTTGTAATGTCCATAATTGCCACATTCAAATTTTTGAAAAATGTGTGCGCCTAAATATTTTTAGATATGTTAAAGAAAAAAATGCATCCAAAAAGGATTTAACTGTGGGACATTTCAAAAAACTAAAGAAATTTCATCAGGCCAAATAATATTTTTTTAAATTTTATTTTTTAAAAGACTGTAGAATTTTTTTTAAATTTAAATCTTATTATCTTATTATGTATATTTATTTTTACTACCTATATTTATATCTAAAGACTGCCCACAATATTTTTGCTTAACATTGTTGTAATGGGCACGATATATGGGGTAGTTAAATTTTAACATTTCTTAATTTATTTTTAAGCTTTACCAAATATGAGACTAGTTTTAAATATTTGTTTTTAAAATTGTATTAGGTGTTAGGTATAAGTTTCACTCTAGAATTCAATACATTCTTTATTTGTTTATTATACAATAATAATTTATGAGTCACATCTGGACAACCACTTGAGGGTTCGTTACAGAAAGTCCAAATAAGCAAGTTTTGGTTCATGTTCCTAGTCTTAAAAAAATAAACATAAAAAGAGCGTGTTAAAAACTTAGAGAGGACAGTATTTTTTAGGCAGTTACGTTTTACTCTTTGAAGGGATTAGTTTAATTCTTTAATTTTGTAACAGTTGGGTTTTGCTATTTGAAGGGGCAGTTACGTTTTACTCTTGGAAGGGATTAGTTTAATTCTTTAATTTTGTAACAGTTGGGTTTTTGTTATTTGAAGAGGTATGTTTTTCTATAATTAATTATAATAATTTAAGGTCACAAATATCATAATAAGTGGTTAATTAATTAATATTTAATTTAAACTATATTTTATTTTCTTCTTTGTCAAAGAAGTATATTTTGGGTTGTGGTTGGACAAACTTAATTACTTATTTATTATAATCATTATTTTATGTTTACCATTTAAATATTCACATTTTATTATTGTTATATTGTAATGCAATGTATCATGTTATTACATATTTCTATTTAACTTTAACATACTTTGTTTTGTACAGTTTACATTATTTTGTTTATTCGATAAATTGATATTCTTCGTGTATACACATAAATAACAGTTTATTGTTAATAAATTAAGGGTAAGAACAACCAGTGCGCTTTTCTATAGAAAGCCGATCCACCGGTCTCCCCAAAACCACCACCAAAAACAAATACCAATAAATAAATAAATATATATACCTTTTGATGTGCAGAAATTAAAACAAAGTCTAAACATATTATATAAAGAATATCAATTTATCGAATAAACAAAATAATGTAAACTGTACAAAACAAAGTATGTTAAAGTTAAATAGAAATATGTAATAACATGATACATTGCATTACAATATAACAATAAATAAAAAGTTGTATAGCGGTGGACAACCGTAATGCAATAAAATTGGTGTACAGTCATAAATAAAAGCAGATATATTAAATTAATAAAAGTATATCAAGTCAAATTAAAGATGGTAAAATAAATTGATTATCAATAATAATAAAAATAAGACAATGCAACAAAACTCTCACATCAATACACATCAATACCTGAAATAAAATATATATGTTTTATTTCAGGTATTGATGTGAGAGTTTTGTTGCATTGTCTTATTTTTATTATTATTGATAATCAATTTATTTTACCATCTTTAATTTGACTTGATATTCTTTTATTAATTTAATATATCTGCTTTTATTTATGACTGTACACCAATTTTATTGCATTACGGTTGTCCACCGCTATACAACTTTTTATTTATACATTTTATTTACCACTACTATTTATTATGTTCTCTGTGACTTAAGTTACCTGCTATTTTAGCTTACACATTGTTGTTTGTTGCTGTACATTGATAATAGTTTCAATTTATATTTTCTAGTTAAACACCGTCCGAGCCTAACATTTATGTAGGTGAATAATCTTAACAATATGATAATGTGATTGATGATATTATATTTGATTACTTGATTACTTTGATTTTGTTATATTATTTATATTGTTTAGATGTGCGACACATATGCATGTCTGAATTGTATATGTGGGTTTTTAAGGTTTTACCTTATTAACTTAAATCAATAATACTTTTTAAATACAAATGTTTTTATTTATATTATTAATGTACAGTAACAATAATTAACTCTTGTATTAATTGCCTTTATTAATAAACTTATTTTAATTTAATACTTTTTCTTTGCTTTTTAAATATCTTTTCAATTGCTCAAGTACTTACGTATCCAGAACCGTATTCACAACAAAAAGGGGTCCTAACTTAATTTATTTAAACTAGACGATCACGTGGTTTGGCCAAAGGTAGTTTTTTAAGGGTTTTAATATTCGTTTTTAATTATTTAAATGTGCCCCCCTTGCCCCGTTCGTTACATTGTTTTTTATGTTTGTTAATTGGTTTTTTGATTTGTAAAAGGTAGTTGGAAGTTGGAATTTGGAAGCCATGGGACACCAACCTGAGAACATAAACCATACTTACATTCATGCATGAATTCAACAAAATCTTTGAATAAAGTTGGAATCAGGAAAATATGGAAAACCAACCTAAGAACATAAATCTTAATTACATAAATGCAATACAAACTACAATTAAAGTGGGAATATGAAATCTGCTGTAAACCAATCTGAGAACATAAACAATCTACAATACAAATCAACCCAAGCTAATAACTTCAAATGGGACCCAATCTACTATTGAAAAACTTTGGTATTCGAGTTGCATAGTAACTTTTGTAAATAAAAACTGCATGCTATAGCATGTATACAGAATCTTTATTTGAAGAAAGAAGATACTTTTGCAAGATGTTGTTCAGTAGTTAACTCCTGTGAACTACAAACTATAATCAATCAAATTGAATAGGCTTTAAATTATACAACGTTTTCTATGATAAAAATTCCCAAATATGTTAATTATAAAATTGAATTTTTGTAATGCATTATTTTTTAATATCTTAATAAAAGATATTTTTGCAAGGAAATAATATTATTGTCATTATATTTTTGTAAATACATACTTACTTAAAATATATACATATATAATGCATATAATATTATTTAGTTAAGAATATTAGTTTTTTGTTTAAATTTTTAAGGGGTAGTATTTTTATTCTTAAATTTGTTTTTAATTCCACTAGATCCTGTACTAACTCTTTTTTTGTAAGATTTTTAGGACTGATACATTTTATGTTGATATTGGACAATTTTTAGGAATGTACAATATTCAAATTTATAAAAACAAAATATGATATAGCCTTTTTCTACAATTTTAATCATTGTATATAGTTTGTACACTTTTAGTCACAGAATATTTTAAAAATCGTATTTTTTCACATAATGCATTAGGATTTTTATTGTAAATAAACAAATGTTTCACTATTTTGTTTTTTTTTTAATAAAATTAAAAATTATTAAAATAAATAAATAAAAATTTAAAAGCCGGCCCTGGTATGTCAAAATCAATATGAGCTGAGTCCGGCCCATCAACTAGGGGGAGTCATGATAGACGTGTTTCCCTCGTTTAACACAGAGGGCGCACTTCTTATATCCTTTTTCTATGGTTTTGCTTATGTGCCATAAATAAACAAAAATGAATATTAATCAATTACCTAAAACGTTAATAAACAATATCTGTGAGTCTAATAGTGATTTAAGGGGGAAACTATTGAAATGTAATAAAAAACATTTTAGGTAGCCATAAATTAAATACCTAATTGTTTTCTTTTTTAGTGGCTCTAGCAATTGAACAATTTCCAAACCAAAACCGTACAAAAAACTTAACTAAAATATGCAATGAATCTGATGTATCCAAAGAAAATATATTAAATGTTCTAGGAGTATATTTATTAATCGTAAGATTATTTTTGAGTACAAATGATAAAGAATTCAATTCAAGATTGCTTGAAATTGGTTTTACAGACAATTTTATAGAAACTTTGCCTTTAATAAGCAATCGAGAAGATGTTATGAAAAATTTACAACTATCTACATATTCTGATTATACAAATTTCACATATTTAAAATGGAGAATAGATATAAGTTTAATAAATAGGTAATATATACAATAATACTTTTATAACTTTATTAATTTATTTGTTTTCAGTACCTTGGTCAAGAAAATTCCTGCCAGTGTGATATTATGCTTTAACATGAAAAATAAAGGAAAAATAAGTATAGAAATTGATGCCAACATGTACAAAACACTGAGGTTTAATGTAGCCCTAATGTTAAAAGAATTTACTACAATAAAAAAAACTTACAAATAAATTAATTAAAATATAAATACAAAAAGGATTTTTATTTAAAATCATTTTTATAAAGTGTAAGAGGGGTTGCATGATGTCAATGGCCTTGAATCGAGGCGCAGGTGTCAAAACTTTCTAGGTTATGTACAATAAATTCACAGATTGTTTTTAAAATCAAAATGAGCAAAGATAAAAAAGGTATGTTAAATGCTTGCTTATTGTAAGCATAATATATTTAAATATTTTTTTATAGTCGATCCAGGTTGGAATGACCCGCCAATGTTAAATTATACTACATCAAATCCGCCGCCAAAATCCAGGATTACAAACAAGAGGGTTGCTTTTCCAATTGCTTCAAATTCCTCTCAAGGAAGCCCGTTAAATGTTAACGCACCGCCGCCAATGGGCAGCGTTGTACCGCCACCGGTGGCTTTTGTGAATATAAATAAATTAATTGATGAAAACAGTGGCAACGATACGGTCAAAATGCATTTGGAGTTAATTAAAAATATGTGGCAACAGGGTCAGTTTACCGATGATGTGAAAGTATTGATAAGTGATTTAGTTTTGAGTGTATGTGAAAAAAACGCTGCCAAAGCCAATGAAATGCTTTTAAAGTTATCTACGGGACACTCTGATATAAGTAACCAATGGATAGAGTCTATAAAACAGTTAATAAACAATATGTAAAATAAAACAACAATGTTATAAGTTATTTTTTTATTATTATTATTATTTTTGTGCTTAATATTTTATCTCATGTTACAATATTAATGTTGTGCCCGATTCATCTAATAAAAGGTCAAACTTTTGAGCTGACATTTGCATTTAAAGCTTTATTAAATAGTATTAACAATTGTGAGCTAAATCTAGTTGTATAATAAATGTACAGTCATAAATTTATTTTGGCTTTATCTTAATACCATAATAAACCATTGTTTTAAATGTAAAAACAAAAGTTCTAAATAAACAACCAAATTTAAATATTCTTTGAACAATTTTTTTTAATTATATTTTAAGATAAAGACTAATAAAAATCAACATGTTAGTACTCCCAATAAATTGCTATTTTTATATTGTTCTAATATATTTCATTAGGAGTCCAAAATCTACATTGTACTATGCTCCACATCAAAGAAAATTTTTAAAAAATATTGCGCTACCAGTTATTGAACTTGAGCCTTCCTGGGTGAAAACCAGGTATTCTATCCACTAGACCACACGGGATATACATTTGTATATTAAACAGAACTTATTAAGGTTTTGTAGTTAGCCTTGGTTAAAGCCTAAACACAGTTCCGCGCGGGCGCCAATAATTTTATAGTTATAACTTGGAATAGGGAACGCAGACAAATAGTTGAGGTTATGTATCTGTTGGTATAGCTCTATTTTCGTTCTATTTTCTGAAAATATAAAATATATGTTTTTTTTGTGTTATAAAGTCCCTTTATACACAAAAATTGTTTATATTACATTATTTTTAGAAAATAAGACGAAATTAGCGTTAAACTAACGGATACATAACCACAATTATTTGACTTTTTCATGTGAAGCATAGTACATTTAGAATGAAAAAACTAACCCACCTTCAACTTGTGCTTTTATTATTAATTGGTAAATTTTTGGTGATCTTTGGTTTATTTTTATAAGTAGTTTCTACTGGACAGGGTCTAAATTTTTGCTTAATTATTTATTTAGTAAGGCCTGATATTACTAATTATTGCCTATTGCCTATACCATCATGCATTCATCTATATTAATATATCAAAAGTTGTATATAGTAATATAAATTTATAATATGTATATTTACAGCTTGTACATATTGCAATCCATTTAAAAACTGCAACATTGAAAAGGGCAGTTTTTAATGAAAATATTATTTGTTGGATTCTGTAAGACACCTTACTTAAAAATTGCCTTATAGGGTAAATTGTGTGCAATATTGTTGGGATTTGGAAATTTGACTGGTAAGATGTTAAATGCCAATTTAACAGTAACCAATTAACAAGTAGTAATAATAACAATAACAATGTACAAAGATATCACATAGATTTTAGAATTTGATTTTTTAGAAGAGTGCACTTGTGTTAAAAGTATTGCTTATTAATGTGCACGTGGTGGTGTAGCTATACACCCAAGCAGCATAAACCTTAGTACCTGTAGAGGGTTTTATACAAGTTATTGACTTGGATTGGATTTTTTAGGTAACTTGAACAAAACATTTACCTTAAATCTGAACTTTTTGACGTAAAATGCTGATTGGGCAAGATGTAGCATTTTATCGTTTTTTATTTTTAAATCACACGATAACACTACGTCTATTGGATCTTTGGTCTGGCGCATACTGCTCTAAATCTTCGGGTTGTGCATTTAACGCTGAATAGTCTACAGGGAACATGACGCAAGACATGGTGGTGGTTGGCGCGCCCAAAATATACTGACCAGGCCCGTTGGGGTATCTACCCAGGAGGTAATTTGCGAAACAAAGCCTATACGCCTTAAATATCAAAGGGTGGTCGCCATTCTAAAATATCAAACATTTAGTACCCACTACCACAATAAGCATTTATTTTTTTAAACCAACCAGACCATGGCATTCTCCACAGCATAGGTGAGATAAAGAATGTCGTGCTCTGATTGGTTTATTGCTTTCTATAGATCTGACTGACAACAAAATAATAATTAACTTTTACTTACAGAGGTCATAGCTTGATATGCATGGTCCAAAATTTCGCCCACTTTAACACTATCCAAACATAACACAGATGAATAAAACGAGCTCAATTCGTCCCTAGTGATGATACCATTGCCTAAAAAAATCTCCCAAAATAAATAACACTTTTTATACGTATAGTAAATATTACCGCTTCTATTAATAACTTGAAACAAAACTTTAACGAAAAATTGCAACCATATGGGAAAATCTGATAAATTTCTAGAACCACATATCAACTCTGACCATTTGTAGAGCCAGCCTTCCTTAGTTATGTACGTTAGGTCATTCACTTGAAAGCCTGTAAACAGTTTATATTTAGTTTTATTTTAAACGGCAAGGCGCAAAAGTGGTGTGTACTTTGGCGCCCTCTGTATAAGATTATTAAAATTAATACCCTGTGGTAAGGTATTCATTTAAGACTCAAAAACCAAAGCTTCAAATTAGAAGTAATATACTCATTTAATATTAAATTTAAATTGTTTTGTGCCATAGCTGCAGCATTTCAGGACACCCTGTAGGTATATACATATAATATTCGAGAGCTTTGGTTTTGAAAGAAAAGATTTTTACCCATTTTATCATCAGTTATATCATGTAAAAAAGTTTCTATAAAACCTCTTTCAACTTCACGAAGAATATTAAACTCCGTCGAATTAACCGACCAATCAGCAAAATGCCTTAGTCTCTGTTTCCAAGTAAGCATGTAAAATATTAATTTAATAAAAATTAAAAATTGTTATGGGTGTTAACTTACTTCTATAAGTGTTTCGAAATCTTGCTCACTTATTAAATCATCTTGATCATGATCCAAAAGGCATGTGAAAAAATGAGAAAATTTACATTTTTGTACAGGTGTTAGTTGATATCCCTCTTTTTCTTCTGCTACATCTGAATCAATGCTAAATCTATCAACCCAAGTTGCTGAAATTATAAGAACAATAAATGTACTTTCTATAGAAAGCAATAAGCCAATCAGAGCACAGCATTCTCCACAGCACACTAGGTGTGATGAAGAATGATCTGATTGGTTTATTGCTTTTCATAGAAAGTAAATTTTAATAAGCATTATTCAAATAACAATAACTTACTCCATACATGAACACTCCATCCACAGCTCTCGGTTTGGCTCTCCTCCTTATCGGAGTCGCCTTGTGCATTTTTTTTCATACTGTGTTCGGACTCGATTTCCGGAAGAGTTCTCCACCTCTTTAGCAAATCTTTGGTTTTGTCTTTTGTGCGGTCACAGGCATGCCTCCAGTTTGCTATTATTTTGTGAGGCACTTTGACTGTTCCATCTGGATTAAGTTTTTGATTGTCACCTTCATGGGAGTTTTGGGTTTTGAATTGTATGGAATTTTTGCTACCTGTACTTTTTAAGCTTGTTTCTGATTTTCCTAGCTCTTTAATACTATTTTCTCTACTAGTTTTGCTTGTCTCTTCTACACAGCCACTCTCCATTATATTTAGGTTCTATTCAACTTTATTTACCTATTTTATTTGGACCGAACATCTTGCTACATTATCGCAGGGGTTTTATGTAATAAAATAAATTAATAGTATTTATTATTTCTTTTTAAACGACCCACATTCCGTCTCTTTCATCGATTTTCAATTACAAAATGACATATTTCGTAAATATTTGTGTAATATTTAGCGTTTCTCAACGCTTATTTCAGTTAGTTTTACTATTTATTATTTATATCGATACAAACAAATAACCTAGGAAATTTCTTAAATAAGAAGGTACATTCTTTAAAAAAAATACTTTTACACTGACGCCATCTATTCATGAAAAGAATAAGCTTCTTTATTATAAATCACCGGTAGAGTTCTTCACTATATAAAATTATTTATTTTAATTTACATAGATTGTGTTCTGTGTTATACCATTGATTAATTAATTAATTATTGATCAACGGTATACTAACATATCTGGGGGTTCTTGAAATTTTTGAAATTACTTTTTATAGAAAATGTCTCTATCGGTAAGTAAGTTATAAACCAATTAAAGCACTGCATTTTCCGCAGAGATCTCTGATTTTCCGTCACAATTTGATGTCGCAGAAATATTTCTGTCAATTATAGAAACAACTTTCTATGGAAAGTAAAGTCGCAAATTTTAGGAAACACGATCCAAGGCGGATTTAAAAATATAGGTTAAAATGTTGAAAAAATTGTTTTAAAACCTTAATTAATTACTTTTTACCATTAACCTCTGAATACAGAGATACGCTGTATTCAGATTTATTGAATTGAATTGAATTAATTACTTTTCAGACAACATAAATACGTAGAAAGAAGGTGGTAATATGGGACACCCCATGTCCGTTTTCTTAAATATTTTTGGATTATATAAACCTAAAGTAATAAAATGTAAATCGCAGTTTTAACGCAAAATTTTACGAAGCATTAACAGATCCATAAAATATAAAATAATATTTACTTAAGACACTTGTGTTGTGGTTAATGCATAAAATATTAAAGACTTATCGCCTGATAAAAAAAATAAAACAAACACATGGCTCATACTTTTCGGTTTTAAAATGACTAATGTTAAATTTCCATATTCAAATTATATTGATTTTTCTCTTAAGTCTAAAATTCTTTGAACAGATGCTTAACCAACAGATGTTAACCAACCTTGTGGGCAATTTGTTAGGCATTAATTTATGTAATGTTACAAGGCAAAAAAATATGTCCAAACAATTGTTTTATTGCTATACCTATGCCAGAGCGCTTCAGGAAATTGTACTGTAATTGACGTGACCATGCGGATCTGTTAAACACAATGTGTTTAAAAAAATATAAACATAATAGCGATAATTTGCGGTTGTTGCAATTTAATCCAGGATCTTTAGGTTTAACATGTGTATACATATGTATTATAAGAGCAAAATAACACTAAACAAATATGTTTAATTATGTACATATGTACTTAATATTAAGTTTGGGTTTCTTCTGAATTTTACAGCTCATTAACAGAGCGCCGTAAATAAATGCTTAATAATTTTCCAATAAAAACCTAATAATTTTATCATGTTATAATTATGAAATTATAAATATTTTAGGTATGTATTATTTTTTTGAAGAGCATTAAAAATCTGTTAATTTAAATTAATACCTTTTAAAACCACCAACAATTGTTGTGAAATACAAAACAAAATAAAAAAATCATGACATAATTTTTTAGAAAGATTGTCCTGGACCTGATAATTATCAATTATAATTGATCTGAAGGTGGCAAAATATTAGTAATAATTAAATATGTTGTGTTTTATAAAAAAATGCAGGTACTTTCCAAGTGTTAAAAAACAAAGCTTGATTAAAAAATAATATAAAAACAATCGTGTACCTGGTGCTGTTAAAATCCTAAGCACAGATAAGATAAATAATGTGCTATAATAATTGCCTATACATATATTAAAAGATTTAATGTTATTCGGATGGGTTTTCCCATTACAATATAATAATACCAAAGGCGGGAGTAAAATAGTTAGTTAACTTGTCCGACAACAAAATTTATTCATTCAGTAGGATTTAAAACTTAGCAGACTGTTTTTATTTTTTCGTATAACTCGTTTCTCGCATTGTTTATATCGATTGAGCTGTACTATACTCACAACATTCTGTGTTTGTGTGTGTTGAGGATTTATTGGGCATAATTTAGTTTAAGTTTTAAAATGATTTTGAAAGCAAGTAAGTCGATTAATTATTTTATCTAGCGAGATATTTATAAATATAAAAACAAACATTTTACCTTGAATATTACAAATTGGTTTTAAAAACTGGTTCCTTTATATTTCTATGTATTTATACATCATTTTAAATGCATCCTAAATTTTGTTCTTATAGTAAGTATCAACAATTTTTAATGTCAATAAAAACATAACATCCAATTTGACCTGGTCAGTATCTATTTATATAGAATACGTTATCGAAATATATATATATTTTTTAATTTTATTATTTTATAGTTTATTTATTATAAACCCAGTATTTAATAAATATTAAAATTTAATAACCATAAAAACGTAAATTTATTTATAACATGTAAAGAAATATAACTAAATTCGCAAATATAAGTATTATAAATGGTAAATTTTTGCATTTTTTTTACACATCTTTGAATAACCAGTAGAACATTTTAGAAATATATTTCTTTTAAATTGTTTTTTTAACTTGACTTTTAATAGAGTACATTCAACTTACCCATTACCATCCCAGACAGCAATATGATGTCTTAATTAAGTCTGCATAAGTTCTATCTATGAGTTCTATTTTATGATTTGGACGTCAAATACAACATCAGAAAGAAGTTTTTAAGAAGTTCTTAAGACTTCGAATGCGCCACCTATTGAACTAATCAAGACTTCTCAAAAAAGAACTCTTGAGGAACCCTTTTCTTTGACTTCGCAATTAAGCATTTTAAAGAGGCCTACTGTATAAAATTACATACATCGTTGCTTATTTTGAGATGTCAAGTTTAATTACTATAGAACAAACGAATTTGTTAAATTGATTTTATTAAAATCATTTTAATAATTTGCTCGAATTCGCTAATTTTTGGAATTGCGATTATTTTATCTCACTTTTGTTTAAATTCAAGGCACCGATAGACGGCCTGTTTCGCTCTTTTGGAGCTCGTCAGTATCGGGTAGCCGTTTACCTAGGTCTAAGACCGTTTGGTATGGAGCACGCTCTAAATTCTACTTCGCCGCTTCTTATATCAAACACAAGCAGTTACAGCGGTGAGAAGAAAGTAATCGCATTAAAATGTCTTAAATGTGACGTCTCCATGTTGACGTCTTAAAGAGTTAATAATATGATTTCAGTAAGAAGTAAGAAAAGAGAATACTGTAAGATATCATATAACTGAAGTCTTATTTATGAAACCCTTAGTAGCTTCTAATTTTGATTCCAATAAGAGGTCAGAAAAAAAGATACTTTAAGATGTTAAAAAATTGACTTCTCATTTATGAATTCATCAAGAACTAATTAATAATAATTAATTGAGCTCCTAAAAATAATTTCTCTAAGATGTTATATTGTGACCTCGGTAAGATGTTTTTCAACAGACTTCGTACAGAAATCTTTCTGAATTGGATGCTGTCTGGGATGACATTCCTAATTAATTAAAAAACAAATATACAAATTGTAGAAATAAGTTGGTCCTGCCACATAAAAAAAAATTCGGATAATTTTTGGCAAAATGTATGATGATTTAGGTTTTTTTACGTCTCTATAGAGATAATGATATAATGAATTTTTTCAGGCATATTATTTATACTACCAACGTTAATTTTAATAAATGGACAAAACGTGTCAAATTCCCTAAATGAATTTTCATTGAATTTACTAGCAGTAAGTATAAAATAATAAAATTTTGCGATAAATCATTAAAATTTTCAGACAACAAATTCGGAAGCAGGTGACAATTTAAATATAGCCTTGTCACCTTTTACAATATGGACGTTACTAACAATTGTATCAGAAGGGGCCCAAGGCAATTCATTGAGACAACTAGTTAGTGTACTCAAGTTGAACAATAATATTAAACAAGTCAGGAGTAATTATTTAGCTATGCACGATAGCCTTTTGGTAAGAACCTTAATTTAATTTCTTTGATTTCATTCTCAGGTCAGGTGATACACAACTGAGCAAAATGAATGATGATCACGGTCACAGTTCTGAAAATTGGTATAAATATCCATTCACAATACTACAATAGTACCATTAATATTTCAGAAAGAAGCTGATGGAGTACACTTGGACTTCTCAAGTGCCATATTCACCAACAAAAAATTCAATTTAAGAGATTCGTATCAAAAAAACATCAAGGAATTTTACAAAGTGAATGTAATTCCAACAGACTTTAAAAACACAAAATCAGCCGCTGATGATATCAACAACTACATTTCAAAGAACACAAATAACAGAATCAACTCTTTGGTGAATGACGGTAAGTTGAAATTAGGTTGAAATAAACGTTTCCTGCAAAAAACAATTTCAGATGACTTAAGAGATGCGTTTATATTTTTGACGAGCGTTTTGAGCTTCAAAGGAGAGTGGAAGTCTCCCTTCAACAGAACCGCCACCAAGCCGGAGGCTTTTTACGATGAAAAGGGCACCAAGATCGGTGATGTGAAGATGATGTACCAAAACGGATATTTTCCTTATACGAGAGTCGAAGCCATAAGAAGCTATGCCCTTGAGTTGCCCTACGGAAGTGTAAGCTATAGCCCTGATTGAAATCTTAATCTTAACGCATCAATTTTAGGATGGAAAAATGTCCATGGTGGTTATTTTGCCTTTCAAAGGTACCGCTTTGGCAAACTCTTTGAACTTACTGTCGAAATTCACGTTTAACAAGCTTTTGGATTATTTGGAAGATGCGGAAGAAAAGTTCATTGATGAAGAAGTACAAGTATATTTGCCGCGTTTTAGAGTGACATCGGAGTTCAATATGGACAGAGTTTTAAACAAAGTAAACAATGCAACTTACTTAAGCATCATTAGCTGATTTCTTTTTCTAGATGGGTATTAAAGATATATTTAATTCGCAAGAGGCCGACTTATTGGGAATTCTGGACCAATATCTTTATATTAGCAGGGTTTTGCAGAGGGCAGATATTGAGGTTGATGAAGAAGGAACCGTTGCAGCGGCTGCTGCCGGTAAGTTTGTTCTTTTTAATTTTTTGAAAATTATTAAAAAAAAAAAATTGCAGGAGCCTCATTTGCGTACAAGTCTCCCCCACCAAAATTCCAAGCCAATAGACCTTTTATGTACTTCTTGGTGGACAAGCCGACGAGGAGCATGGTATTTGCAGGAAAAGTCAGCAACCCGAATTCTTTTTAGTTAGTTTAAGTTAGAACACACTTAAGTTTAGTTCCAAGTTTTTTATTAAGAAAATAAAAAATACTTATTACGAAATGTTTGTTAATTAGTAGGTAGTTATCAAACCAAAATTGTATGTATTTTAAGCAACGCCAAAGAAGTTACTTTACTTGCCTGTAATTTATTTAATAAATAACGGGAATAAAAAACGACGTAGTGTTTTAGTAGTTTATTTAGCTACACAAAGGTGTATAAAATAATCACAGTTTAGAATTCAGACATTATCCTCCAATAACCGTTTGAAGGGAGATGAATATTGCACCAAAATCATTGCAAAATATAGTCTTTGTAGTTTTTCAAACACTTCATCTGCTTTTTAAGTTGCTTAATCAGATCATGGGGTTGTACTAGAATTGATATGTCTCTTCCTACAGCGTTAAGTCAGTCACGAACCTGATTTTTCTTGAAGATCAAGTTTAACGAACGACCGTTAATCTCCGTTAACACCCATTTAGTAAATAATAATAATAATAAATACTTATTACGAAATGTTTGTTAATTAGTAGGTAGTTATCAAACCAAAATTGTATGTATTGTAAGCAACGCAAAAGAAGTTACTTAGTTGCCTGTAATTTATTTAATAAATAACGGGAATAAAGTTTAGAATAGTGTTTTAGTAGTTTATTTAGCTACACAAAGGTGTATAAAATAATCACAGTTTAGAATTCAGACATTATCCTCCAATAACCGTTTGAAGGGAGATGAATATTTCACCAAAATCATTGCAAAATATAGTCTTTGTAGTTTTTCAAACACTTCATCTGCTTTTTAAGTTGCTTAATCAGATCATGAGGTTGTACTAGAATTGATGTCTCTTCCTACAGCGTTAAGTCGGTCACGAACCTGATTTTTCTTGAAGAACAAGTTTAACGGGCGACCGTTAATCTCCGTTAACACCCAGTTTGTAAATAATAATAATAAATACTTATTACGAAATGTTTGTTAATTAGTAGGTAGTTATCAAACCAAAATTGTATATATTGTAAGCAACGCCAAAGAAGTCACTTAGTTGCCTGTAATTCATTTAATAAATAACGGGAATAAAAAACGACGTAGTGTTTTAGTAGTTTATTTAGCTACACAAAGGTGTATAAAATAATCACAGTTTAGAATTCAGACATTATCCTCCAATAACCGTTTGAAGGGAGATGAATATTGCACAAAATCATTGCAAAATATAGTCTTTGTAGTTTTTCAAACACTTCATCTGCTTTTTAAGTTGCTTAATCAGATCATGGGGTTGTACTAAAACTGATATGTCTCTTCCTACAGCGTTAAGTCAGTCACGAACCTGATTTTTCTTGAAGATCAAGTTTAACGGACGACCGTTAATCTCCGTTAACACCCATTTAGTAAATAATAATAATAATAAATACTTATTACGAAATGTTTGTTAATTAGTAGGTAGTTATCAAACCAAAATTGTATGTATTGTAAGCAACGCAAAAGAAGTTACTTAGTTGCCTGTAATTCATTTAATACATAACGGGAATAAAAAACGACGTAGTGTTTTAGTAGTTTATTTAGCTACACAAAGGTGTATAAAACAATCACAGTTTAGAATTCAGACATTATCCTCCAATAACCGTTTGAAGGGAGATGAATATTTCACCAAAATCATTGCAAAATATAGTCTTTGTAGTTTTTCAAACACTTCATCTGCTTTTTAAGTTGCTTAATTAGATCATGAGGTTGTACTAGAATTGATGTCTCTTCCGACAGCGTTAAGTCAGTCACGAACCTGATTTTTCTTGAAGAACAAGTTTAACGGGCGTCCGTTAATTTCCGTTAACACTCAGTTGGTAAATAATAATAATAATAATAAATACTTATTACGAAATGTTTGTTAATTAGTAGGTAGTTATCAAACCAAAATTGTATGTATTGTAAGCAACGCCAAAGAAGTCACTTAGTTGCCTGTAATTCATTTAATAAATAACGGGAATAAAAAACGACGTAGTGTTTTAGTAGTTTATTTAGCTACACAAAGGTGTATAAAATAATCACAGTTCAGAATTCAGACATTATCCTCCAATAACCGTTTGAAGGGAGATGAATATTGCACAAAATCATTGCAAAATATAGTCTTTGTAGTTTTTCAAACACTTCATCTGCTTTTTAAGTTGCTTAACCAGATCATGAGGTTGTACTAGAATTGATATGTCTCTTCCTACAGCGTTAAGTCGGTCACGAACCTGATTTTTCTTGAAGAACAAGTTTAACGGGCGACCGTTAATCTCCGTTAAAACCCAGTTGGTAAATGAAGTACCGTCGCAGGTTTTAGCTTTGCATGTCAGACCGGCGCGGGCCGCCAAACTATCGCTTTCCACGGTCTCGATGACCGCCGTGTTATTCTCCTGAACGATTCCCAAGTTTTGCCCTTCGCTTTCGCGGTGAATGACCAGCACTTGCCCGTACGGTATACGTTTAACGATTATGTTAACGTACAGATGCGACGTAACTGGCGACTGAAGAATTCTATGCGCTTCCGAAGCGCTCCTTATCAAAATCCCTTCTATACTGACCAGCCGGTCGCCGATGTGCAACGCGCTGTATAACATTGGATGCTCCTTTTGCTTCCAACCACATATCCTTCATAAAACAAATTAACATTTTTTCACTCAATTTTTCGACTACGTTCCCAATCAACCAACAATCACATTTTAGAACGTTAATAATGCCAAATCATAAAGACAAAGTGGATGGAAAATAGTTTTGAACTGTATCATATGCTCCAACCAATCACATCAACTAGCATACCTTTACTAATTTTAAGAATAAAAAAACTACTCACCATACAGCATCAAAAGCATCCACAAAGCCAATGGAACTGATGCAATCTTTTCTTCTCAGCTGTAACCTGACACCAGCTGGGTGCTTGATTTCTTTCTGCAGTTGTAATACTTGTTGTTCCCTCAAAGTCTTGTAGGGTTGGGGTGGTGCTTGTAATATTCTTGGAGAACAACTCGTCGACCTTTCTAATACTCTAATACTATTATTCCTAACATCTAAGTTATCTAAGTGCTCTCTATTGGACGGACCGGGTGTTTGTTGCAGTTCTTGTTGAAACAAAAATTCGTAGTGGCCTGAAGGCCAATTCGATGGAGCTGAAGAGGGAGCAGGCTCATCCAGGACAGCATTCAAGTTTTGAAATTGGAAGACGCTACTCTCTTCTTGAGACTCGCTAAGCTGGATTCTACTTCTAGTTTGACTAATGGAGTTGACGATCTCAACTCCTGGAATTATTTCGGGAGGTACAGCAGGGGTGGGCGGTAGGGGGGACGTGGGGTCCCTCGTAGGTAACAACGGGACACATCTGCAATCATAAGTCCTTATTCAGTAAATAGGACCTATGTTGGCAAGAAAATTTTAAGAAAATCCGACAAGATTCGAAAATCGGGTAGATTCGGGCGTCATCATTTGTTAGTTAGAAAAAATAAAAATACATTCTATTTTTATTTTTTCCTACCCAACAATCAAAGTGATCGATGACAATGACGAGTTTTTTCTATATAATGATAATCATAACCGCCCGCCTAACGGGAATAATGAACTCATTATTCCTGTTTCTAGGCATCAGCGATTGGCCAATTTCATTATTCACTGTGATTTGGACCAATCAGGCAGTTGCAATTCCAAAAAAATCAGTCGCCTCTCTTATACTAAATAAAATCTGACATCTGTCAAATTATCTAACCTCACGTTTTATTACAGGTTTATACCAAGGATTTTAAATCCTTAAATCCTTGGGTTTATACAACTTCATATCATTAATTTATTTCATAATTCACAATTTAGTGCATAACCACCCAGCTAGCATTTATGATTTCATATTGACGTCAGAATAAAATCAGACGTGAAAATCTTTCGTCACGTCTGTCGAGAATCTGACGTCAGTAGCGCATACGCGAATGTCAGCAATATGAAGTCAGACTGAAATCAGATGTGATTTTTGTTACTGCTGACGTTGGCTTTGAAATCATACTGATGTCAGAATGAAATCAGATGTAATTTTGTAAAGAGACCGCCCAGTAAACATTTGTGATTGCGTATTGAAATCACTCCGAAATCCCGTCGTGACATCGTGATATCACTGGCGCATTCATATGTTTCCACAATACACAATCAATGGGAAATCAAGTCGTGACATTCAAGCGCAATATGCACTCAATGAGATATCACTCCGTGACATTGCTAGCGCGCATGCGCGAGCGAAAGTGCAGGGGAATATTTAAAACATGTTGGGTGAAATAAAATTATGGGCTAAAATATTAACAGTCAACGTTTATTTAAATAAAATAATAATAAGACAAGTTTTGCACACTACCTTTATACAGGGTGCATCAAGTATCGTATAAGTAAAATACCTACATGTATACAGGGTGTCCCAGATTTTAATTGGGAAAATTTAGTGATCTATAGAAATCGAAAATATCAGAAGAGGTCAAGTTATTAAAAAAAATATTTATTTTTTGGGCGAATTTGATAAAACCTTTTAGGTTTTTAGTAGTAGGCAAAGGGCTTAATTTAATGTAAATTAAATTTAGTTAATCCAGAAGCGGCGCTGGAACATCCCAAATAGATATTTAAAATAAAATTTGGGTATGTTACTGCTTTTTTTAATTTTATTATTATTTATACATTAAAAATAAAACGGAAAATAATTTAATTTTTTTCTTCGCTTGCAAAATCGCAAACAAATATAAAGTGAAGTTATATATTTTTGGGGAAATAATTGTTTCAAATCATTAACCTATAATGTGTCTAACAATAATAACATAATACGTAATTAACGTATTATGAACAAATTAAAGTAATGTCATTTAAATGAAAAGTTTCGTCCCTGCGGGGTCACGTCGTGACAAAAAGATCACGCGCGTGTCACTGCTTGACATAAAACGACAAACTTAATCACTGTGCCAGCAATTTGATATCAAGTTGTGACATGTCACGTCGTGACTTTTTCGTGATATCACAAATGTTTACTGGGTAGAAAGAAAACTTTAAAGAATAAGTAAAATCAGTCGAGATTTTTGGTCCCGCTGACGTTGGCTTTGAAATCATACTGTTGTCAGAATGAAATCATACTGTTGTCAGAATAAAATCATATGTGATTTTGTAAAATGAACAGGTAAAATCGATTAATCGATTAATCAAATAATCGATTAATAGAAAAAAACGGTTATTTTAAATAATCAATAATCGAAGTTAAACATCGTCTACCATGTCATTTATAGTTTGACGTACGTTAAAGTATAAATGATATGGTAGACGATCACAAGTTTAACTTTTGAACGGGAACAGTAAAGACCAACGGCAATTAATACGCCAATAAAATTTGATTGCTGAAAAGTTAATAATTATAATTAATTATACCCAATAAAATTTAAAAATAAATACATTAATTTTTAAATTTTATTGCAATAAAACCATTTGTTTCCTGAAAAAAAATTCCAGTGAAGGAGGAAATCTAGAAGCTTAAATTGCTATAAAAAATTAAAATAAAATACCAAAATTTTTTTATTAAAAATTTAGGTATTTACAAAAAAAAAAGATTTCTTAAATCTGGCGCAATTTACCTGGCGCCATTCCTCTATGGTTGAGTTAGAACTTATAAGTTTTTTATAAAATTATACTGAAAATCATATGTGATATCATACAGACTCCAGTATGAAATCAGGCGTGCTTTGAAACTTAGAATTAATTATACTGAAAATCATATGTGATATCATACAGACTCCAGTATGAAATCAGGCATGCTTTGAAACTTAGAATTATACTGAAAATCATATGTGATCTCATACTGACCTCAGTATGAAATCAGGCGTGCTTTGGAACTTAGAATCATATTGAAAATCATACTTGATCTCATACAGACCCCAGTATGAGAACAAACATGATTTTGAACTAATATTCGCGCCCGATCGAAACTCACGTGGGTATGCATACCCATAACCATGGTTGTTTATTTGTATTTGTCCCATTGTGTATAGTCCTTTGTAGGGGACTTTAAGCCGGAAGTCCGTTCCTACCCCTTACCTTAGCTATAGCTTGTGCGGGTAAGGGGTATTAAAGGACCGCTGGCCTAAAGTCCCCTCGACGATACACAATGGGACAAGCACAAATAAACAACTATACCCTATAGATTACATTACATTACATCTAAACGAGAACTATACATAAGCTATAACTTATAAGCTTAAATAAAATTAGCTTGTAAGCTTGGAACTTATGGAATAGGTACCCTTAACTGAAAATCATGCCTGAGCTCATACTCACCCCAGTATGAAATCAGGCATGATTTGGAACTTAGAATTTATATTGAAAATCATGCGTGATCTCATACCGACTTCAGTATTAAATCATACATGATTTTGAATGACTGAAAATCACATCTGACCTTATACTGACTTCAGTGTGAAATCACAGAGGGAAAACAAAATCACAGATGCTATCTGGGCATAAAAGTTAAATCGCACTATCTGCTATGAAACAGTTTAGACAAGGATTTAATGCGTAACTCACAATTTAGTGTTGATTGAACAACCTTGAAAGTTCACAAAATTTAACTTTTATGAAATTAATTATGAATGATAAATAAAATTAAACCGCGCATGTGCAAACAATTTTTCTCCCTCCTTTTTATAAGGTTTTGATTAATAATTATTGTGTTTGTGCCTTAAAAAATACTAAAAAGTTTCTACATAACATGAGTTTCAATGATGGATTTTGTGTCACTTGCAACTTTTAATAATCAATATTGTCATTAAAAAAAATAAAATATTTACTAAATTTATGAATTGTATAAACCAGATTTTAAAGTTATGTATTATGTATTAAATTATGCATTAAATTAACAATTGAGTTAAGAAATAAATTTTCCACTAAATTATCAATTGTTGTATTAACCCACCTTTAATTTCTAACAATGAAAATTATGCAATAGGAGTAGAAAAATATATCAAATATCAAAACAATTTTTTATATGTTAAAATTACTTTAGAATATCAATAAAGTAAAAAAACACAAATTCTGCTAGAATTATTCACCTGTCAGGTAACTTGGTGTATAAGTTCTCTTTAGGACTCAATATTCTTAGTTCGTGTAGTTTGTTTTTTAAAGCTTCTACCCAGTCTAACATTTGGTCCCATGTAGGAGCTGCCAATCGTATTACTTGGTTTGTTAAGGTTAGAACGAACTCATACTCTTGCTCGGTGGCACATATGGTGGGTGATATGTGTTGGACGTCATTAAGAGATACAAACCAGTCGGGTTTGTGAAAATCTGCCAGTTTATTGTCTACATATGTTTCCAGAAAGGCGTTAGTGTCATCATGGACACAAAATACAACCCAAAATTTTTCTTTTTTCTACAATTTAAAAAAATAAATAATTTGCACTTTCAATTGCCACATATTTACCTACCTTTTTTGAATTGGCAGGAGAGATTCTTTTAAGCCAAGTGTTTTTGTGTATCTCCCTAAACATAGGATTTTCGAAAGGTGTTTGAGTTAGATTTTGTTCTGCCATTTTAATACTTTTATTTATATATTTGTCATTTAAGTATCATTTTGCTTTATTTTCTTTTGGAAACATCCAGTTTTTCTTTCAGTTTACATTAACCATACTTATAAATGAAAATGAAAGTTTTCAGAAAGTGACATCTGTCAAATATTTCACAAACGCAGCGTTGCCGTCACTTAAATTGCATAACGACTTAAATAAGAGAAAGTGGAATACGTACACTGAGATTTTCTATACTATAGAATCTATAGGGTACAACTACCTTAAAATTTAAGGATATGTTACTTCCGTTTGTTGTAAATAGATTTTGTATTAATATAGTTTTTAACTAAATTAAAAAATAGTAAATTAAAATCCTTCAATTAAATCACCCAAATTGTCAAATTAGTAGAGGCACTGCGAACAAACCTTGCAGTATAACGACGCACAGTGGGCTACCCTATTGAAAATGCCATATAAAACCCATATTGAATCCGATAAGGAAACGTATCTGGTTCTATATGGTTTTATAGGTCCTATATGGAAAGTCCTGGTTTACATTACGGATTCTATATGGTTGAATATGGATTTCCATTTTAAAAATTTTCATATTCAACCATATAGGGAAACCTATCTGGAAATACATATAGAACAGAAACCAGATAAATCTTTATAAAGACATGTATATGGTTGAATATGGATTTATCTGGTTTCTGTTCTATATGTATTTCCAGATAGGTTTCCCTATCTGGTTCTATAGTGTTTTAGAGTGTTTTTATCTGGTTCTATAATGTAATCTTCTATCTGGTTCTATAGTGAAATGCCTGTTTCAAATACCTATATTGAACCAGATAGAAACCATATAGAATCCAGATACGTGTTTTTTATATGGTTCTATATGGCATTTTCAATAGGGTACCTAGTCAAAATTATTTTTTTACTATCTAATCCAGGGTGGATCTAATCTATAAAGCTATAGCTTAATATATTAATATGTTTGTCTGTGATTAATATACTGGTTGATCAATGACAATTGTTACCCTTTTGCATTTAATTACATTATTTTGGGTGTGACTTCCTCATCGTTTTATGTCGCCATTTAATTTTTGGTTTTTTACTTAAGTATATTTTAATTTTTTTAAATTTATTCCTAATACATTTATTATTGATGAAAACTTTATTAAAAAACTGTTTTAACCATATACCTATAACTTAAAGGTATATGGTTTTAACTATTATTATTAATTTATTTTAATAATTATCGAACCAAAAGTATTAAGATATACCTAATAAGAGTAAAAACGAGATAAATCAAAAATATAAATAATAAATAGTAATAAAATATTGTTTTCTTTAATTTTGAAGACCTGTGCTAATTAACTTTGTCCAGCGAAATTCGTGATCCAGCCACTGTGCGACGTGCGAAAGAAATTTAAATTCTTGAAAGTCTGAAGATTTATTGAATTATTTGTTGTTAAAAAAATAAGCAACTTGTTAATTTTTTAAAGAATATGAACCGTTTGAAATATAGAAGAATCGATAAGTTGCAATTTAAACAATAAAAATGTTCATTGTTTAAAATTGGCAACGTCGCTTTAACTGTCATTAGAATTTAACGGTTTAGATTTTGTTTGAATATCGGCGAAGTTTAATAATCTGTGAGTTTGTGTTTTCTGTTAAAAATTGAGTGTTGAAAAAAATAAAAGTGAATATGAATGAAAAAGACAGTGTAAAAAGAAGGTTAGTTAGCAGAAAAAAGGCGCCTGAGGTGAAACAAACATTAACAAGTTATAGAAGACTTCTTAACGCAAATCCAATTTTGCAATATCAAATTGAAGGTAAACCTTTACCTGTAATTAAATCTAAAGAGCCAGAAAACTTGCCGCAAACCATTAATTGCAGTAAAAACTTCAATAATGTATCCAAAGTATCCAATTATTCAATTAAAAAAGACACTTTTAAAAAACCCATAATCAATCCAAAAATAGAACCCAGTAATACCAAGAGCACAGTCAAAAATAGATACCCAAATTATTTAAAATTTTCATCAAATTTACAAAAGAAGAACAATGTGCAACAATGGTCAATGACTAATAACAAGCGTAGATCTAAATCAGTAGAAAACTTGACTTCACAGTCATTGAAAAATATAAATATTAAAAGCACTACATTTGAAACAGAAAAAAAAACGTCCAATGTCAATTTACAACAATCTATAACCACTAGTAAAAAGCGTTTATCTAAATCAGCAGAAAACATAAATAATGATGAAAGCATTGTTTTTAAAACGCCTTCTGCATACGAAAGAAGAAGCCTAGCATGTAAAACTCCCATGTCAACTAACAGAAAGTCACTATTTAATCATTGTTCAACACCGAGACTACCAACCCATGCTGAGCTACAGGAAAGGCTGAACAAATGGTTATTAAAACGGGGCAAAAGTCTCAGCACTTACACTCATCTTAAATGTTTTGGATCCCATGGGCAAAAGAAGGGTGAACAAATCGATGAGGAGAATAAGGAAAATATTGAAGTTAAAGATGAGGGAAGCTACGAGGATTTGTTGATTATATCTAAAGAGGAAACTGTCAGTGAGCATGAAAGTGAAGAACTTGCAAAAACAGCTTTGTTGGATCTACATCAACTTATTTTGGAGGTATGTATAAGAGTTGCTGGTAATATGGAATTAAATTATTTTTATTTCCAGGGGTACAATTTAAATCAGTGTGAGTGTTGGTTACAAGTTATTAAACAAAAATACACAAATCTGGACAAGGATCCTCAATATTGGGAGTGTAGGGCAGCTATAGAGGAAGCTAGAGGAAATATTAGTCAGGCAGTTGAATATTTTCAAAATGCCATTGTTACTGGAGCAGATGTAGGTTTCACAAAATCTAAAAATTGAGAAAAAAACATAAATAAAATAATACGATTTTAGGTCAAATCTGTGGATCAATCTTTGGACCAACTTTTGGAAAAGTTTAGTTTGTTAGATATTAACACTGGCATAACAGAAGAGAAAAAAATGAGGGGTCATTCTAGAATAGTACAAGATGCTAGAAACATTTTTAAATCTTCCATAATAAAATTTGCTATTCAAGAAAAATCATTGCAACAGTAAGTCAAATTATTCAGTTGTAGGTAATACTATTTTTCATGACGCTTTTTTAATTTTAGAAGGAAAAATGAAACTGACAAAAAACTTGTGGTGACTCCTGTTAGAAGAAGTACAAGACTTTCACGATCGAACTATGTCTCAACCCCAGGAGTGCAGCTATATTCATCACTAAGAGAAATCAGTGATGATGTTAGTTTCCAAAGCAACAATGCATTATGTTAGGTTAAAATAACGAAAATATTTATTTAAATGTTTAAGATGGCAAAGAGCCAATGTTTATATTTTTTATAATTTAGAATTAATGTGATCCAAATTTTCAGTCTTAAAAATGGATTTATTTTTGTTAAATGGTTTAATATACAGTGTGACTATAGTCACTTAAGTATACTTAAGTTGGCAACATATGGGAAACTTTTTTATTATTATTATTATTATTATTATAAAGAAAAAAGTTATTCTTCATAAAAAGTTCTGCTTGTTCTAAAATCTAACATACAATCATCAGATATAAAAAATTTCAGTTGTCAAAAAATATTAATCTTACTCAAGAGTAATTCTTATTAAAAAAAGTTGATCAGAACTAAAACTACGTTCAAATATGCAATTACTTCCATTTACATGAAAAAAATCATGTTTTCTTTTTTGTTTACAATAACCATCAACTTCTTCACTCAACGCAATAACAATGCAAATGTAACTGTAGTTACATGTAATCTAGGATGCACTGACAAACAAATGATTTGTTGATTTGTCAAGAAATGTCGGACAACATCGGAATTTGCTTATTGTATTTAATAAATACAATAAGCAAATACTATTTATCATGTTTGTACTAAATAAAAAAGATAAATGTTCGGTACATACCTATCGGTAAATTGAGACAAATTTGTAAAAAAAAAATAAGTAGAAGGATGTAATTGCCTATTAAAACATAGGTGTTCATTTTGAACAACTTTTCAAAATTAATTATAAGAAAGTTTCCCATGTTGCCAACTTAAAAAAACACACTGTATGTTTTGCTGTTTTTAAAATAAAACGTTTGATGTTTATATTTGTTTTAATTTTTTATCTAAAAAAGGTTTATGTAGGATCTTTCATTCAGAATAATCTCATTTATTTGGTGAAAACCATAAGCTTATGGTACAAAAAAATAATTTTGAGGTACTGTGCAAATTTGTCCTACCATTTGCACTACATATTAATGCATATAAGTGCAAAATTCACTTATACATCCAGTGGCGGAACGTGAAATGGGAATTTTTTCTCCGTAAATGGCTAATTTTATACCTTTAGGAATGTGAATAAAATAAACTTTATCCAGTGGCGGAACGTGAAACGGAAAAAATTATTACAATAAAATAAAATGTTTAACAAACTACCAATAATATATTACCTACAATAGATTACAATTAAATATTATTACCTGCATACTAGCAATAATAGCAAATTATTTTGTTAAATATATTTAATTATATAGATGATTAAAAATTGTCTTTTTTCAATAAACTTATATCCTAAAAATTCATCAACTTTGACGGGGTATAATTTTATAATTAAGTAAGATATAACAAAAATGAAAACATTTAAATTCCTTGAAGTTTTTTCTATGACTGCATGTTTCAAATTTTTTTAGTAAAAGTGACCCCTAAAGTACTTTTGTCCAAGGTCAGCCCACCGTACGACGCAGGCATATGCGCGCGCCGTTTCCGTTTAGTTTTTCGTGACGCCAAGTTTTGGTTTTTGAAGTTTTACTTTAAAAAGATTAATTTGTAAAAATGAAACCATATAGGTAGGTATTTTTTTAAACTTTATTATAGAATCTTTATAACCGTTAATGATTTAGTGATAGTATGGAATGTATGATTATGACGTACATATTTAAATATATACAAACAAATTACATTTTCAAAATTTCTTGTGCGGCGGTCACAATGTGATCGGCGGAGAGTCCGTATCTGTCCAAAAGGGCTGCTGGTGGTCCTGACCTCGGTACTCTTGGTACTGCGATGTGTTTGACGATGATGTTTCTCTCCATAGCAGTGGCGGAGAGAACTGCTTCTCCCAATCCACCCTCGAAGTAGTGGTCTTCGACGACGATGGCCCTACCTCCGACTTCCTTGATGTTTTCGATGATGGTGTTCTTGTCGAGCGGTTTGACGGTGAACGGATCGATTACCCTGGCGCCGATTCCTACGGCGGACAATTTTTTCGAGGCTGTTATGGCCTCTTGGAGAGTGATGCCGGCTCCGATGATGACCAACTGGTCCTTGGGGTTGGAGCGGACCACTTCGGCTTTGCCGACGGCGAACACGTGATCGTTGGGGTAGATGACGGTAGTGTTGGGCCTGTTGATTCTGATGAACGTGATGCCTTTGGTGTTGGCGGCCAGTTCCACAGCGCGTTCGGTGGACACAGCGTCGGCTGGGTAGAAGATGGTGCTGCCCGGGATTGAGCGGAACATGGCCAAATCTTCGAGGCCCATTTGCGAGGGGCCGTCTTCGCCGATGCTGACGCCGCAGTGGGAACCGACGAAGTTGACGTTGGTTTGCGAGATTGCGCCCATACGGATTTGATCGAAAGCACGGGTGAAGAAGGTTGCGAACGTGGAGACGAACGGCACGGTACGGTCTCGGCAAGCTGCGCCGATGGCGGTACCTACTAAACTTTGTTCTGCGATGAAGCACTCGATGTACCTGGACGCGTCAAATTTCTTCAGGTTTTCTGAGAAAGTTGAGTTTTTCATGTCGCCGTCCAAAGCGATTACCCTCGGATTGGTTTGTGCGATTTTTACCAAGGCGGTTCCGTAGGCTACTCTGGTGGCAAGAGAGTCGCCAATTTTGTAAGCTGGTGGAGATGACAGCTTGATGTTGGTGATGTCAACTGGGAAAGCATCGTCTTTTAAGGGCTTCTGAGGGTGGACTTGAAGAGGTCCTGCGTTCTTAATCATACCCTTCAAGTGGGAGATAATTTTATCGGAATGTTCTCCCAAAGGCTTTCCGTGCCAGTTCTCCAAATCCTCGATTTTGGGGAAGTTCTTTCCCTTCAAAGTCTTAGCTACCACAGCAGTGGGTTTGCCCTTGGTGGTAGCGGCAGTGTGGAAGGCCTTATTAAGCTCTTCAACATCATGCCCATCAACGACAATGGCATGGAATCCGAAAGCTTCCAAACGCTTACGGTAAGTGTCGACATCGTGTCCCAAAGAGGTGGGTTCTGATTGACCCAAACGATTTACATCGAAAATAAGGCAGAGATTATCGAGCTTGTAGTAGCTAGCAAAGTGGACTGACTCCCAGATTGAACCTTCCGCGGATTCACCATCACCAACCAAACAGTACACCCTAAGTGGAAATGTGAAAACATTTATCAAATATACAAACAACTTATCATTTATACCTGTAGCTAGCTTTATCGTAATTCTTTCCAACATAAGCCATGCCGTTCGCGATAGCAAGACCCTGTCCCAAAGACCCGGTGCCGACATCGATGAAGTTCAGCCTGGGGGTAGGATGACCCTCCAAGTCGGAACCCAGTTTCCTCAGGTTGTTTAAATCGCTGACTGGGAAAAGGCCGGCTTCAGCCCAGGCGGCGTATAGAGCAGGAGCGGCATGCCCTTTTGAAAGGACGAACCTATCGCTCGATGGGTCCCTTGGTGCGGAAACCTTGTAACGCATGGTGTTGAAGAAAAGCACGGATAAAATTTCCGCGATAGAAGCGCATGATGTGGGATGTCTGAAAGGTGAGAGATTGTTAACCTTTTAGAAAATTAGATTACTATCATTATTTCATGAAAATGAAAGTGGTAGGTAAAAATCAATCATTTGATGTTGAAATAGACTTGAGGCTGTAACTGTTATACATCTTAATCCGGTTCTGAAAAATACCCAGACTATAGCTTGGGTTTTTATTAAATACCTAAGGTCCCAATATAGACTGTCTTGGGCAAAAAAACAAAAGGGAAATTACCTAACTTGAAGGTCAAGGTCTTTAAATTGAATTTTATTAAATTATAAATAATAAGATTTATCTATTAAGGTAACAAAAAAATATTTTAGATATCAATAAAATTACCTATTTAACTATTGAAATAATTAAAATATTTTTAATTATTCCAATTGTTGCGTAAAGAACATAATTAGAATGTCATTGTGTGTAAAACCATTTACATATTTTTATATTTATGCCTAATAATAATCAGGAATTAAAGTAACGTCGATAAATTAAAATGATTATTGAACAAAACCTTATCTGTAAAAAGTTACTTTATTGGTAACAGAATATTATTTATTATATAATTTAAAGATAAAAATTTCAATTATCGGGCACGTTTGAAAACAAATAATAATAAGTTATATAACTTGAGTATTATTTATCATTCAACGTTTTTCTAATTAACTAAATTTTTTGCTATTTCCGCGGTAATTTTCGAAATAAAAACGTGGCAGCCCTGTGTCCTAATCGATAAATCGAAAACTTACCCGGATTTTGCGACTTGAGTGGAGCTGATGGAATGGATCCTCAACTTGTTGGCGATGTCTTTCAGTTCTTGCACAACTTTGCCATCCAGTTTATGATAATTCGCCATGATGTCCTCTAAATTTCCTTGAATTACAATAAACTAAAAATGCCGGCTAAACGTTAGCACGTTTGGTTGGTAACTAACTGGTTGAATCAACAAGTTGTTCAGTGTGTTTTTACGCAGGGACGGCCCCAGGTACAGCCGAGCGGGGACATTTTGATAGCAAAGTTCTAGAATGTTTCCATTCGAAACCTACAAGTTATGAGCTACAACAGATTCGAAAACTGTTTTATACAGTATAATATTATTATTTATTCGTTATAAATAAATGTATCGATCGATATTACACTCTAGCAAGATATTTATATTATAATATATATATAATATAAATTGTTTTGTAATGCCTAATTGAGAATTGGAAATATCTTTTTCATCATTTTATCATCATAAAAATATTAAAAAAGTTTGACTGCCGAAAAACAATAATACTCACACCTACATTACAAAACCATCGACTTCAATCAACGACAAAACTATTCCAAAGTAGGTACCTAGGAACGGGTCTACCTTTTACATCCACTATAATTTCTAATAGCCTAAATAATGATTGTCATGCTTTGAACCGGTCACTTACATGAAAATAGAAACTTTTATTCTTTTTCGAACACAATTTAGGTAAAATTGCAAATTTAGGTAAAATTGCAAATTTTTAATAATAATAATTTATTAATCTCAATACAGGCCTGTATTTGGCGGGTGGTTTAAAAGGAAGTTTTTTGTTTAAATGCATTTAAAAAAATGTTAAGAACATCTTGCACAGATGCAGCTTATAGTAGTATATAAATAGAAGCCATAAATTCTATATTTACCCCCCAATAAACAAAAATATTGCCCGAGCGCTGTAAAGCGACGTTTTCTGCAAGGCTAGTACATATGTAAATACAAGGTGTATGTAAATAAATTGCGGTTTAAGTTGCATCAAACTATTTGATTTTTTATGGTCTCCAATTAGCTAAGGGGCCGTCCATAAATGATGTCACACACTTAGGGGGGAGGGGGGGTCGTCGAAAATGTGACAGTTTGTGACAGCCGGGGGGGGGGGGGGTTTGGGAGGTTGTGATGTCACAAAATTATAAAAATATTTTGGATATTAAGATTTTATTTTAAGCAAAAATTTCGTGGGGTAGACCTTAAAAAAAATTAAATCAGTGTGACGTGACGCCAATGGGGAGGGGGGGGGGTCCCATAATTTGTGACACTTTGTGACAAAGGGGGGAGGGGGGGTCAAAAATCTTTAAAAAAAGTGTGACATCATTTATGGACGGCCCCTAAAGTATATAAAACGTAGTTTACATGTTGATGGGTATTAGCAAGTAGGTAAGTATGGGTTTGTTATATAAGGCTTTATGATAATTTTTAGGTTAAATTCGCCACTAATAGCTGCCTTAAGAATACTAACGCTTTATTTTATAGGAGAGACTTGCTTTTAACAAATGCTGCTTAAAAAAAAAGGTATCCAAAGGATGAAGAGTAGTAAGTAATGGTATGAAATAATAATAGCTTGGCATTTAATGCTTTATTTCAATGCAAAATCATCAATGAAAATATCTAAGTTGTTACTCATAATTATCGTTTTTAGAATGAATATTAAAAAATCTATTATGTGGAACATAATTTGTGTGGTGTTTGTATCAATTTTGACCAGTGTTCTGTCTCGAAATGAGCCCAAAAATGATCCCAGAAATAATGGAGAGCTTGCCTTATGGATTGATGAAAAACAAGTCAAAATGTTCAGTGGTTTGTATATGTTTCTTTGTTAAAACCTTGTTTCTAGAAAAAAATTTATCCAAAGGTTTTCCCATGGAAATTTATGCAATTGTGAATGGAAATGTGCTACCCTACATATTAGAACCAAATTTTGAAAAACACTTGCCTGTCATTCCATCAGAAGTCAGTTATGTGAACTTTACATGGAAAGCTGGCAGAAAGAAGTACCACTACAATTTTGACAGGCTTCAGTCTTATGACGAGAGTGTTTTGGAAGCCCCTGTAATATCCATTAAAACTAGAGGAAGGGTGCCAAAAAAACCCAAGGAATTCAGCATATTCCTACCTTGTTTAGGCAACAGTTCCGGAATCGCCAATTTCGGCATTGGACTGCTTATAGAAAGAAAAGGAAAGCCTTTAAATGGCACCCCACTGAGGCTCAAACTAAGAAAAGAATGCGCCCATAGAAGCCCAGACCCGGAGTGCGACAAAAAATGCGCTAATCAAGGCTGGTGCAACCACGACAAAATCTGCCAGTGTCCTGAAGGGTATATGGGTCAATATTGCCGCACTGCGCTATGTTACCCCCAATGCATGAACGGGGGTAACTGTACTTCACCTGGGGTTTGCAGTTGCCCACCTGGTTTTCAAGGCAGACATTGCGAGGGCGGTATATGCGGGCAAAAGTGCCTCAATGGGGGTAAATGCGTTCAAAAGGACACCTGCGAATGTTCCAAGGGCTACTATGGACCACGCTGCGAGTTTTGTATGATAATTTATTCAACATAGTAATATTTTGTAATTGACTTTGTTTTTTAGCTAAATGTATAATACCTTGTTTAAATGGGGGTAAATGTAAGGCTACTAATAAATGTAAGTGTCAACCAGGGTTTAAAGGGGATCATTGTGAAATTGGAAGGGCAAAACCCCACAGAAGCAACTGCAAGTTGGTTTGTAAACATGGTACATGTGTTGATAATGGTTGTGTTTGTGATCCAGGTTGGTATGGACGATTATGTCATCATAGTAAGTTTTTTGATTTTACTAAACCCAGTCAAATTATTAAATTTTTTTGTTTTAGATACCATGTGAAAAATTAATAAAAAGAAAAAATGACATGTTACTTAATATTTTTAAGTACCTACAAATACTTAAATAAAGCTTACATTTATCAAGTGCATATACTCAATGTTTATTATTATTATTTTAATAATCAAACGTAAAAGGTGCCAAATTGTGAATATTTTTTGATGATTATTTATGTTGAAATCGTTTTTACTTGTATTTTGCTTGTGATAATAATATTAATTTTAGTAAATGTATTTTTATATCTATATATTGACAATAAAAAAATAATTTTTAGTACTTAGGTTTATTTTATTTTCCAACCATAAACATTATATTGAGGATTGTGGGTTGGGTTAATAAAACAAAAATGCTGCCACATATTTATGTGATTCTGGCCACGATATAAATACATGTGTATCGTCCCTAATTCCCAAGTTAAGCCTGATTTATAGATTTCCTTTTTTCCTTCCGTAAAAGATGAACAATACGAAAATCGTGGTGCCATTTATAGATTCCCGTACGGGAATCTATAAACAGCACAACGGTTTTTGTATTGTTCATGTTTTACGGGAGAAAGGAAGGAAGGCAATCTATAAATTAGGCTTTAAAGTAATTTTGGTCAATTGTCCCTAGAGCTAGGGACAGATTCCTAGATCTGGCACCACTGGTTTAAATGACCCATTTTCTAAAAAAGTTAGGCAACCGCGTTACACATTTTAAACCAATTAATTTCTAAATTCTGTTTTTTGATATTTTTTATTCAATTTATTTTAATTAATAGGGAGTACCCAGGTACTGCATTTTTATTTATTTTAAAGCAATTATTGTGTTAATGCACCTGTCGAATAACAAATAAAGATAATAAATCCAAGATAAGTTATAAGAAGAGCAATAAAAATTGCGGAATTTGGACTTTGATTTATTTGGGTAAATTAATATTATTCTGCATACTTTCAAATCAAAATGTCCTTATTATGGAAATCTTTCAAGAAACTACCCGCTCAAACCAACATAATTAAGGTAAATTATTAACATCTGTAATTCAAATTTAACCAAATTTTTAAAAATTGCAGGTGCCAGCCAGGTTTCTAAACCTATTAGAGTACCAAAGTAAGAATTTATTACGTTCTAATGGAGTTGCGATACAAGATTTTTGTATGATTGATGAAAATGGGGCCTCTGAGTTGGATAAATTCAGTAAGTTGTCATAAATATGTTTTAGGTTAGGTTTACAATAATTTATCCTTTCAGATGTAAATGAGTACGTTATTAAAGCCCAAATTCTTGCTGGGGGGAGAGGGAAAGGACATTTTGATAATGGGTTCAAAGGGGGAGTGCACATTACAAAAAAGTAAGGAAGATTTATTTCAGTAAACATTGGTTAAGTATACATTTTGTTTTAGTCGAGATGACGTTCTTGGTATTGCCAACAAAATGTTGGGACACAAATTGATCACAAAGCAAACACCGAAAGAAGGAATCCCCGTTAAAAAAATTATGATTGCACAAAGTGTAAATATTAAACGTGAAACATATGTCTGTATACTTATGGACCGTCAAAGAAACGGTCCTGTAATAATAGCCTCGCCTGCTGGAGGTATGGATATTGAAGGTGTTGCTGAAAAAACACCACATTTACTCAAAAATGTCCCAATTGACATATTCCAGGGAGTGACAGACAAAATGGCTGATGAATTGGCAGATTTCCTCGAATTCAAAGGTGAACTTAAAACAAAGGCTGCAAACGAAATAAAAAAACTATGGAAACTATTTTTGGCTGTGGATGCCACCCAATTAGAAATAAATCCTTTAGTCGAGACTGATGACCAGCAGGTTATATCGGTTGATGCCAAACTGAATTTTGACGATAATGCTCAATACAGGCAAAAAGCCGTTTTTGACATGGATGATACTACAGAATCTGATCCAAGAGAAGTTGAAGCAAGCAAATATAACTTGAATTATATTGGTATGACCGGAAATATTGGGTAAGTGCTTAAAAATTGAGTTTTTTTTAAATTGTCCAAGGTTCAGGGCTCTCATACCTAAAATTCCTAAAATTTGGCTTAAATCTTAAAAACTTTTAAAATTTTCCTAAAATTGCCATCAATCTCCTAAAACTCCTAAAAATTAAATATAAATAAGCCAATCTGACTGGGTTTAATTAGGTAGTTTTTAAAAAATATATATTTTTCTAGTTTATTAAATTATTTTTAAAATGATATATCACAACCTACATTTTTCTTAAAAAACAACAAAATATACCTAAAAAACAAAATCCATGTTGTAGCTCCAAGACCTACAAAATTGTCATTTTTAGCCATATTTCGTTTGTTTTCGACAAAAATATACCGTGTTACATATCAAACAAAAGAATTTTTAATTTTCTTTTAAATGATAGCTAATATAGTAAACAATCTAAAGAATGTTTTCATGTATTATGCAAACTTTATACGAGTATTTTTTCTATTATGAGTACCAAGATCCACATTGCAATTATTGTTAGTTATTAACTAAATGGTTAACATTTTTTTTCTCAAAATATAAATATAACATCATTTGATTTTTGGCCTAGTTTTTTAACCATATCTATAGATATATCGACGCATTTTTTTAAATAAAATTAAAAGTGGTGAAATTTCTAGTTGTGTATATACCTCAGATATATACAAAATTAGTAATTTTACCTCTTTTAATTTTATTAAAAAAAACTCGTCGAGCGATTTGGCTAGAAAACTATTCGAATATTTTTACAAAAATTAAAATAATAATTTTTGTTCTTATTTTTTAAGTACAGTGGCGGACACCGAATTTTGAACGACTATCATCACATTGACATCAAAATTTAAACTTCCTTTATAGACATCTAACCTTACTTCCAGTTATCATCATTCTTGTCATTTTGACAGTGAAAGCAAAAATGGTTAATATTGTATGTTTGCTATTTACAGATTTATACATGGACAGTCCATGATGGACAAACAAATTTTGACGTTCAAAATTCCGTGTCCGTCACTGTACCTACAGTGTAAAGTTGTTTTTATTTAATTACATAAATTTATTTGAATAGGTACTTTATTTCTTCCAAAATTCTCTAAAAAAAACTAAATTCCTAAATAAAATTTGTAATTTAGCCGTGTGAGCCCTGAAGGTTATTTTAGATCTGTTAGAGAAAACTGCATTTTTCGTGTTTGAGGATTGTTGTTATCCGACTTTTCGTCTCTTAATACTAGAGACATATTTAGAGATTAAAGTGAAGTTTAACCCGACGAAACGTCTGATACTAACAATCCTCAAACGGTCCAAACCTCCAAAAATGAATAGGTTGTCTAAAATGATTTTTCAGGTGTTTGGTGAATGGTGCTGGTTTGGCGATGGCGACTATGGACATAATAAAATTGCACGGTGGGGACCCCGCGAACTTTTTGGACGTGGGAGGTAGCGTTAAAGAGGATCAAGTGCGCGCTGCGTTCAAAATAATCACCTCTGACGAGAAGGTCAAGGCTGTGTTGGTAAACGTTTTCGGGGGCATCGTGAACTGCGCCACCATTGCCAACGGTATTGTTGGGGCGTTGCAAACCATGAAACTGAAGGTTCCGTTGATTGTCAGATTGGAGGGCACAAATGCCGTTGAGGCAAGGAAAATCATCGATCGGTCTGGACTGCCCATTATTACCGCCGAGGATTTGGATGATGCCGCCAAGAAAGCTGTTAAGAGCATCTAATTATAATTTTTTGTTTTTGCTATAAATTTTATAACTTGAAATATTCTAAATAAAAGCGTTGTATTATTTTTTAAATTTTTTTATTGATATTAATATAATTTACATCTCTTGTGACAGTATGCATAAAATAAAATAAAAGTGAAGAAGTATCCACAAACGTTAGTTTGGTAGATGTGAGGTAATAAAAACCTGTAAAACTTATTTTAACATGATTACAGTGAAAATAAAAACAACTACCAAATAAATCATAATTTACCTTAAAAAATAAAGGTAGTAAGAACAAACATTCACATATTACGTAACTATGATATAAACTAGGTTAATAGATACTTGTAGTGTTGTGTAAAGTTCACTCAAATCTATCCATGTAATTGTTTAAACCTGGAGGCGGCGGGCAAACTGGAGCAATTCTGGAATTGTTTGAAAAGGGGGCGTTCATAGAACCCCTGCTTGGACCATTATTCCATCTGAATGAAAAAAACATAAATATACGATAAAAAGTTGTTTTTACACCTCGCCAAAGTTTTTTGTTTTGAGTGCGTTCCACCAACTTCAAGTACCGACAAAGTATATTGGGTCTCATCACCCAAAACAAAGGACTTCCTGAGCTTATATGCTGGGTTGGTAAGCCAACAGAGGCGAGATGTAAGAACATCACGTGATCCACACCGTCTAACGACGTGGCCTTTGCCGCAATCGGTACATACTATGCAACCAAGACTGCACACGGCAAATTGTATCACAGATACTAGAATTATCCCAACCGGGCTTAACATTAAGGGTAAACATTCAATTTGCTTAGTTTCTTTAAGAAACTTTCTTCACCCATTACTGGTCGTATTCATAAGAACAAATTTTTTCTTATGAATATTACCAGTAATGGGTCAACAAAGTTTCTTAAAGAAACTAAGAAAATTGGATTTTTATAAAAATACCTGTCATTGTTAGAATCAGGCCTCCATGAATCCTTCATCCACGGATCGTTGTTAGAAGTTGAATTAAAAGGTTTGGAATTCGGATGGCTGTTCCAATTGCCGCCGCTTCCCTGGCTGTTTCTGTCAAACCTCGGCTCTAAAAATCAACAAAAAACCCCATTACCATTTAGTTTCAATCGCGCAATACTCACTACCTGGGTTGGAATCGGAAAAGCGGTGGTCCCTCGACATCATATCGGGTTTGTTCGGCATTTCCCTTCTGTCCCGCTCGTCCCTCAAGTTTCCTCTAAAGTGAGGGCTCCTATCCCTGTCGTTGCTTCTGTTATCCATATATCTGTTGTCTTTTGTTCTCGATATCGGCATATCCCTACCTCTGGAATCGCCCCCTCTGTTATCGTACGGTCTTTCGTATTTGTTCACGTTGCCACCGCTGGAGTTCGGCCTCGACCCCATCTGGGCTTTCCGTTCCATCTCATAGTCCCTACCCGGGTTTCCCCTTTTGTCAGCGTACGAGGGTTCGTGTTTCTTTTCATAAGCCATTCTCGAACCGAAGTCCTTCGAATTTCCAAACTTCTTCGGGCTCGCTTCCCTGGGCTTGATACTGAAATAAAAAGAAAAGCCAAGTTAATTTGCACACGGAGATTAGTCGATTTTTAAAGCCATTACTTTGGTGGAGGATCGAACCTTGGCGGCGGTGGGGGTTCTTTAAAGTGCCTGGTGTCCGGAACCGGTCGCTTTCTCTCATCGTAATTCTCCCTAAACGGCGCGGGTCTTTTGGCCGCCCTTCTATCCTCCTCCAACCTGATCAGAGTCCTCTCCAACTCCAATTTTTCCTGTTTAATCTTCTCGCGCTCCAATCGTTGCCTCTCCCGCTCCATCTTGATCAACTCCGCCTTCTCGCGCTCGATCTTCTCGCGCTCCATGCGCAACTTTTCGCGCTCCCTCTCCAACCGCTGCGCCTCGCCGCGCTGCCTGCGGTCGATTTCGCGCTGGCGCAGCGCCTCTTGCTGCCGCCTGCGCGTCACTTCGCGCAGCATGCGCTCCTTCTCGCGCAGCCGCTGGCGTTCGCGCTCCTCGCGAATCTTATCGAACGTCAGCACGTCGTGATTGCGTTCCTTCGAGTCGCGCCGAATGACTTTGCGATCGCGCGACGCCGTTTTGCGCGCGCGATCGCGACTCTCAGCACGCTCCAAAGATTTCTGCAAATAACACAATCAAGTTTTTCTTTTTTCGTTGCTTTTTCCCCCACGGGGGTCTGGAACGAGTCAAAAGTCACAAAAAATGACAACAAAAACTAACCAAGGCGGGATGCTAAGTTATTGCCATTTTTTTTAACAGTACAAAATCATTGTACCTACGGCCGAGACGTGCTAGTTTCTCCGCTTTAAATAAGTATAATAATCAGTGCATTTTAAAACCTAATCTAAAGGTTTAAAAGTGCGAAGTGAACTGCCACCCCACCTGTCGCAGTCACAAGGGGACAAGGTTCCATATTCAGATAAGTTTTTAATATTTGCACATCGCTATTTGCGTAAATAAGAATTCGCCGAGCCTACGGGTGTGTTTATACCTTTCAAGTAACAAATCCGTAGAAATCAACAAGAATAAAAAAGTTGAACGGGGTTAACGAACCCCTACATTAAATAGACCAAGATACCGCATGCATAGGCAGTACGACTTAAAAGTAATCCGCCATATAAAACGTGACAAGTAGTACGTACTTACACTAAATATTATGTAAGTAATCAAACCATATTCTAATATTTGCCTTAAATAAACAAACTGCGAGACCTTCTCGAGTATAAAAAAATAAATGGTAAAAGCAGTAAAAATAAATATAAATGCAATTTCTTAATTGTTAAATAAGAAAAGAAAACGTAAACACAATTTCTATCACAACAAGAAAACAACGAATAGCCGTTTTCAATAAACTACTTAATATTTAAATTAGATAATTATAATTATAGATTGCTTAGTAAGTAAACAAAAACTATTCTAAAAAACTATAAAAACAAACCAAATAATGACTGTTGCATTCGGTAAAATTTGTCTAACCATTAGCGACTGCCTTTCCACTGTGACAATGAGTCAATAACATATAACGAGTCATTTGAGTGATTCTAAGAGTGTGGGGAAAGTAAAAACAACACCCCAGTGGGGCAAACAACTGCGAGCAGAGACCCGGATAAAATACAAGACCAGCAAGGATGTCGAAGTAACGTACTAATAACCCATGCCTCATTCATGAACTCAATTGAATGGGGTCATTACTAATACCCTGGTTGAGGGGGAGTCCGCATTGTACTTAGTTTTGGGTCAGTTCAAGGCCCTCAAAAACCAACTGTTGTCCCTCCTTGTCCTACACTCAATTAGCCTAAATCGGGCGTATGGTCGGCCCGGCGACAAAATTTCGGGAATGGCCTTAACCATCGCCACTGTCATCCACGACCTCCTAGGGAAGATTACCTGCCGGGGTGAAAATTCGTATCCACCAAACACAGGTAACGCTGTGCAGTGGCGGGATACGTATTGAACCGAAAGGGGGTAAAATGGGTAAAATAACCCTGGAAGATCAGTGTAAGGCGTAGCCGATGGGGCCTGTCATACGTTGTTATACTCATACACATTGCCATTTTTGTTTTTATTATTATAAAAATATCGTATTTAATATAACACAGGTCTTATTGATAAAAAATAGCAACTTTTTTATAATATAATAGGTTACTAAACTTGCTCATACTGCTTTATTATGTATACATTAGAAGAACTCAGAAATTTTAACTTATAGATACAACATAAACAAAAACTTACGGCGACTTTAAAAAGTGTTACGAAAAATTTGTTTTTAAATAAAAACAAAAAACAAGCCAAATTTTGCAACGTTATTATCATGCCTTTTTTTGAAGAACATGCTAACTTGTGTGTCTTGCAACAAAAACACTTGGCCTTAATACTGATATAGAAGAATTCAAAAAAATGTTTTTAGCTACAGAAGTTTCTTAAAATTCACGTGTTAATTAACCATTTAGAAGAATGCCTTCATTACATACACTCCTTAGGAACCCGGTCTGAACAAGCAAGTATTGTAAGAAATATAAAGCCAGTAGCAGTGATTTGAATTTGATGAAAAATTTACAAAAAGCTGTTGTTGACTTTTTCTCGAAAAATATTTAAATTAATACAATTGGTTTAGGACTTTATGATGTTTAATACATTTTTTCAAATTATTTATGTGGTGTCATTTTTAATAAAAATTAAGTATTGACAAAATGAAACCGGATATAAAAAATAGTAAAAAAAAAATAAAACTAAAAAGGTCCTATTTTTATATTATCATAAAGGTACCTTAAAATGTCATAATTCCAATATTATAAAAAACTGCATAATATATAATTATATTATAATAACGCATTAAAAACAAAAAGTAGCGAAGTGGTGCCGTAATTTCAACTTATATAAAAAAACGAATTATTAAAAATATCACAAAAACAGAACAAGGATCAGATGGGATTTTCGTAAAAGGTGTATATTACTGCGGAAGTTGTCTCTAACAATACCCTACTGTTGATTTTTGTTGTCATTTTTTTAAAACTTTTGTCCCGTTCTGGACGCCTGTGTCTACTTACGGATTTTTCTTCTGCGCCGTTTTTCGTTGCTTCTTTCTCCTTCGATTCGTCCTTTTTCTCCTTCGATTCGTCTCTCTCTTTCGACATAGCCTTTTTCTCCTTCGTCTCGTCCTTCTTGGGACTCTTATCGGCTAATTTCGGCTTATCCTTCGCATCGTCTTTCTTCTCTTTTTTCTCGTCTTTTTCGGGTTCTTTCTTCGCTGGTTTATCGTCTTGCTGCTGCGCTTTAGCCGGCCCCATCTTAAGTTGCTTCATTTGTTCTGCGCGAACATGATCGAACTGGAAAACGCAAAATTGTAAATGTGCTTAAAATCGCATTGTACACAACCGGTGTACCTTGTCGATTTTAATGATCTGTCCGTTAAGTTCCGTGTTATTCAACTTGGCTATAACATTGTCGGCGTCTTCCACCGACCCCATGGTCACATATCCGAAGCAACAGGAGCCTGGAAAGCGTGCATTTACCACCACCTTCGCACCGGTGACTTTACCGCACGCAGACAGGGCGGCTTTTAATTGGCTCGCCCTGGTATTTTGCGCCACATTGCTTATCCACACCACCTTTGGGTTCTGATTTGTCGAAACTTTTCCCTTCCCTTTGACATCCACCGATTTTCCTGTGCTATAATAAAACCGAATTAGCGTCAACGATAACTTTAAACATTGTAATTTGTATTGCACTTGCTCCCCTTTACTCATCATCCACTCAAACTAACTCATTCAATAAATAATAATAAAAATGGTAAAATAGTAATAATAGAATCGGTAACCTTCCTTCGTTATGAGCCTTTTTGTATAACCTTACCACTATGTATGTCTAATTTATTATAGTTACAGTACATTACATCTCATCTCATCTATGACGCTTGATCGCTTTCTTAAGCTATTTATATTGCATTTCTTGCACATTGTTTTATTTTTATTGTAGAAGGTATCTTCTTTAAATCGCACAGGAGCAGCATTAGTAAAGAAGCTACATGAATCCTCCGGATGCCCAAATCCCGAAATCCTAATTGAATCATCATCGTCGTCGTCATCATGAATAATCAATTGCAACGCATAGAGATAGATGAGTGTAGAGGTAGTTTGGGTAATTGATACAAGTAGTACAAGTCTGATGGAAGAGAATGAAACCAACCTAGTCGCCTCGCCAGCGTCCTTGCCATCTTTGGATCCGTCTTGTCCAGTAGATGCGGTTTCATTGGATTTGCCGTCTTGCCCCTTGGATGCTTCATTCGTCTTATCTATAGGAAGAAATGAAATCGTTGTGATATAAAACTAAACGTTAAAGTGCGGTCCTCGAATTCTATTTGCCTCACACAAAATTATGATTTTTTTTTAAATTATTTTACATTTTTTTAGTACCTAATTATGCAAAGAATTTTGAATATGCAATTTTTAATCCGGCGTTTTTTGTTTGTTGATTCACTTCACTTGAAAATATAACACATGAAAATTTTTGTTATTTCATGCAATACGCGATTTTTCTCACGGGTTGTTTGTTATTCACATTTTATGTACTACCAAGCCTAACTTATGACATTTTTCGAAAAAATAATTGCATATATCTAAATCTTCTTGAAAATAACTGATTATTTTTCTTCAACAATAATGGAAAATTTATTCTTCAAGTCCTATTCTTCCTCCACAACTAAAGCAGTTTTAATGATGGTTCTTCTTCACTTCATTCTGCAACATAATTTTCTTCACAAATTTCCCACTGGAACTCTTCGAAAAATCACTAATTCTTAATTATATTTTATGTAAACACACATTGTTATTCCTATACTCCTTTGAGTAAACACCATTTCTTCTTTTTCTAGATATATATGCAATTACTTTTTCTGTCATTTCACAAAATAATGCAAATTAACACAAATTTACATTAAACTAATAAAATATTTATTTATGCTTACCATCTTCAGTTTCTTCATTGCATTTGTCAGTGGTTGTATCAGCCTATAGAATAACACATTTAATAAATTACAACTTTAATTTTTCTTTTTTTTTTTTGTTCTCACCTCATCATCATGAAAAGTTTCCTCCTCTTCTAATGTAAGCCTCAACTCACTACCATCATTGTCATCGGCATTTTGTTCCGCATTTGTATTTTTTACCTCATCTTTTTTAACAACAGCTTCTTCCTTTTTATCTGACTCTTCAGCCTTGTCAACTTCATTGTTAGTCTAAAATAAAACGTTTATAAACAACAACAAAACAATATACTTAACTGAAATTACATCATCTTCAGCTTTTCCATCATCCATTGCTTTGTTGGAGGTTTTTGTTTCCTCTGTGATAGAGGAGTCAGCCTCTGTTATTTCAGATTTGTCTAAGTCATCCTCAGCTTCTACAAATAAATAAAATCATTTAAAATAACACTTATATTTTTCATCACCGATGCACTTACGGATAGATAACCGTGGCTTCTTTTCAGAATGTTCAAACAGGAAGGTTTCTGGGTCATTTCCCTCATCTTTAAGGGCCTATAAATTTAAAAATGTTTAAAAGCTAGATATAACTGTTTTAAGAATACTGTAATAGTGTCAACTTGGTATTGATATAACTGTCTTAGGAATGTCAACTAAAGCTAGGTATAATTCTAGACTACAATAACTAAGTGATAGTAAAAGTGAATATATCATAGCCATAAAAAAAACTATGATGATGGATGCGATTCCTCATCGATCAACGCATTTTCAAGTTAAAAACTCATAACCATATTTTCTTAGAAAGATATAAATTGAGAATGAGCATTTTTTAACCAATCCAAACATTTTTTAACTATACAATATAGTGCAGCTTGATTAATAATCCATGTAAAATATAAATTAACATACCTTGCTCAATCTATCGAATAATACTTGTTTTACGCCATTACGGTCCAGTCCCCTTTTTTCCAATTCCGCCTTTAAATCTATAACTCTTAGATCTGTTAATTTTTTCGCTTCCCCTTCAGACATGTTCGCTACACGCCTATAAACAACTGAAAAAACACAATAACGTCTATTTTCTTCTTTATAAAGCACTCGAAACTAAATCGTCCACAATTTCTCTACTTGTTCAGCGACTATACGCTAGGGTTTCCTGTTTATTTATCGCGCATGTGCGGTGCAGTTCATAATGTACGCTTGCGTTTTAATTAAAAAAAAATCGATTAAACACTCGTGAAACCCTTGGTACAAACCAATGCGAAACCAATTAAATACAATAACAATGTTTACTCGTTGTTCTTTTATATCGATTAATTTGTTATTAAAGCTGTAAAAGTTTCAGTGCAATCTTCGGGTTTTAATACGCGACAGTGACATCTGTACGAATTTTACAGGTTTCTGTTTTAGTCATGGTGGTCGTAGTTATTGAGCTGGCAGAGTTGCCAATAGAGGAAAAAGGGTTTGTTCCAATGCAGTAAATAATGTTTAATAGATAAAGAATTTAAACAACGTTTGTTATACTATACTATGTACTAGTATTATACTACGACTTGTATAATATATTTTTATAATAATTGTTATTATAAATTACTAAATACGCATTTTTTTATATTGATTAGGTAATAAACAGAAAATTGTTGGAAGAGGCAATTTTCGGTGTACTAGGTACATTTTCCAAAAAAAAATGTGTTGAAAATTATATATTTAAAGAAATCTGGGCGATTTCAAATTGAATCATACAAAATTTACATATACATATTATGTGCTATACTTTACATCAAAAAGTACCACTTTGACTTTTAAATACAAATAACCCGGTCAACATTGTAACGTAACAGTAACCAAAATGTTATGTAACGATTGTGATGTGTAACGTTACAGTTACATAACCTGATGGTTGCAAATGGGTTCCTATTTCCCACTCATTGAAGTAATATTCTAACATAACAATGTTACATTGCCGTTATGAAAGTGAAACATAACTGTAACGTAACATTAACCAAAATGTTATGTAACGATCGTAACAGTACTGTTACATAACCTGACGGTTGCAAATAGGTTCCTATTTTCCCCTTTTTTAAGTAACATTGTTACATAGCAATGTTACTTTGTTGTTATGTATCTTTTTAATGGACCACAATGTTACATTGCCGTTATAAAAGTGAAACATAACTGTAATGTAACATTAACCAAAATGTTATGCAACAATCGCAATATGTAACATTACCGTTACATAACCTGATGGTTGCAAATAGGTAACAATGTTACGTCGCCGTTACATTTTCGCAATCTTATGTTACATAACATGGCCTTTACGGTTATGTAACATTATTACGTTGCAACGTTATTATGCTCGACATGAGAAACTCCTGTCAGTTGAACGCTAAAGCGTATCAAATGATACATAAGTCGTATTTTGACTTTCCCATAATTAGGCATACTGTTTGAGGTCCAATGACAAATGGACATGGTGTTCTGTCTTAACTTCGTTTATATACCTAATCGAGGTGGTAACACGAGCGAGATGTAAATGATATGTATAAGTATAAGTTTGTTACGTAACATAAATATAACTGTTACGTAACAAACTTAATAAAATAGTATTGCAATGTTACGTTACTGTTATTATGCATATTGGTAATTTTGTTATATTACAATAGTTTCGCAATGTTACGTTGATGTTATATTGCATATTGCTAATTTTGTTATATTACAAAAGTTACGTTGCTGTTATATTGCTTATTGTCAATTTTGTTACTTTACAATAGTTTCACAATGTTACGTTACTGTTATATTGCATATTGGTAATTTTGTTATTTTACAATAGTTTCACAATGTTACGTTGCTGTTATATTGCTTATTGGTAATTTTGTTACATTACAATAGTTTCACAATGTTACGTTACTGTTACATTGCTTATTGGTAATTTTGTTACATTACAATAGTATCGCAATGTTACGTTACTGTTATATTGCATATGGATAATTTTGTTATATTACAATAGTTTCACAATGTTACGTTAGCGTTATATTGCTTATAAGCAATAGTGGTAATTTTGTTACATTACAATAGTATCGCAATGTTACGTTATTGTTATATTTCATATTGGTTAACTTGGGACGGTAACAATGTTACCATTATTTTAGGTAACTGTTGCGCTGCATTTTAGTAACATCGTTACATTGCAATGTTACTCCTATGTTACATAACGGCAATACTGTGTTACGTTAAATGTTGACCGGGAATTGACGTTATCTGTCTGTCGGTTTAACGCTAATTTTGTCTTATTTTTTGAAAATTATAAAATATATGTATTTTTCTATTCTAAATTAAGACCTTACATAGTAGGTATACCTTTTTGGCAAATGTGCACAAAAATTTATTGGATATTTTTTGTTATCCAAATAAATAAAAAAGTGCAAAAATAATGTTAAAGGGAAAAGTAATTAAAAAGAAAACCGTTAGATAATTAAAACAAAATTCTTAGAGAGGGGTGTTAAGATAAAGTAGACGGTTAACGTTAATTTTTTTCATCATATTAAAAATTAAAATGCGACTTAAATTATAGAAATCCACCCCACTAAACATTGTCCTAAGAATACTGAAACTAAAGGGTCAACGTTCTAAAGAATAACTATACTATAGTGAAGTGACCGGTTGAGTCCCCTTGCCATTATGTAAATTGACGTAAAAAAAAACGGACCTACTTTAGTAATGTAACATTACTATACGCGTAAGTTATTTACCTGTAAAGAAAATGGCCTCAAGATTGGGGCAGCCAGTTTCGACATTTTTTTGCTTAGGCGTTTTATTACCAGAAGGGTTACCGAAAAAAAAACATCAAAAAAGTGGTTTAATATTTGGTGAGAACCAAGAACTTAAGAGTTTTTTGTCTTTAGTTTTTGAATACATTACATCATATTTAAATTGTTAGGTAACCAAATATATTTTTGGATAAATGTTAATAGTTCCAATTAAAATTATTTTTAACGCACCTTTGTGGTTTTTGTAGATAAACTTATCGCTATTTTCTATTTTTTGTTCAAAAAAACTTCCAATTAAACTAGAAAAATTTAAATACCGTGGTTTTAAGATAATTTATTAATATTAATATTAAAAAATAATTCACTATACCTACCAAATTCATGATGATTTTTTAACATTACATTTTTTTACTTTAAATTTAAGCTATAATATAGTGTGATTCACATAACTGATTAATTAGGAATTTATAGAAATCTGAAATTTTGGTGGCAGCTATAGCGCCACTTCACTTCCGGATGAACAGGAAGTGACAATTACCTTGTTTTTTCAAATGGAAGCCTATAAATGTTGTTAAATTTTTCGTAGAATTCAAAAATTTAACAACATTTATAGGCTTCCATTTGAAAAAACAAGGTAATTGTCGCACAGCACATATATCCATTGGACGTCCAGTGGACGGCCATTGTACATCCAAACATCCAATGTAAGTTCATTTGACGTCCATTGGAAATCTTGTGCTGTATGGGTTTTGAATTGTTTTTCTATTTTCAATTGTCTTTGAAGTATTTTTTTTTATATTTTGACATTTGGTATTACCAACAGTTGGTATTACCAACAATTGTAATGTTGAAAAGTTCATTTATCTATTTTGCGTTCATAATGACTTCATTATAACACCGCTTTCGGTGCTGTTATGAGATAGTTTTTCCCACCCAAAATTTTGCTTGACTATACTTTAAACAGCATAATATTTTGAATATTGGTTATAAGATTTTTATGATTTTTCTAGTACTTACGAGACTTTTCTGGCAACCAATGACTGTGATACCAACTATCTAAAGTAAAATTCGACCAAATTAAATTTAAGGTATACAATTTTTTTTTTATAAAACTCATGTCATAAGATCTTTTGTCGCACTCGTCCATTACATAAATTGTCCGCATGCGATTAAATGACATCTTATTTATGACATTAGTTGTTTAATATACTATTTTGGTATACACGTTAACAAAGGAGCCATTAATAGTTTTCTAAAATGTTGGAAATGGTGTGAAGAAAATTATGAAAATATTTTACTACGCTAGTATTAAAATGGCGCAATTTTGTAGACACCCTGTATATATAGGTACACTTATTATATAATATAATATAATTTGTTTCAACGGTATTACGGCAATTGTTATTTATTTGTTGCAATAATTAAAAATGTTAATTGCTTGGAATTTTTAAGAAATCGTTAAAAGTGGCACATTAACTAGGTATAAATAATTCAGTGCATAGGTATACCTATATTAATTTTAATTAATATGGTTCGGCAAAAGAGGTCTAAAAACAAAATCAATCTAATGAAACAAATGAAAGATACCTAGTTGGTTTTTTGTCAAAACCGGCCATAGCAAACCGCATGTGAGTTCCCACATTCAACTTTTTTTATGATATGCTTGGGACGTAAGCAAAAAAACAATACCTTTTTAAATTCTGTCTGTATGCACACACAAGCTGCTTGCTTATAAATTTGATTCTCAGTCATTTGTACCTCCTAAAATAAATTAAATAAATTAATACCTAATAAAATAAAATTATTTTTATTTATGCTAATAGAGTTACATAACCTTCTAAAATTAACAAATAAAAATAATATAAAAAATCAATTATCAAATTTATAGATCAACTAATTATTTGTATAGGTCAGTACAACAAATAAAAGTTAAAAATATCGTCACAATAAATGTTACGTAATTAAATAAATAATATATTAAATACATAGGTCATACCTACATACATACATATGGGGGTTTAAAATTTCAGGAAAAATTGAGCCGGCGGAAAAAAACCGTTTTATCTAAAAAAAAACAGAAAAATTGGGAAATTTTCAGAAAAATTGATTTTTGCATTTTTTTATTTTATTCAAAGGGTAATGCAAAAAAATGCAAGTCAGTTTTTTGAACATTTTCAAATTTTTACGGATAATATATGTATGTACACTGATATCGAGAAAAAAGTGAATTTTCGACGCTGATCATCTTAATAATTATTCCTTTTATTTCAATTCAGTGAGAATATTCTACCGGGCCGCAAAAAAACACATTCGGTGCTGTATTAACATAACTTTCGTTTTATTTGACACATCGATTTATAAAATTATAATTTTGTAATTTAACTTTAATTCATTATTTTGTTATTGGATATTTTCAATTGACTGGATTGATGTACATATATAATATATATTTAACGTTATTTAAAATAATGTTAAGATATTGATTGCTATTTTTTTTTAATATGTATATTTTCCAAAAAAAAATACAAAATAGTTGTTTCCAACTTATCTATACATTTTTAACCAAGTGTGCTCTTTGTAATAATTATAATTATTTGTACAGTACCAATTTAATATTTAAAATAACTTACAAAAGTTCTAAACTAAAACTAAAAAAACTGTTACCTAATAAGTTGCGTGTAGACATAGTTTAACTATTTTTATCTACTCCTATTGCATAATTTTGTTTATCTACTCCTATATTGACGAGCTGTGACTTTATGGCATTTTAATCACGGAGTGAAGTTAACAACAGTGGGTTTTGGGCCTTTTAGTCACGGGCTGAAGTTAGCTTTATTTTAAATTGCGAAAAAGTGAGGTTAAATTCGTTGACAGTTGACAGATGTCAAATGTCCAACAAATAAAGTTGGCTTTAAATTCTTATTGGTGTTCGTCGTAGATAAACATCTTCAAGACACAATTTTATTTGTTAAACAAAACATAAAACGTACAATTATACGCTAAAGAAGTATCGGGTTTTCGCAACGCGCGCGCCATCTGATGGACTTCGAATGCATTGCGTGAATTTAGGAATTGTCAACAATAAATTTAAAGCAACGATTATACATCATTTTTAAATAAATATGTAGTATTTTTACAAAAGAGAGGAAGACAAATTTTGTTCAATTGCACAGCTAAATCGCGAACGTTATTTGTGTTTTACGTTGCAACTTGCAAGGAAAAAATTAAAAAACTTTTTTAGTACTCGATTTCGATTGATTATTCCTTATATCATTGATTAAGAAACTCAACGCCTAAATGCTTATATAGTTACGTTAGTGTGTGTATTTTATGTATCATGGTGAATTATTGTGTTTTTAATTGTAAATAAAATTTTCATGTTTTGCCAAAGGATCCAATTCGGTAAGTACATTTGTTGGTGCAGAATTAAGTAATGATAACTTTACCTAATATAATTTATATTTAAGTTTGGAAATTTTTAAGAAATTAGTAAAAAATAATTTTTGCACAAACATAACCTTAAAATCAATCATTTTTATATTTGAGTTCTCTAAAAAAAGCCGACAACTGCATTTTAAACAACAAAATATACCTACGAATTCATGGCAACATAATATTATATATAGGTAATACATAATATAATGGTATTTTACCGTTGAGTGGAGACTTTAAAGAATTCTTAATCAACGCTTTTAATAATGCTAAATGCGGTTTAAATTTAGACGACCTATTTGTTTGACGATTTTTACTGAATTGAAATGTTTACACTTTTCACGTTAATCACTACTAAAATGTGTATTTATTAGGGTGGTCGTTAAAAATTAAATTTTTTGCGACGCCCCCTAAAAAGCTTCGTTTTGATAAAAAAAAACACTAGGAAATTTTTTTATTTTTTTTAATTAAAAACAACACGTGCCTCAAGACGATCTAAGTTAATTTTTTGGTATAATCATGTCTTTTCTGAAAATATGGAATAATAATATTTTTGAGATTTAAAAATTATTAACAATGAAATAACTTCACCTTGGAGTGAAGAAATCAAGATATTAAAATTACGTTTTTACTAATTTAGTTTTAAAATAAAAATATCAATTTGAATATCTTTCATTTTTTTATTTAATAGACCAAATCAACTGGGAAAAATTTTGAATTTAAATTTTTGTCTCTTGTTATTTCGATTAACTATTGTTTTTTTATTGATTTGGGTTCTATAATTGTTTATATATGTTTTTTTGGAATTTTTTTATGAAAAATAAAATTTTATTGGAGATATATCTCGAATAAAATTTTATTTTTCATAAAAAATTTCCAAAAAAAATGATTATACCAAAAAAATAACTTAGATCGTCTTGAGGCACGTGTTTTTTTTTTAATAAAAAAACTAAGGTTACCGAATTTTTGTATTGGCCCAAACGGTTTACTAGGAGGTAAACAACTTTACCCGATTGGTCTAAATTATTTTTACAGCATAGGCGATATAATGAATCACTTTAGTAATAATAATAATTATTTACCACTTAAACACCACAAAATTAAATATAAATAGAATAAAATAATTGGTAAAATAAATACAAAGTAACCCCGTAAGTTACAACTTGTCTGGGGAAATAAATACAGAAAAAAACGTAATTAAAGACTAAAAAATAAACATAAAAAAATTCAATTATTATGGCAAAAACAACGTAAATAACATTAACAATAGTAAAAATATATACAAAAGTTAAATAGAACCAGTAGTGTCTTAAATGTATTTCAGGCTGAAATTTTCAGCAGCGGCTATTAATTAATTTATCTATTGAAGATTCTGCCATGTGTATTAGAAAATCTCTTAGTTGTTTTTTAAATGAATAAAACTGTTATTATTTGGGACATAGGACTACTTTCTTAATTTTTCCATGGAACTACTTATTTATGCGGCAAATGTGTGGACAATAATAACGTTTAAATTATAGAACGCTTAAAGATAAAATAGTCCAGTTGTTAAGAAATTCTGATCAGTGTAAATGTATAATGCCTACCTATGTTAGCTACAAAGTAAAGTGCATAGGTATGGGACACTTGTCCGAACCGGACTTTGGCAAGGTGTAGGTCAGTGGTATAAATAATAATCGAGTCGATAAAATGTCCTAATGCAACATCGAAAAACGTGCGTAAGCGTGTGCTAAAGCGGCAGTGGTAGTGGGAAAGGACGTTGCATTCGGCAAGCAAGGACCATTACAGGACAGGACGTAAGCTCCGGTTTCCGTAACCCTTTGGGCTTTCGCGCGCCGGGAGTGGGGATAGCAGCCGCGCCACGCTCAAAAGCTTTCCAGCACAAAACAATCTCAACTGGACTGCAGTTCTGCGAACAGCTATCCGATTTTTCTTGAGTTTTGTTTTTTGTTATAATTTACTTCTACATGGTATGTGATATGGATAACCAACACAGCAACCATACCAATGACGATTCGCAACGTTCTCACAGTGCGGAGCCCATCAACACAGTGTCCGGAAATTCCGTTGTCTCGGGTAATTGTGCCAGTGGTAGTATAAGTGCAAGGCAATCGCCGAAAATTTGTGCACCACCTATGACCGCCTCCAATGCCATTCTGCTCCAGAGGAACTCTTTGTCGCCCTCTGTACCCAGAAAAGTCATGAGCAAGAACAACAACAACACCAGTAAGTCGCACGCATTCTATCAACATTTTATGTTGCTTTTAAAAACAATTTTTTACACCACTAAATAAATATTCAATACTAAAATGCACTTTGGTACTAATCAGGCTAAATTTAATTGAATTACCTAGTTGTTTAAGTTTATATTTAAATTTATATATTTTAAACAAAACCTGTAACAAAAATTTTGGTTTGCTATCAATAGCAAATTTAATTGAATATTAAATAAGTATAGTTTTTTGCAAACAAAATTTTGTATTAAATATTAAATTATTCTTAAATTTAAAAAAATCAAAAACAAATATGTACCTTTATTATATATACCTTTATTGGTATCATTAAATTTTCTGAAATAAAAACCATAATTATTAAATTTAATATTTTATTTACAGTTATGTACCTAAATATAGTTTTTAATGAATACAAATTAGGATTAAATTTAATTAATAAAACCTATATTTTGTCTATTTTAATGATACCCATATTAGCCTAATTAGCATAAAAACTGTAATAACGTACTTGGGTATAAACAAAATTGGCACCCTGTATAACAGCTAATTCAATTGTTTATGTAATTGAGAGCCTATGAAATAATTAGTTTCACAATAATATTGTTCAATTACAACTACAAGTAAAAAAGTTTATTTTTGGTAAATAATTATCGGTTCAGAAACTATAAATAGAAAGTCTCATAGTTTTTTTTATTTCCACACCAATCAGACAATCGCATAATTGCCCTTAATTAGAATTAAAATGTCACAAGTGATTTATAGACGAAAGAAAAGAGATGCAGTAAATATTCTTGAAACAATATTAATAAATTACTTTTTAGTTGAGACCTAACTGGGCAATATTGTTGCTTTTTCCACGTCGAATGAGTTTAGTTTTTAGCAGCACGTTTAATTAATTAATATTTTATTTCCTTAAAAATAATGAAATATCGTTGCGTGTGACTTTTTAATATACCCTGTATATGGACATGTTGTGTTCGACCGTAAAATGGGTTTAGTTTTTTTAATAAAGCATATATCTTTTGCATCGGGTCTAGTTTTTGTTCCATGTTTTATAAACGCTCGGAATGTTCACTTTAATTTCGGTAGCGGTATTAAATCGATATGGTAGTTTTTCTCAGGCACGAAAATTTCCACTGGAAAAAACTAGTCCATGCCGCGCGATGGCCGACCAAACAAAAAATTACACAGCAAAAACTGCTCGAGACACTTTTTATTCGGCGGTCAGACTGATTTCAACTCAAGAACTCCGCTCGTACACTCCAACACACAGATAATAATTCACACAAACTATTTTCATTTATTACAAGATTACTTTAACCACCATTTGAAAATCACTTTTTATTTAAAAAGACAGAAAACTTGTTGTTATAATTACTTAAAAAATATTATATTATTTATTGGCGTTCTGGATTCCGTCCGTCCTTAAAATTATGGTTAAATTACATAATTTATACGTTTTTACTACATTTCAAATATTTTGCGTTCTGGATTCCGTCCGTCCTTGTAAAGGTAATAGGCATTTTAAACATTTTTATATGAGCATATAAAAAATATATTATTTAATGTGGTTTTTCATATTTATAGTAAAATTTTATACAAATATATCCGTACAAAATATGCAATTTTACAAAATACATAATTTTACTTAAAATATGCAAAGTAACAGGCGCGTGGGCAGAAAAAAATTCGGGGGTAGAAATACAAGAGTAAAATGAAATTATACAGATCATAAACTTGTTAGGATTTCTTAAAAAATCTTAAAGACAACTGTTTCTCACATTTCGGGGGGGGAGGTTCAAACCCCCCAAAAAAACAGCCCACGCCCCTGCAAATTAATATACTATTTTATTTTATAAGCATAACCTGGACAGTTTTAAGGCATATGTAGACAATTCAAATAAAATTTGGGTGATTTTAGACAGTTGTTTTACATTTTTGGTCATTTTAGACCGTTTGGGTCATTTTAGACAGTGCTAATACAGTTTGGGTCATTTTTAGAGAGTTTTAAGTTCATTTTGGACAGTTCTTAATGTAGTCGTTTAGGTTAGCTTAAATTTAGTTTAAATTTTCAAATTTAATTAAATTCATAATTATATTATGTCCAAATTTCAATAATTTTACAACAACAAAATGTAATGTGCATTACTTAGTTTCCCTAACTGTACATACAATTTACTACTTAACTTAAAAGCTACCTAAAGTAAATTTTATAAAAATACTTTTTTTTACTAAAATGCTGTTCGTATTCATAAAGTCGCATAAGGTAAAAATATCAAGTCTCTGGAAGACCAATTAAACTGTATTTTTATTCAGGCTTAAATTTTCAACGTTTTTACTAAAAACTTAAAAAAATAAAAATTGTAAACAATGCGTAGAATAAATTCGTTGCGTGATGTAAATTATAAACGTATACTTTGTGCGAGAGTGTACATCAATATAGCAACGATGGCATGCCATTACAAGAGGTTTTTTGTGTACTTTTAACTTCACCTATCCTGAAGTTTTTTTGACAAATACCTATAGTTGTATAGCATTTAACAATTACAGGCAGACTGTACAAACCATAAGAAACATTTCTGAATTCAATTAGAACTTTATAATGCCATTTTTAGCGGCACTGAATACCTATGTATGTATGTATTTGTTTTATTTTGAAACGGCCTTTTGTTTTACTGCAAATTTTTTTTATTAATTATGACGTGAATATCATATTTCAACGTCTTTTGTGCCCATTTCCTTTTTATTCAACTAAGTATAATTTGCATTTTCTCTATTGTTTTAAAAACCGACCGTTGGCCAAAAAGTACGTTACACCCCTAAGCTTAAGCATTTGTAATTGGTAAAATCTTAAATCGCAAGCCCTTTAAAAAAATCAGGGGGTAGAAAAAGAATATGGCTCCTAGATGAACAATAGAACACTGTGGGGCGGGTTTAGCTATTCAACGAATTTGGCAAACACTTGGCCCTACCTACGATTGGTCCAAATTCGTTTGGGGTGGTACGCACGGTACTCAGGTAGCCCCGAGGTACGCACCCTTCACGCACGCGTTTTTTTACTTCAAGGGTTGCCGCAAAAAATAACCCTTTTAACTTAAGGTCAGTTTAAATAATATGGGAATTGTTTTTTTGTCTTGCGATGATACTTTTTTCTTCCTACCTATTCTGTGAGAACCTTTTTTTTAGTTTTAGTAATTATATTTTTATTCTAATAAGTATACACCTGCTTAATATTTTTGTAAAATATTTTAATTTGCCGTGGCGCACGTGAACTTTAAAAAATTCGACAAAATAGATAAATAAAACTACATTCACGTTAACCTTTTCAAAATAACTTTTAATTTGCATAAGCGCTGTATATTGTTTAGTTCAAAATTGAATTTTTAAATAAGTGGCCAGTTTTTATTAAGGTAATATGCTGCAATCAAGTTTTTTTGGTTGATGATATTATACCGTCTGACTACATCAAGTTTTTTTCATTATAATAGCATGATCCAACAAAAACATAATGAACCAGAAAAAAAAATTATCCTTATTTCGTTATTCACAAAATTGGAATTGCACCATTATCTTTTTTGTGGGCCTTTTAAAAAAATTATCTAATTATTTTTTCAGCTTCGTTGAGTTACGTAATTATTTTTACATTAATTAAGGTTGTTCTTAGAAAAAATACGAGGAGACACAACAAATACAGTGATGGACTAAAAGGTTTTTTAAATTTCAATACAAATTATTTGAACTTAATTTAAATATTTCTCCATTTTTGGATTTGGAAATTTTTTATAGATCTCTATCTTAAAAAAGTTTTTAGCCCTCTATATAGATATAGATTTAAGTAAAAGCGTAGAGCTTAAGCTATACTTAAAATTTAAGTCAATATTACTTAATTTAAGTAAATATTTTTTTAAATTAACCTTAAAAAATTACTTTGAAGTAAAACTTTTTTTTAAAGTATTATGAGGAACGTAATTTTTACGAAAGAAAATTACTTACAAGTGTATTTCACCTAAAGGAAAATTTAACGGTAATTTTAACGTCAGAATTTTTACTTAATGGTAAATGTTACTCATAAGTCATAATTTTACGAAATTAAGACCACTTTATAATAAATAATTCCTATTTGCCTGGTATTTTTTAGGGTTATTAGTGGTAATAAATACCATTAATATTGACTAAACAAGGAAAATAAGGTGAAAGTGAAATACTTTAAGGGAATTTTTTTTCAGGTTGCCATAATGAGTTTTTTAAGATGGCTTCCATTACTTATCTAAACATTTATATAATATTTTTTCATAAATATTTTTCTAAAATATAATAAGGAAAGTTTTAGTTATTAAAAAATTATTAAAACTAAATGATTTTTAAAAGATTTTATAAAATTTTTTGGGTTTTAAGTTTTGTTGAATTTTTACCCAATCATTTTTCTTAAAACCGTAAAATATTTATAATAATAATTTTTAAGATGCCTATTTTTATCAATAAAATAATGTAAAATATTATTAGTTTTGACAATTTAATTTAATTTACTCTAGGGTGGCCTTTATTACTGTAAGTACCATTTTGTAAAATATAAATTAAAAGAACAAAGAAATTACGAATGTCAATGTTTTAGAAAGAGAGAGCAAACAGTTAGTAATTATAGCGTTATTTTTAAGTAAATTTGTGGTATTTATATTGTTTTTATTACGTTATTCTCTTAGTAGATCAAAAAGGTTATTATGTAGGTAAAATAACGAAATAAACCATTCACCAAATTTGGTAATTTTTCGTATCTATACCGTTATAAAACCAATTTGGTTAACCGTAAAAATACTTTAAAGTTGACTTAGTAGTAAATTTATAGTTATTTAAACTTAAAATGCTGCTTGATATAGATATCTGAAATAAGATACCTTTACTAAAGAAAATTACTTATGGGTTATTTTATTTTAAGGGATTTTCAACGGTAAATTTGAATCTTTTTATATACTTTTTTTTTCAAGCATTTAATTAAATTATTTCTGAATCTGTCACATCATTTTTAGATCAGGTTCAACTGACATGATAATGACATTTTAGCTTTATTTCTGTATGGAGTTTAATAATAATTTGACATTTGAACTAGTATTAATATGAAGTATAGAGTTGAGTGTTATAATATGTATAATAATTATTGTAGAAAAATCAATTTATAACCGTAAATAGTTCTTATTTGTCTGGGAACTTTTTAAGTGGTATAAAAACTATTAATAATAATAAAAACTAAAATATTTGTAAAAAATCATTAAATAATTTTTTTATCAAATATTTAAAATTTCAATCTTCCAATCATTATAATGATAGGAAATTATTTAAATTAATAGTTTATTAAAGAACTAATGTCATAAGACGTCATTTTGTCTTATGACATGAGTACTTTATGCTATTTAATCTATTTTGCAAAAATTCTATAAAAAAATTAATTTTATACCTTAAATTTAATTTGGTCGAATTTTACTTTAGTTAGTTGGTATCACAGTCATTGGTATGACAGTTAATGTCAAAATCGATTCGCCATGCCGTCCTTAATTTACTTATTTACAATAAGCGGCTGTTAATGTTAAAGAAGAAAAAAAGAATTTTCTTTGGTGTTAAACAAAATTTATTGCCAGAAAAGTCTCGTAAGTACTAAAAAAATCATAAAAATATTATAACCAATGTGCAGCAAAATATTATGCTGTTTAAAAGCCAACCTATAAAATCAAAATTTCGGGTGGGATAAATATAGGACATATTTTAGCCATCTTTTTGGGTCCAATATTAAATTAAGAATGTCACATTTCCATTGTCTTGACATTAAAATGTTTTTTTTTTGTAATAGAAAATGGTGGAAAATGTTTTTTCCAAAAACCAAAAATAGGGAAAATTGTTAATTCCAAATAATCGTAGATAATATTTGCAATTATGGAGGGTGCGCTTAACCCTTTAGCGGGCATACACACGTCTCACCCCCACCTCTCTGCGACCTTTTCTACCTGTACTTTTTTATGTTGACCCGAAGTGTATTGCATAATTAAGATTTTTTTCCGCGTTCCAAAAAAACTCCATACGACTAGTTAGTGTGAGAAAGGATTTAAAGTCTTACCGAAAGTCCGAAGGAAAAAAACAAAGCATCTTTAAAAATGATGTGTACCTGGCTTTTTTTTATAGTGGGCGCATATTCTAATATGATGTTGACATACCGTGCTCTCGCATATTAAATAGGCTCCATTTTTTCTTGCGTTCACACGAATATGACTGACCCTTTTTTGCTGAAAAAAAAGAAGAGATAATCGCCAAGCGTAAGGGAAATTTTATGTAAATACGACTCGACGAATATCGAAATCAGTTTAATAGTTTTTTGTCGAAAAGTCAGTCAACCGATTTTTAAGTAAATTGTTCTTTGAAAGCGATTTAAAAAAATAAGCAAATAAAAAATTGGTTCACTGTACTTTGCTGTAGTTTGTGGGTAGGTATAATTATATTAATATACAGGGTGTTTGGCCGTGCAATATAAAGTAGTTAATAAGTTAAAGATAGCTAGGTATGTAAAAGTTGAGAAACTGGTATATTCGTTGAATACATGAGGAAGCCATTACAGTACAGTGAAATTTAATAAGCCGCTTTTTATATGATATTTCTACATTCAGAAAAACTTGATTTATCCTATATGTTATAAATTGAGAATTTCGCATTTTTTCTTAGCTACGAACATCTGTTGAATATGAAATAATTTTTAATGACAAAAAACAGCGAATAATAACACCATTTCCCACGGGGAAGAAAAATAATGTGCAAGCAGGTATTTCAGTCATGCGCTGTGCTTTTCTTTTCGGAAAAAAGTCACCCAAACATTATTGCAGACGGTGCAGAGTGCAACGACAATTCAACAATCAATAAAAATGCAGGTCAGGATTTAAAATGACCCAATCATAGAGCGTCGCGACGCCGTCATGATATCAATTTTAACACTGAATTACTCTATTATGCAGATATAATATTTAAACCAAAACAGCTATAATAATTATACAGGGTGTTTCAATTTCACCCATGTAAATCTAAACAAAAATATTTTATTTCAGTATTCCCGACTTCCTATCCAACAAACTTGGCCGAGCTCCAATTGTACAGGGTGATGCAAAATGCGTCTCTTCTTCTGTATTACGACACACTTCTGGAAATGGGCGGTGATGACGTCCAGCAACTATGCGATGCCGGCGAAGAGGAATTCCTGGAAATAATGTCACTGGTTGGTATGGCGTCAAAACCGCTTCATGTGAGGCGATTACAAAAATCTCTGCAAGAATGGGTGACAAACCCGACGAAATTCAAAATTCCCCTGGCACCAGGCGAAGACTTTGAGCTGGAACTGTCCAGCCCGAGAGTGACGAGCAACCACGGTTTTTACTCTGTAGATAGCGGCGATAGCAACAGAACCATGTACTCCCCTTCCCCTGGTGATATTTGTGCCTTACCTCCTGTCTCCAGCCCTGGATTAACCCTCAGCAAAAGACCTTACTCCCCCTTAGACCCATCGTGCCCCCCATCATCTAGCTCCAGTCCCGGTTCCAGCATGTCGGTGCAGCTGACGCCAACCCTAATGGAAAACCAAATAGTGAAGCTGGCAGCTGCAGCCGAAAGGCTCAGCAAAAGTTTACCATCTTTCGAACCTAAACCGCACAACACCAAGAAAAAAGTGTGCAAGGAACTTGAGGTAGTAAGTAGACGAGATAAAATCACTTTATACTAATTGTCATTGAAATTTCAGCTGGTGATGTCGATGCCTGAGAATGATCCGAGAAGAATGGACGAAATTAGAAGATATGCCGCTATTTATGGCAGGTTTGATTGCAAAAGAAAGCCGGAAAAACCTTTGACACTGCACGAGGTTTCCGTTAACGAAGCGGCTGCCCAAATTTGTAGGTTTATCCCGGCCCTTCTTACCAGAAGAGACGAATTATTCCCTTTAGCTAGACAAGTAGTCAAGGATTCTGGATGTTACTACTCCAAAACCCAGTAAGTCTTTCTAACGTAGGCAACGTTAACATCGTAAAAAATTTGTTTTCTACCATAGGTTGTCTTCAGTGTATATGAACAAAACTATGGGTCAGGATTTGATGGACTCGATGAACAGGGGCAGTCCTAGGATAGTAACCTCGGATAGCGACGGTCATGTAATAAAAAAGCCAAAGTTAGAGCCGGTTTCTGATTGCGATGACCAACGTCAGGTCAGACATTATTCCCGCCAGATCATACAAAATCTAAATAAACCACATGTCATTATTAACCTAGAAGATTAACGCTACGCTTCGCTATTTTACAGGCTTCATATGTTTTGCATGTTGTATATTGCGGTGCTTAAACGCTTTAAATGGATACGAATAACGCCCAAGAAATGTGATATAATTTTCAGTCTAGTCTATTTACTAATATAATTGGTTTCTTTTTTTTTGGGTAAAGGTATACACTTAAAGACAATTAATTTATTCGTTTTATAGATTATTTATCTAGTCAAATTAAGCAATTGTTGGATTTAGTCAGTTTGTTAAATAAATTTAAAAAAATTAGTTGCAATCCCCTTTATAATAATATTTATAAGCAGTGTTACAGGTGATACAGTGATTGTGATTATTTTATTTTCAGGTTTATTTATAGGGTAAGAAAGTGGTAAGGTCCAACATATTACGCTTTATTTAATTGTCTTTAGGATTATTATACAAAACTTTTATATTTTCTCGCTACATATGCATTCCCCACTTCACGCGTCACAATCTGCTACATTCAATTTTTTAATACTTCCTTCCTATGTGAAAATATATTCAGTTTTATACAATAATAATCGCTTTGTGTATTTTTGTCATATACTCCTGGGATTGCAAAGCGATACTGATTCGCCGAAACAGTGTTGCCTCCTTAAAAATAAATTTCGGTAAATAACTTGGTCAAAATTCGGTAGAAATCGGTAGATTTAAAGTTTGTGTTAAAATCAGGAGCGTAGCTACCGCGGTATCAGCCGTATCAATGATACTGGGCCCTCGGCTAGGGGGGGCCCGATTGGCTTCAACAAGCGAAGGCAAAGAACATATTACCCACATGTTAAAAAAATTGAGGCATGAAATTAAATAAGTAAATAAATAATATTATTATTTAATTGTTTATACTTCGATTTATTAAATTAAAATTTTCCAGAATACTCTCCCCAGATAGCACAAAATCTTTCAAATACCTTTCAGAAATATTGAATTCTTTCTTTTATGTTTTATATTACTAAGGAATATACCTGGTATATCTCAGATATATTTTCTTGTGTTATTACATACGATTGAAGTAGTAATATTTTGGATATATGTATTTGAAATATTTTTGAAACAAATTCGTAAACATCTGTTTTTACTCAAAATAAAAGCCTTGTTCGAACAAACGTTTCTGCCGCACCTTTCCGCTATGCGCATATTGTTCTGTGCTCTGCGCCGCATATTAAGTCTGATTTGCGTGTTATTATCATATGTTATATTAATAGCAAATTATAAATAATTATTAGCGTTACAATTCATTCAAATTACTTGCCTTTATTTTAAAATAGAAACCTTTTAAAAGATGTTGAAGAACGGTGAATGTCTGTACATAAAATGCTATGTATACATATATTATTTATTAAATTATAAAAAAAAATTGTTTGCCAAAAATAGACTTTTCCCGTATAAGGGCCCCTACCAGATATTTGATACGGGGCCCCCTAGTGGCTAACTACGCCACTGGTTAAAATTAACGTTTTTTTTTGGGAAATAATAATTGATTGTTAATAAATATAAATCCAAAAAAGATTAAACTCTGTATTAAAATAGAAAATAAATAATAAAATACTTAAAATAAAGAAAAAACTCTTAATTAAAAAAAAAAATTAGGTTTAAAAGAAAATTATAAAAAATAATTAAAACATTATTTAGATCTAAAATCTATGCATTTACTCTAGACAAGATTTTCCGCTGTAAATAAAAAAAAAATAATTTTTTATCTAAAAATTCAACGGTAAATTTACTTTTAAGCTTCTATGTTTAAAAAGAGCATCTTTACCACTATTAATATTAATTTATTTCTTACAACTTTAAATTTATTCACACAATTGTTTTTCCACTCTTTCTTGCTTAAAATTATTAAATTAAAATGTACGAATTATAAAAATCGGTAGAAAATGAGGTCTCTTCGATAGATGGACTGCCAAATCGGTAGAGGTGGCAACACTGCGCCGATCGCCGGCATATGTAGCGAGAAAATATGAAAAGCCTGTATGTAACGCTTTATGCTTTTTAGAATAAATCTATGGAAATCACTATTTTAAATATGCTAAAATAACACTATATTTATTTGCTTTTATTTTTTAGTATGCAGGTCTAGAAAATCAAGGTAAGGCTTCAGTATACTGCTTAGCTTAGCTTTTGCATGCTTATTATTATTATTATTAATATTATTACATATACATGTGATTTGGGTAATAATTTTGTATTAAATATATTTGAATTCGTTAGGATTCTTGCTATGAAGACGCTGTTGTCATGAGAAGTTCTCTTCATTCCTTGTTTCAAAACCATTCCAAGAATAATTCTAGGTATGTTTAACAAAAATAATTACCATGCATTTTATTTATTTTGTATTATTTAGGGGCACACGTAGATCTTCATTAGGATTAGAATTAGAAGATAACGACTCCCACTTTTCATACAGCAATTCTAGTTCACCTAAGGTAAGATACACCAACCAAACCGACAAATGTTAAAAATTTGTCACAACAGTTTTTTTAAATGCTACTGTGCGATTTTTTCCTACCATTTAATAAACTTAGGGGTCGTCCATAAATCTCGGATTAGTGCTACTGTGCGAATTTTTCCCGCAATTTTTTTTTATTTTGAACCAGGGACCCGGACCGAAATGAAATATCGGTTCCGGTACGGTTTTGGTTCACCCTATTTTCGTTTTAATGGTTCCGATTCCGGTTTCGGTTTCGTGGAGTTATAACGGTTCGGTTCTTTTCGGTTTTAAGCGGTTCCAGTGAGGTTATTTGTTTTACGTAATTTTAATCTATAACCTAATATGTTATATAATGTTATTAGAATGAAAGCAAATAAAGGTTTCGGTTCCGGTCCAACAGATTTTATCAAAAGCGAAAACGGTTCCGGTTCGGAAAAAAAAACCGGTTCCGTTCCGGTTTTCGGTTTTTTTCGGTTTCGGTCCGGGTCCCTGTTTTGAACTACTGTGCGGATGTGTCCTACCATTTTTTAAATGTATGCAAGTCAGGGCAGTTTTAATTCAATTTTGTTCGAATTTGGTCAGTTTTCAATTACCCGAAACATTTATTTTATGTGCAGTTTTCAATTACCCGGTTTTAAATAAATTAAATTTAAGGGCAGTTTTTAATAGTCCAATTTTTTCTGCACACATATCTACATCTTAAGCCTGATTTATAGATTGCCTTCCTTCCTTTTACGTGAGGAAGGAAGGAAGGCAATCTATAAATCAGGCTTTACGCGTTACGCTTAAGGCCTTAGCATCGGTGTTTCAGAACAGGCAGATTCAAAGCACCAAAGTATATGTATATTTCTTTTTAGTTTGGTCAAGAGCAAGACGGTTCCAGCGGAAACTCTTTGCACGTAAGTGAAAATGTAATATATGATTTTGTATTAAACTTTCTTTTCAAGAAAAAGGCAGAAAGTCAGGGAGACGTGGAGGAGGATTTGAGCAAGTTTTCTCCAAAGGTCCAAGTTATAGCTGCTAGCGGGGACAATATTATAGCTGTTGCCAATCCAGCTTTGGCTATGTCTCCAGCTATAATCCAACCGATCGCTGCTTTGAAAGAATCCCGAAATAATTCCGACAAAGAATGACTTTTGTTTACTGATTTATATACACTTCATACTGTGATTTAACTATATTTTTAACAAAACTTGTTAGTTGACTGACTACTTTGTAATTTAATTATTAATAGTGAATGTTTTTTGATATTTTCTTAAGAAAAATGTATTATCAAACAGTGTGTTTTGTTTTTGTTTTTATTCGCTAGATAAGAAAGTTTTAAATATATTTTAATACATTTAAGATGTTTCAATAAATTATACTGATAATTTAACTATGCATGTATGTTTTACTAAAACCCAAATTCTCTTAAAATAAATATTTTATTCAAGTCTAATACAATTGAAAAGTCAAGTGATGCTTTTGAAGATGTAAAAGTGAAAAAATAATTATCACAAGACAATAATGTCCTTAATTAAATGCAATACCCAAAATATTATTCACAAAAGAACAGGGTTGCTGAATTAGAAATGGCACAAAGAAAATACTTTTTGTACAACCCTGATTTTGACATGAGGTAACAGCACAGTATAAATTAAATAACATTATTCATGCAAACAATATTGCAAGTAATTAACCTATCTGAAACTGACCTAATACTCATTAATCATTAAAATAAATTTATACAGGATGTTATAAACACGATTTACTCGAGAAGGAAACAAATAAGTGAGGTAGATTATTTTAAATTTAAATAACACCCTGTATATGCAAAGGGATGGTCTATAGAATAAAATCTTTGGACTAGTCCAATCCTTTGGAAAATATTAATAATTACTACAACTAGTTAGTAGAGTCTTCAATAATAATAAATAAAAATAAATCAACAAGAAATTATTTTGAAAACTCCACTAATACCACAATAATAAACTAAATCTACTAACAATAAATGCGTATATAGTATGTTCATTGACTTTTTTTCGTCAACGATTTTTCCTTGTAGCAATCAAGAATAATTTTATCAAACTTGTTTATGTAGAAGCAGCCAATAGCGCGCAGTGGTCCCAGGATTATAATTTGTAGGATTGTGTCAAATACTGACATAATGGGGCTCATTCCAACACACAGAGTTGTCAATATAAAACTCTCAAATCCAATGTAGCTAAAGAATTTTCCCGTCTAAACAGAATATATTATTTAAGGGTTAAAAATGATAAAATGAAATATATTACCAATGCGTCATCAAGTAATTTTTTGGCAACAGTTTCAGGCTGATGTAGTCCTCCATTTTCCGAAAGCAGCTTAGTTTCCAGAGGTTTGCTTTTATTTTCATTCTCAAATCCAGGAGTATCAGTATCTGGTGGTAAAGACAATGTTACCCCAATTCCATAGGGTTTAACCTCTTGATACAGAGACTCAGCGAGGCCCCTTAAAGCAAATTTAACTGAGGAGTACACAGAGTAACCATACATCCCCATTAGGGCTACTTGAGATGCGGTTAATACGACAATTCCTTCTTTACGTTCTTTGAACTTGGGTATGATGGCTTTGATGGGGTATAATGTGCCCAAATAGTTAACATCAATAATTTTTTTTATGTCTGCTATTGTGTATTCTTCAACAACACCACATATAGCCATTCCAGCACAGTTAATAAGCATGTAAATCGGGGCTACGGTTTCCTCAATTTCACATAGGTTGTTTTCGACTGCTTCGTAGTTAGATACATCAACTGATACTTTGGATATGATTTGATCGTTGTTGATACATGCTTTTTTGATTTCCTCCTCTGCTTCAGTAAGTTTCTCCAAATTTCTTGCCAGGATGGTCACGTTAGCCCCTTCTTTGGCTGCCATAACGGCAACAGCTTTCCCAATGCCGCTGGACCCCCCTGTCACCACTACATGTTTACCTTCAATGGATTTTCGGTTATTTTTAACAATTAATTTGTAAATTCCTGTTACTATCATAACAGGCAATAGCACGAAGAGAAACATAACTACTTGTGCTTAGCGCTAAACTAACAATAAATATTTTCTTTTTGATGTTTAACATGGAGGAAACATAACCTCAAAATTACTAGTTTTTTAATTTTCAATTGAGGCCTTTTCGGATTTAAACCCAATCGAAAATAAAAATTGTAAATCGATTTAATAATAAGTATGCATTATTTACTTCTAATTTACTTAAACAGTCTTAAATAAATTGTTTAAAATTTAAACATTTATTATGAAAACATGGCAACGTCGCTTTCACAGGCACAATTGCCAACATTGCATACAGGCCAAATTTATTTTTTTCTCTTGTTGGTATTCCGACAAAGCTTCTTATGGCGGTTATATTTTAGAAAATTCTCGATTTATTTCGCCTTTTCCAAAGAAAAATTACCAATTAGAGTGTCTGTGAGTTATTTTAGCAAATTCAATAATCCCGAAAATGTAAGGTGGTAATGCAATGTCATTTTCCAAGCCCGGTGATATTGTACATTAAAATGGAACAAAAATAAACGCACGTTTTTGTACAAAAAAATCATAACAGTAAGTGAAATGTTTTTCTTTAGTAAGTTTATGTTTTATATGATGTATATTTAGATGTCCAAGCAAAGACAAGACCTAAGAGAGGCTTTGGCACAAATTCTAAGCTGTGGAATGGATGCTGACTCTGAAGTCAGAAGGCTTGCCGAGGAAAGAAAAAAGGCCCTTGAAATGACTGAAGGTAAGTTGGAAATCACCCAATTATAACAATATACTTTGTTTAAACATAAAATGCAGTCCAACTATATTTATGACTAAACTAGTAAAAAAACGAATGCTTTTGATTTTTTATTTGTTAATGAATATTAATGCCTAATATTATTTGTTTATTTGTTATTATCCCATGGGAGTTTTTTGAAATTTGCAACTTTACTTTGTATAGAAAATTATATATATAGAAAGCATCAAACCAATTAGAGCACTGCATTCTCCACAGCACACTAGGTAAGATGGAAAATGGCGTAGTTTGATTGGCTTATTGCTTTCTATAGAGATCATTTTCTATGGAAGGTAAGGTTGCAAATTTCAAAAAACTTCCCTCTGTTAATTTTATCACTGTATATACAGGGTTTCCTGTTAATAATGGGACATATATTTCTTATTCCTAAATTCCAGACTATCCATTTTTGCTGTTGGAAATAATTGATAGTACTGAAGAAGCGGTGGATGAAAAAACCATGGCTTCCATATTCCTTAAGAATTACTTATACGATTTTTATAGACGGAATTTATCGGACCAAGTTTTACAAAATTGCGAGTCTCTTATGCCTAGATTAACCTCCCATGTAATAACCTTGATGATTAAAAATCAAACTATGAGAGAAATGCTGTGTAAAGCGTTGACTTACATAGCCTATACAGGTTATTGGGGTCTTATTGACAATAAAATAATGGCGATGTTGCAAAGCGACGATGAGAATATTTTGGGGCCTGCTGTTGTTTTCATGCGCCATTTATTCGACTTTGATTACGGCATACATGTATCATCAGAGTATTTTGAGATACTACTAAACGTATTTACAAACACTGGCAACCCTTATATTAAGGGCGAAGCAAGTTTTGCATTGATCTTCGTCGTATTCCATTGCTTCCCTGATTACCACGTTGTAATGGACGCTTGCAGAAGACTCGGGCTGAGCATCATGGACATGCTGAAGCAACCATACAGCCCCTCCAACAATTTCCACGCCAAAAGGGCGATAATCAAAAGCCTGTGCATTCTTTCCGCAGTCGATCAGCAAGACCAAAGGATCAGCTACTGGGTAATACGCGAAACCCTACCCGCCATAGGCAACATTATGATTTACTGCTGCCAGGAGTACAAACACGTCATAATGGAAAGCCCCCACATGCCCAGGGACCAAGACGAGGACCCCAAAGAGCCCAAAAATTTTATCGAACTCGTCATTAAGCTTTTAGAGCTTGTCAACAAAATTTTATGTGACAACTCTTGTTGCCGCATGCTGCAAGACGAACTCGACGACCTTTTGACCTGCCTGTTCACATTCATTTGCGCGCCTGACACTTGTTCAGTTTTTATGACTTGCCAAGACCAACCGTCTAGCTATAAAGTCAGAAATATGGCCGTTTCTGCCTTAAATGTGAGTATATGTTCGATCTTTTAATAAAATATAGTAAAATTTGCGACTTTACCTTCGATAGAAATTGATCTCTATAAAAAGCAATAAAACAATCAGAGCATTTAAGCATTTAATATATTTTATTTCTGACTTCAAAGCAGTATAACCATACTGATATTGGGGCCCACAATATAATGAATGCAGTAGTTATAGGCAGGGTTGGTTGAATTCGTCCAAGTTGACATAATTGGACGATTTTGTCCAATTATGTCCGTCCGGACAAAATCAATTGTTCTGGACAAAATTGGACAATAGTATATTAAAGAACTAATGTCATAAGACGTAATTTTGTCGCACGCGGACAATTTACTAGTGCGACAATAGGTCTTATGACATGAGTTCTTTATGCTAATTTATCTATTTTGCAAAAATTCTATAAAAAAAATTAATTTTATACCTTAAATTTAATTTGGTCGAATTTTACTTTAGATAGTTGGTACAGTCACTGGTTTGACAGTTAATGTCAAAATCAATTCGCCATGCCGTCCTTAATTTACATATTTACAATAAGCGGCTGTTAATGTTAAAGAAGAAAAAAAGGATTTTCTTTGGTGTTAAACAAAATTTATTGCCAGAAAAGTCTTGTAAGTACTAGAAAAATCATAAAAATATAACCAATATGCAAAATATTATGCTGTTTAAGTGTAGCCAACCTATAAAATCAAAATTTTCGGTGGGATAAAGTATCTCATTAAAGCACCGAAAGCGGTGTTAAAATGAAGTCATTATGAACGCAAAATAGATAAAATCAATGAAAAACAAATGGAATTCAAAAAACCTTATTATAATTATATAAGGGTGTTAAAAACAACTTAAACAACAATAAAACATAAAAAACTTAAACATGGTGCTGAACTAGCCTTTGTTGTTCTATTTAAAATTAACATTAGCAAATACTCAAAACAATATAAAATAAAATAAAATACATTCAACTTTTAAACAAAAACCTACCTAAAGTGTATTCAAATCCAAGCTGAACTAAACAAAAACGCCCAGACGCATGATAACTCGTTCTTATTGGTCTGATGGTGTGACTCGGATTGTGAGTTCGTATTGGTCGATTCGGAGGATTGTGTTTACATTTAGTCCAGCTTGGATTTGAATAGACTTTAGTTTAGAGGTTTTTGAGATACTTAACCTACATATAATAAGTAGTAGGTTACCTACTGTATACTCTCTCTAAAAATGAATTTGTCAAAAATTACTAGTTACTACAGCTTTTTCACTTATATGGTATCCGAAAATACCGTCAAAAATTATGTAGTATGGAAAATTGGCTATATCTCAAAAACTGTTCTACTTTTGACGACATTTTCGGATTTAGGGGACAATTTAACATGGAAATTGACTGCTTAATGTTCGGGATACAATTTGCTATTGACGAGCATTATTAGTGGCTGCTTTTTCGCTATGATAATTAGTCATTTTTAAATAATTCCTTTTTAGAAAGCTATAATTATAATAGTAGTGGGTAATAAAAAATAAAATGCAGTGGCACTGTGGCAGCAGCAAAATGTTAAATGAAAAAATAATAAATCATTAATGATTGTAGATTGTAGAATTGAATTATAAATAAAAATAATCATTTTCATAAAATATAATAAAATTTGATTTTGCCTTGTTTTGGACTATTTGTAGTTTATTTAATAAATATTTAGCAGTGTTTATTTCTTTCTATAGAGATCATTTTCTGTACAAGGTCTCAAATTTCAATAAAACCAGATGTCACTATTATTCTATTAAAGAACTATTAATCATTGTTATAATTGTAGAACATTTTGAGGTACTTAAAAGGCGGTCCAGTATTCTTTAAACACTTACAAACTGTATACGTAAGACACCTGACTGAATGCACATCACAGAGGCTAAGCTCTCCATTGTATTACGGAAAAATGATGGAGTCCTTGATGTATGGGCTGGGTAAAATTAGAAGTTACTTCCCGGAAAGTTACATTTTCCTCGCTGATGTTTTCCCGCATAGATATTATTTGGAAACGTGGAATTCTTTATTGAATGAAACCAACTTTACCATTGTGGGCAGGATTGTTTGGTTATGCGGCAAGTACAGCGCTTCCCTAAGCAAAGAAGCATTAGAGACACAGCTAAGAACGAATATAAGGTTTATACACAGCCTTACTGAGCCCCTATTCAACCCAGTGGCAGAGTAAGAATTTTAATAGTTATTTATATGCAGAAAAGTAATTATTTATTTTATTTTAGTGCAATAATGTACCATCTACAGTATTATGTACACAGCCCAGGTGAAAACCGCATGGTCATCAACAATTTGTCGCCTGATATTGCAGCATGTCTCTTTAAAATGGCGCAAATTAAATCCATAAAGCCACAGTGCTACCTTAATGCTTTAGGAAATCTGTACAAGGTAGGTATTTTTTCCTATGGTTTTTATAAGGATGTGAAATTAAATTTAATACAAATTTGCAATTTAACTTTTTGACCAATCATCAATAGATCTTTCTAGATGTAAAAAACCCAAAATACTAACATTTGACCGATAGAGAAAACTGGATTTAAACCGGTTAAATTCGGTTTCCAACCCGGTTAGAAATCGATCAAAAACCGGTTTTTGATATTCACAAAATATTAACAAAAAAAATCGTTTTCTGACCGATAGAGAAAACTGAATTTTTTTTAAATTTTTATATTCAAAATTTAATTAAACTCAAAAAAATCTGACTTTAATAAAAAAAAAACCAATTTTTTCTCAAAAAAAAATCATTATTTCTTTAAACCCTGGGTTTAACAACAAACAAAAGTTTAATTAAATAGTGCATGCACTACTTAAATACGTATACAATATTTGAATATGTATACACTATGTAACCGTAATGGTTATTTTGTATTCCTCTTATTTCTTTAAAAACCTTATTCGTTGATCTACATTTCGAAGTAACCCTTTTAAAATTTCGGCGTTTAAAAGCTTTTCCTCGTCGGTATCTTGTCCTACAATAAAGTTTATTTTATGGTAAAATAATATAACAATTAAATAAACCTACCTTAAAAACATCAAAATCCGTTTGTCCAATAACGATTGTATTGCTATAAAAGTTAATTATGAAACACTTGGTTTATTATTATGAATGCTTGTATACATAGGTAGGTAGGTGGTGTGTATATTTATGAATCTGTATTGTTTTTATATAAAAATCCAAATATTTTTAAAATTGTTAAAACAAAATCTACAAGAGTTATCAACTACAATATTCCTCCACATAGACTAATTCTATAAGAGAAAGGACCCTTATATTCTTGTATATCTTTTTATAATAAATTTCCAGAAGATATAAAAAGCATAAAAACAATACAAGTTTTTAAAACCACCCTATGCTTTAAGTGATTTTACTATGTAAATTTTTCGGCCATGATATCCAACTTTTGTTTGCATTCTTTGACTAGTTTCTATTAACTGTTTGTCGGTTTACTGTAACTTTTAAACATTATTTTTGAAATAAACTTTATTATTATTATTATTAATCATGTCACAAGCATGGTAACGCGATAAAATATTACTATAAACTTAGCTTCGTCTTCAATTATTACAAAACAATAATATTAAACATATTAGAGGCATTCTGTTTGTAAAGGAAAAAATATATAAAAAATCCCACTTACCAAGTTTATTAACTGTAAAATTGTACCCAAATAACACTAGAACAATGGTGTGGTGGCAGAGATAGAGAAAGAGAAGGGCAGAACATGCTGCGCTATATAACGACGTAATATACAACATTAAGGCAATTCATTTAACTCTCAGTATGAGTTAAATTAACAGTCTTACTCTTGGTTGAATTATCCTTACATTGAAGTAATAAGATAAAAATGTTAATATTATGCAATTTTAGAATAATTACTAAGATTGCTGGCTCAATATTCTAACTTTGTAAAAGCAAAATAGAAAAGAACATCGCTTCAATAATTTTTGTGTGTGTGTCCATTTAATTAATAGAAAAATGATTTAATCAAATTTCTTAACAATATTTATTCAATATAGGTTTAGTGTTGATATACTGATTTAAATAAAATGGACTATTAAAATAACATTTTTTATTTGACATTCTCAAAATATTAATTGAAAGTTAAATTTAAGTTTATGTCAACAAAATATTTATTGATTTAACAAATTCATTTCTCTCAGTGTAGAAATTTGGAAATTTTCAGAAAAATGTTAATCTTGGTTTTAATTTGTTATTTGATTCAAAATGCCCACCACATTTAGAGTAATTAGACAAAAACTCGGTCTTTAATAGATTTTTTTTTCTATTCACAACAAGTTATTTGTAAAAAACATATTCCAATATAAGGCATTTTTTTAGCTAAACATAATGGTGATGAGGCACTTTTTGCCGATCACATTGGACGTGCTGTCGATCGCGACGAAGTCCATGAACGACAATAAAATAATGAATGAAATCAAATTTCTTCTCGGCGAAGTATCGAAACACGAATGCAATTCGGCGCGTGTTTTGAACGAGTTCCGTCAATTCCTCATGCAAATGATCTACAAAAATCCATCGAAAAGAATTTACAACAAGAGTGAAATGCATGCAAAGGCTTTCGAGTTGCTGAATAATATTTTAATCAACAACCCGCAACCGGTCAGCGATTCGATCGTTCAGGAGAGTTTCTATCCTGCTTGCGATGTGATTTTGAATTTGCCGGATGTCGACAATGATACTGTAGAGGTGTGTATTAATAATGATTGTATTAAAATAAATAATACTAAAACAACTTTCAGGCTGCTGTAGATCTCATAATAACGATGCTCATTAAAATGCCGTCCCAAATAAAAAGGCTGACCACGGAAAAGGGCGAATATTTGGCGGATTTCGTGCCGAAAATAATCTACGACCTACTGGACCCCGCCAAAACGGTCTGGACCGAAAGAAACGGCAAACTAGTTGTAACTAGCATTATCACCCTCACGGAAAAGATGGACCCGCATCTGGAGAGCATTTTGAAGTCTGTATTGAGTTGCGCGCTAGCCAAAAACGTGTCCAGAGCCGTTGAACCGCCTGCTTGGCTCACCTTCGCCTACATTTTCATGTACAAACCTGCAGATACTGTGAACTTTTTGAGCAGCATCCCAGGACCCACTGGGGGCAGTGCTCTGGCTTTTCTGATCGCCAAATGGAATCCCGACTATATCTATATGGTGGATGGCATTGAAAAAATCATTGTGTAAGTCTGCATTTGTTTTGAATGTTCCAAAATACGACAATATGCTTTTAATACTTTTTATTCAATTTGTTTTTTTACATCGTTTTTTGTCCCTCTGGATTATTTTCAGCCGGCGTTGGTTCTGGTCAAAAAAAATCTGTGACCTTTATAGGTAATTGACCTAAAGCCTTGTTTTTTTTTCGTTTTATTCAGAAATAAGAGGCTTTATATTGGTATCAAGAAACATAATTTATGTTTATTATATTTTGGCGTTAAGCTTAAAAAATCATATTTTTTATCAGACTTTGTAGTATTAATAAATAAATAGGCTTTGCTGTAAAAATACAAAATATTAGATATAATAACATTTAAAATTGGTAAAAAGTGAGGTTAACCATTTGACAGATGTCAGATTTTATTTATTTATTTTTGAAAATCATTTAATTAACTACTTATTGGAGTACATAAAGCAGTGATATAATGTATTGAGATACATGTATCTAGATACTGGATCTAGATACATTTTATGTACCTAGATACGTATCAAGATACTTAAAAAAATCAGGATCTACTTTAGTATCTAGATCCTTTTGAAAGTATCTAGATCCTTAGATACAAGATACATTTTATTTTGAATTTGTACTACAAATTTTGTAGTAAGCTTTCATATGGCGCGTAAATATAAAATTTATTTCCGTTTTTCATGGATATTTCGTCAATTTTATCAAAACAGTTTTATTTTATAGTTAACACGCTTGTTTATAAGGTCCAAAAAATTTTTTTTTGTCATTTAATTTTTAAGTTTTTTTAACATAGTATCTGGAAGTAACTTAGATATTTTTTGAATGTATCTGTATCTGTATCCAGATACATCTAATAATAATAATAATAATAATAATAATAATAATAATAATAATAATAATAATAAAAATCTTTATTGTATAAAGTGACATACATAAATACAAAAGGTGGAAGTTCAGTTTTCACTGTTCTTACACTTCAACCCAGCTTAAGACTAAATTTTACAAATTTAAACTTAACATTGCACATTTAACAAGTGACTTTTAAGCTTATGCTTAAGAGATATAGCTGAATTACATTGATTAAATAGATTAAAATAAATATTAAATATTGACGTGGCCATGTATTCAAAACTACTTTTAAATTTAGTAGTTTTATGAATAGGTACACTTAATAAAGATTTATTACGAACATTAACATTATGACACTGGCTCCTCTGAATTAAAAGACTAGACAAGTATAAGGGCACATTTGTTTTACAAATAGAGTAAACAAGTAAAACATACTGGCTATAAAATAAGTGGTCACATTTAAGTATCTTAAGTCTAACATAGTGTTCACTGACGTGATCCCTATGGTCAATGTTATATGCATATCGAAGACAGGAGTTTTGGAGTTTTTGAATATAACACTGAGTTGCTTTCGTTGCAAATGTAAAATAAACACTACTACAATAATTACAAGGACTTAGGATAAGACTAGTACATAACTTCCATTTAACATCACCCGACAAAAATGTTTTAAAATTGTAGATTGACTTAAACTTAAAATAGGCATTTCTTAAAATACTTTTTACATGGGATTCAAAACTTAAATCACAGTCTATTAAAACACCTAGGTTTTTAACACAGTTTTGAAATTGTATCACAGAGTTATTAACATAAATATCACAAGTTTTAAGCGCTAAAGCTTTCATTCGAGCATTTTTAGAGCCAATGCAAATGCTGACAGTCTTGTTTTGGTTGAGTAGCAGACCATTTTTGGTAGACCACATACTTATTTGCTGAAGATCTTTATTTAATTGTAGGACTGCAGAGTTAATAGCAGCTGGAGTAGTTGATTTATAGATTTGTGTATCATCTGCATACTGATGTGCTTCACTATATTTTACCACCTTACACAAGTCAGCAGTAAAAATTGAGAAAAGGAAGGGACCCAGTATGCTTTCCTGCGGAACTCCTTTAGACAATGATCGACGAGTTGACACATTACCATTTATTTCAACATACTGGACTCTGTTCTTGAGATAATCACAAAACCAGTTTATCACCATTGCATCAAAATTGTAATAATGCAGTTTAGCCAAAAGCAAATTATGATTAACTACATCAAAAGCCTTGCTGTAGTCAAGTAGCACCAATAGAGTAATCTCAGAATTATCTATGGCCCTGACAAAGTCATTTGTGATTTTTAGTAGCGCTGTGTTAGTACTATGTAATTTGCGAAAACCAGATTGATTTAAGGGTAGGATATATGTATTGGCATGTTGCACAGTTTGTTCGTGGACAATTTTTTCTAATATTTTTGACGCAATGGGAAGGATGCTGATTGGTCTGAGATCAGTGGGTCCTTCTGGCTTGGAATTTTTGGGAATAGGCCTAATTTTTGCAATTTTCCATTAATTGGGAACAATTCCATTTATTAAGGAGTAATTAATTAAAAAAGTTAATGGACTAAGGCAATATGGTATACAAAGTTTCCAGGCTTTTAGATTTACGCCATCACTTCCCTCAGCATTGGTATCAGAGAGTATCTGTATCGGTACCTAGATACTGAAAAAAATGTATCGGTTACATCACTGACATAAAGTATAGTTTTATACTCGAGATAATGCGCATTATTATTATTATTATTCACCCGGATGATTTAAGTCTCTCGAGACGCAAACCTCATCCTAGTGAATAATAGCCTGCATTATCTCTCGTATAATAATTTACTATTATTAATAAGGTCAAATAATAACTTAAATATTATATTTAAGTTATTAAGTAATTATATAATATATTATACCTAAAAAATATACAAAAAAGGTACATTACCTTAAAGGATTATCATTAGGTTTTATTGCTGTAAACTATGTTTACCTCTAGGTGGTAAAATGTAAAGGATTACAAATAGCTACATGATTTGTTTTAAGAAACTAATAATTTTTTAAAACAAGGAAAATGTTCATAACAAAATTTATTATTAAATTATTTTATAGTTAAGATTATTATAAGAGCGCTTTAAGAAGAGCGCAATCTATAGCTGCAATTTCAAATACAAAATGCTTTTATAAACCACTATAACTTTCTTAGAACCGTATGCAGAAACCTTGATTTATTTATATCAACTGATTTAGCATATCAGTGGATATAGGTTTTTGCACGACATGGCAACGTAGTAATTTTCTTTATTTTATAAAATAAATTGGGTAATTATTTTATTTTTTCCCTAAAAAAGTCGATTTCTATACATTGACATTATAAATTAGACATAAAACAATTAAAATGTCATAAAGATTTATTTGACATTTGTGACCATAGAAAAAGGATATAAGAAGTGCGCCCTCTGTGTTAAACGAGGGAAACACGTCTATCATGACTCCCCCTAGTTGATGGGCCGGACTCAGCTCATATTGATTTTGACATACCAGGGCCGGCTTTTAAATTTTTATTTTTTTATTTTAATAATTTTTAATTTTATTAAAAAAAAAACAAAATAGTGAAACATTTGTTTATTTACAATAAAAATCCTAATGCATTATGTGAAAAAATACAATTTTTAAAATATTCTGTGACTAAAAGTGTACAAACTATATACAATGATTACAATTGTAGAAAAAGGCTATATCATATTTTGTTTTTATAAATTTGAATATTGTACATTCCTAAAAATTGTCAAATATCAACATAAAATGTATCAGTCCTAAAAATCTTACAAAAAAAGAGTTAGTACAGGATCTAGTGGAATTAAAAACAAATTTAAGAATAAAAATACTACCCCTTAAAAATTTAAACAAAAAACTAATATTCTTAACTAAATAATATTATATGCATTATATATGTATATATTTTAAGTAAAAGTATGTAATTACAAAAATATAATGACAATAATATTATTTCCTTGCAAAAATATCTTTTATTAAGATATTAAAAAATAATGCATTACAAAAATTCAATTTAATGATTAACATATTTTGGAATTTTTATCATAGAAAACGTTGTATAATTTAAAGCCTATTCAATTTGATTGATTATAGTTTGTAGTTAACAGGAGTTAACTACTGAACAACATCTTGCAAAAGTATCTTCTTTCTTCAAATAAAGATTCTGTATACATGCTATAGCATGCAGTTTTTATTTACAAAAGTTACTATGCAACTCGAATACCAACGTTTTTCAATAGTAGATTGGGTCCCATTTGAAGTTATTAGCTTGGATTTATAAGAGTTGATTTGTATTGTAGATTGTTTATGTTCTCAGATTGGTTTACAGCAGATTTCATATTCCCACTTTAATTGTAGTTTGTATTGCATTTATGTAATTAAGATTTATGTTCTTAGGTTGGTTTTCCATATTTTCCTGATTCCAACTTTATTCAAAGATTTTGTTGAATTCATGCATGAATGTAAGTATGGTTTATGTTCTCAGGTTGGTGTCCCATGGCTTCCAACTTCCAACTTCGTTTTTAAACTATATGTCCTGGACCCAAAATATCATAAAACTTGAAATCACCAACTTTCTTTGTGGCACAAAGTTTGTGAAACCTTCTTTCAAGTAAAACTAAAAAAATATCATTATCATTAGTAAAATTTTAATATTAATAATAATAGTCATAATAAAAATATTACCCAATGCTAAATTTAATTCAAAATGTTTTTTCAAAGGTTTTACAAAAATGCACCAGCATTTTACTTATTTACTTAAAGCAGAACTAACTACCTATTCTTTGTCCTTAGTCATGAAAATCAACATAGTTAAAATAGTTCTGCTTTAAGAAAATTCATATTCTGTACAAGTACATAATGTAAATTAGGTACATTTATTAGATATAAAGGTTATAAAAGCCTTTTAATATGTAGGTAGATCTTTACAAAGTAGATTTAAAATGAAATTGAATATTATTAAAATATAATAATTAGTAAAACTTGGCTAATAATTTATTTATAATTTATTATTAATAAACTTATAATACCCATTTAATTTAACTAGACCTACATACAAACAAAAAACCTATAGGTACTATATTTAAAACTTGTCGGTTTTTTAGCCAAGCAGTTTAATTCGTCTTATTTTAAAAGTTATACCTACATACAAACATACATACCTGTATACCTACATTTAAACAAAATACTTACGTTTTCAAACTACATACATACATATATAACATAATATGTTATATATTATATGAAATATCAAACCCATAAGGCATAAAACTTGGAAACAATCTACTTTTTGGAAACAATATACTTTTTCTATGAAGAAAATGTACCATAAATTTGAACAAATCCTACTTAATAATAATAAACAGAACTTGCTTTGACAGTTAAACAATTATTGGTTTTACGACGTTGCCGAAAGTGGTACGTTTTGTTTTAATTACAGGTTACTGTAATCTGTGCACGAACTGGCAACGCATCGTGGGGGAGTCATGTTTCCAATTCCCCCGCTTATGTTTCACCCCCCTGTTTGTGACATTTGCTTTTAACCATAGAAAATAATTTCGCTAATATAAGTCATGGCTTACTACATTTGCCAGGATTTTGCTCAGGGGGGCAGGCAAGGGTAAACTATATGCATGCTACAAAAAGTTTCAAGACTCCACCCCCCATCCATTTTCTAGCACAATTTTTCAGGACATGCAATTTTTGAGAATAGCTCTCCTTTTGATTAAAAAAGTTTATTCTGAAGCTATAATTTATGTATATCAAGCATTACCTAACATATGATATCCTCTAGAGTTTGTTTCTTATTTTTTTGATATTCTTGTCACAAATTTTAAATGTCTTTTTTTCCTCTCGATGTCCAGCATCATTGCATTTATTTTTCAAAACATTTGCCTAAATGCCTAAAAAGGTGTTATTGTTGAAAACTGCGAACATAACCCAATTGTGTATGTTTTATATTGCCGCAATCCTCTTCAAACCAAGTTTTTGCCAATAATAAGGTTTAGTCAGTTATAAATGTATTTATATGTATACACATACATATTTAATAATACATTTTAAAAAGTATTACTCTTATAATGTAATAAACACATATTTAAGTATACGCTGTGACTAGAGGCACGCTAACGTGCCGCGATTTGAAATGTTAAAGGCACGTTAGTTACGTCATAAACCCAAACAATCCCAAACTCAACAACACAACCCAACCGACCCCGCCCCATTGGCCCCCCCCCGCCCCATTGAACAAAAAACCCAACTAAAATGGGCAAATTTATGTTACTATAAAAATAAAACACTTTTTAACAAAGGAACAACAAATTTATGAAATAAAAAAAGTTCGACAACTTCTAGTAGATTTTATGTTACGATAAAACTAAAACAAACCAACCAACCCAACCCAACCGAACACTGTTTAACAAAGAAACAACAAATTTATGAAATAAAAAAATAAAAAAAGTTCGACAACTTCTTAATATCGAATCCGGGACCTCTCGCATGCCAAGCGACCGCCCTACCATATGAGCTATCTAGCTTGATGTCAAATATTAAACGCTCGGGGAACAAAAACGGATTATAATTATGACGTAACTAACGTGCCTTTAATATTTTCAATCGCGGTACGTTAGCGTGCCTCTAGTCACTGTGTTAAGTATATGTAAGATAACCTACAAATCTTAACTGTAATTTAAAATTTGCTATGTTGCCAAATTGGTTCAAACTTGGACCGCTTAACCTATCCCTAGTTGTATAAAATTTTATGATTTTACAAGGTAGTATATTATTTAATATAACTTTATAAGTACAATTAATAAAATAATGTTACCAAACATACAATATTGTATTACATACATCTTTAATTTAAACCATACTTTTTTACATTTTTGTTATGTATTAGAAGTAACAGCCCAGGCAGAGAAAATTTCGTTAAAATCTAAAATCTTATTTTTTTTGTATTGCACACAGCTGTAGGTATCTTTTTTCAGATAAAATGTTTTTAACTTTTGCTTTCGGAGTCTTTTTTTCTATTATTTTTTTGATCAGATAAAGTTGACTTTTTGGACTTTTGGCTACCCCTTGTCAAATTCTAAAGCTGTATTAAGTTAATGAAATATTTTTTTTTGTCAGTGTGATGGCCATAATTCAAATAATCGCTTTTGCAATGGAAGAGACTAATGACAGATTTAAAGATGTCATCGTCCATCAGCGACTAGGAAGACCCTGCACTGGGGTCGAGTATCTCTACATGATACTCATACATACTGTTCTTGAAATTGAAACAAACGAGGTGAATGTAATGCTTGCAAAACTAAATGAAAATACTAATGTAATGTTTTTAGAATGCCAGACCAAAGATTCCATATGATGATCATCGCCTATTCAAAGCGGTGTTGCCTTTTATTGATGTGGATTTAGGGGCTCACATCAAGAACTTCCTTAAAAACCAAACCCAGCCGTTTTTTAACGCCGTTACCCAGTTTTTTACCGATAAAATTTCAAATTTGCAGGACATGGGTCTCCTCACTGGAAATTCAATGGAGTAGTTTCTTAACTCTAGTATTAATATTATGTGATTTTGCGAGGCTGTGTTTTTGTTCTGTTGTTTTTTGTTTGATGTTAAAGCCTTTATGTATATTGTTTAAATATACAACTGTTTGTATTTGAAAGTTTATATATTTTTGTACTACACTTTAATAAATAAAGCGACGTTTCTTAAGTAGTATTTATTTTATTTGCGGTTAATATGTGGTTTCTTGGCGAAATAACACAGTCAAATGCAGGTATTAAGGTACAGTTATAGTTTTTTTCAGTTAAATACAACATTTTATCATACAAAATTATGGTTTCTATTATGGGCGCCAGAAGTAATCTCATGGAATAAAAAAAAACGACGTTTTTCCAGGTTTGTTGAACTACATTTTCCATGTGTAATACTTCATGTTCAGGCAAGTTAATGCAATGTTTTCTTAGGGCTTTTTTACAAAACTCTGCCACAGTGAGGTTTTTTTCATACTTCACCCCACAGAGCTGTGAATGCCTCAAACTTACATCCACTGTCTCCAATATATTCTCTAAGGCAGCCCTATAAGCATGTATTTTTAAACAGTCATAATTACTCTCCTTAATTTTATTTGCGTGATTTTCTATGGAGTGACATGCCAATTCACAGCACAAATACGACAAAGTAAAATTATTGTTCCTACAAAACTTGCTTAGTGGAAATCCAGGGTTATTATTTGGAGGCAGGGTGAGTTTCATATAACAACAACTCACAATGTTAATAAAAACAGCATTGGGGCTTTCATGGAACAATCGTAGAAGAGTGGCACCTAAATTTCCGCACGGGTGTAAACCAATTATACCAAATGTAAAATCCTTAGATTTCACATTAAATGCTTCCCTTATGTAATGTGTAAATTCTTCTGCTGTCAGATCATTCTCTATTCTTTTATGAATGTGTTTAGTCTTATTTTGGCATTTATTTATTAACTTCTTTTTTTCTAACATCCTACTGAACTGGTTATCCAATACATACGCTTGATTTACTAAGTCATTGTTAGCTTCAAACGTACAAATGTTTAAACCATAGCTATGGGCAAGCATACGACTTAAATGTCCTAAACCAGAGCCAATATCAACAATATATTTGCAGTTTGTTAAAACAGCAGTTTCATAGCATTGTTTGGACATTATTTTAATTTCATGCCGTTTTTTTTCTTTTACATTTTTCCAGAAGAAATTTAAAAATATGCTACCTCCAGCCCAATTTATATTGACATTAGAACACTCTCGATTTATACTATGCATAACAATCAACTCTCTAAGGCACATTAAGGATAAAGGAAATACGTTACAGTTTAATTTATCTTTGATATCCAATATGTGTCCTATTTCCCTTAAATCAACCTTATTAAAATATGTTTTCCAGCTGTTGGGCAATTTTTCCCAATGATTTTCAACGTAAAAATCCGAAACATAACAATCAAGCAGCTGTTTGTACATCACATGGAGTTTATCACAAATTAATATAGACTTTTTTAAGCCGTCTTGCATTTTTACCATTCAATATTCTTGAAAAGGCGAATAAACGTGAAAAATACAGGTTGTTATTGAATAATTGAAGGTTATGTTTCTCCTGACAGTTTTGGCCAACTGCAAACAAATGTTACTAGATCTTGGCGGCAAATTTGTTTTTGGGGATTTTAAATTAAAAAAGGAGTATATTATAAATAGTGTATTGGCAAAAATTCGATAAAAATTTAATTAATCCTTGCTCCAACTTGGTTTTGCTATGGGTGGAGGAGCATCTCGTATATCTCCATATCTTCTAAACAACTCCACAACATATTCATGTCTGTATATACCAGGGGGTCTAAAAAAGTCTTGTTAAATGCATTATTACATTAAAAATTTAAAACATTACCTTAATTCCGCAAACAATCTAACAGCATCATCAACATAATAGTTTAATTTTTCAACTAAAAATGATACAATTAAAAATCCTGTACGGTTGTATCCATGGGTGCAATGTATCGCTATGCAACTGTAAGGGTTGTTCCATACAAATTTTTCAACAAGGTGAAAAAATTGGTTTACAAATCTAAATGTAGGCAGTGTACCATGGCCTTGGCAGGATAATTTTTTGTAGTCACAATTTTGGTTTTCAATTTCATCCCTCAAATAATATCTATCAGTGTTTGTTAAGTCTATCCATAATCCAAATTTAACCTAAATAAATAAATTTAAGTTAAAACTGAATAAAAACGGTGTAAGCGTTGAATGAAGTGTGTACTTACTTTATTTTTTTTAGCTAGATCAAATATATCCCTGGGGTGAAACCAATCATCAGGCCCCAACTTGCTATCAAAATTTGTACTTAAAGGCGTTTTTAAAGGCATAAACTTGCTTTCAATTAATCTTATACCATTGTTTGGACAACCCAACCATCCTTTTGGGACTTTATTTTTCGGAGCCATAACTGAATTAATATAAACAATTATAATACCTCTTTATTTAATTTATTACCATTATCAAAGTTTATGTTACTTTTTTCGTTTCGTTTCTTTTAAAAGCATTGTTTCCTATTATTTATGAACACATCAGATAGAGAACAAGCCAACATATGGTAAATCACAGAACACAGTAGTAAATTTAGGTTATGTAAAATGAGCAGTGTTGCCAACATTATAAATGCTAGATTGCAGATGAAAAATGACACAATAAATTATAGAAACCTGTAATTCCAAAATGAAACAAAAATTTGTTTCGAGCTAAAACTGGTTTTGGGCTTTAGATGGCGTTTATGCCAGATCTGGCCACATACTTGTGGAAGTATGTGGATCTGGCCACATACTTGTGGAAGTATGTGGATCTGGCCACATACTTACGTGTGGAAGTATGTGGATCTGGCCACAATGTGGATCTGGCCACAATGTGGATCTGGCCATATACTTACCACAAGTATATAATGAAGTTCGCAACACTAAAGATGGGATGCGGAAGAAGAAAATTTGACAGTTTTTTAAATGTCTTTGTTCCCAATGGTTTAAAATGGTCCATTTTACGAATTGTATAGTTTAGTTTAGTCAACTATAAAAAAATTTATAATAACAAAAGTTTGAAATTAAAAATTGTTATTTAACTAAACATATAATTTTTATTAACCTGGTGTTTATAGAATTGCTAGTTTTATAGGGTGCATAATTACAATTTTAATTACAATTATGCACCTCCCAAAAATGAATGCACCGTGATGATAAAAATCATCCCTACCAGTGCCGGTTTAAGTTATTTCGCCGCCCGGTTCTGGCACAAACACAACGCCCAATGCTTTAAAATATTACTTTTTTAAAAACATTTTTAAATTTTTAGGTCTTACTTTCTCACGTCAAGTGGAAGATTAGGTTGGTTAGGCTGGTATTTAACAGTAAACTTAGTATCCTATAAAATATAAAATGAGCCTTTATAAACAAATTATAAAAACTATTCAAAAGCACTAACTAAAAATTAAAACATTCTTTGGTTTATATAAACAATACTAAGTACTAAGAAAAACTAATTAAAAAATAAAAGTTTAATATTTTGTTTCATTAAACTAATAAAAACTAATCAAAAGTTATAAATAAATAAAACATTATTCTTTGGTTTAAATAAATATTGAGAAATTCTAATACTAATAATTAAAAGGTTGTTTTCAAGTCTTTATAGTAGCAAATTGTTTTATAACACTACATTTATTTCATCTAGCAGGTCTTGATAAATGGACAAAATTGCTAAGGAGTTAAATCTTTCTTGGGGAATTGTATTTCTTAGGTAGTTCTTTACCCTTTTTAGAGTAGAGAAAGATCGTTCACCACTTGCATTTGAAACCATTATAAAAAAAAATTCGCAGACAAATATTAATATTCGGAAATGAAGATATTAATTTATTTTCGTATAAAACTTATACTAATTCCAATGAAGTTTCTATTTTTATTTCCGAAAGGGAAGTTACCAGTTTCTTGAGTTGGACACATTTTTGAGGAAAAAACTCATCCAAATCCTCCACGAAGATTTATGCTTTTAGATTAAACAAAAATTCAAATTTGTTTGTGCCAGATATCTAGCTATCATATCGACAAATGATTTCGGATTATAGATTGTCAATTATTAAAATAAAACATATTGTTCGCATTGTTTCTTTTTTGCTTAAATTTGCCTCTGAATTATTTTCTTCAAATTGTAATTTTCTTATGATTATCCGCTTCAGAGCATAATTTTCGTTTACTGTTTATTTCCTCGTAATGATCAAAATGATCACGTAAAAAATCAAAATTTTGTTTTTGGACTGCTTTATTGGTTTCATTAACCCTTTGCAAAACGTCTATCCAAAAAGTTAAAATTATTCCGTTTCCATGCAATAAATCAAGTTTTTCTGATGGAGAAGCTGCTTCAACTCTAACAACATTTTTCTCATTTGTATCCGTTGTATCCGCCGACGCAATATTTTTTTTTCTAAATTCTAACGATTAAGTATTTTTTTTTAAATTATGGGCGGTACGCGGTACCGCCCTAAAAATATTTACCGCCCGGTGCTATAGTCCCCAAAAAACCCCTGTTAAACCGGCACTGATCCCTACCTTAAATTTGAAGACCAAAATGTAAAGAATTGGAGATAACATTGGTGATATGGTACCTACAAATAGGTACCTATTTGGTAAAGTAAAATGGGCATTTTTCAAAAACGCCATAAACTAAAAAAAACAATAAAAAAATAAATTTAAAACCAATTATTTTTTATCTTGAAAATTTCGTGGTTCACAAAAATTATGATAAATTTTGGCCTTTGACTTCTAATTTTTAATTGGATGGGCACATTAAAACATAATAATTAATCGTTTTAAAAAAGATATGTGAAGCAGTGCCCGCATTTTTTAATATAGACCTTGTGCTATATGTTTAATTTAAGCAACACATAAAAATAGGGAATTTTAATAAAAAATATTGTTTGTCCAAAAAATTTTTAGAATTTTAAATGTGCACATGTTCATACTTGAAATATTTTTTATTTAAATGAAAAAACGATTTTATTAAATGTAGGCCTCTACACCATTGATATCTACTTATTTAAAAACATTGATATTTATTTAAAAAATACACTTAATTTTATCACTACCACATAAATTATCTTCACTTTGGTTTAAACAAGCCATTTATTTTTATTGTGCATACCTACAACGAAAAAATATGAGGGTTAACGATTTTCAGAGAAAACCACATCCTAAGGATTCTGCAGGATTGATTTCATCATTTACTTTATGGTAAGTATTTTTTTGATTTTTAAATTAATTTTTGAGACACATTTTTTAAGGTTCCTAGTACCCTTACTAAGAAAGGCCTTCAAGAAAGACTTGCTCGAAAAAGACTTACCTGAAGTTCCAAAATTTCTAAAGACGAAAAAATGTGGGGATAATATGACAAAAATTTATAAAAATGTTGAAGGAAAGGTCAACAAACCATCGATTTTGTATGTAATATGGTCGAAATACAAGTACTATTATTTAATTTACTTATTGACTCCCTATTTGGGCATAAAAGCGTTCAGAAGGTATTTATTATAATACAATGTCTCCGAAAATTGGCGGGTAATGGTAAATTCTTTGGGAAATTCCAAGACGAAATTTGTTCGAATTCCCAAAATTGCAGGAGTTATTTAGTTTTTAAAGCGCAGTTTTGTTATACCTATATTTTTTTGTTTACAAAAGCTTTTGTCGTCTAGCCGCTGATAATAAAACAAAAACAAATTCGGTGCGTGTTGTCGCATCGCTGATAGAGCAGGAACACTGCGCTCTCATTGTTGGCCTTATATATTAAATAACTCATGCAATTTTGCGAATTCGAAAAAAGGTATAGGAAAATTCGTCTTGTAATTTAAAAAAAATTCACCTATACCCTTCGGGTCGCCAATTTTGGGACACATGTAAATTATCAATTTTTAGCATATTTCAACCACATTTAATAAGCAAATTCATATCATACTTCAAGGAAGACCAACATGACATAACTTTCGAAGAAGGTTTAAATTATAGTATAAAGTTAATTATGCTAGAAGTATTTTACCAATTTATAATGGGATACTACAACTTACACTCTACCAATTTTGCTGTCAAAATGAGGGTGTCGTTGTCATCGATGATTTTTAGAAAAATATTACGCCTAAAAAACTCATCCCTATTAAAAGCAGGCGAGGGTAACGTTATATCTCTTCTAACCAAGGATGTTGCAATATTTGAAAAAGGCTTGAAAGCCAGCGCTGATTGGTTCGTATCCATAATACAGCTCTTACTTACGTGCGTTTTATTGTACTTAAAAACGGGGCCTATAAGTTTACTGGGAATATCATTTTTATTTCTTGTGTTGAGTTTGGAAATATGCATTGGGAAATACATTTCTTACATTAGAGTTATTATTGATAATAAAACAGGGGAGAGGATAAAGGCGACAAAGGAAACGTTGGCGTCATTGAAGGTGATTAAAATGCTGTCATGGGAGAATTTTTTCCTGAAGAAAATTGCTCAACTTAGAAGGTATGTTGATTTCGTGAAAATATTGATGAAAATAAATAATATTTTAGAGTCGAAGTAAATAGCATGCTAAAAGATGCCTACGCCAAGTCGATGATTGTTGTGCTGGGGTCCCTATGTCCAGACATGATGATTTACATATTTGTCATGTCATTTGTTTATATGAATGTCAGTCTAGATGTTGAAGTGATTTTCTACATTATTAATTGTGTCAGATCTATGAAAATACTTATAAGCTTCCTTATACCTTTAAGTTTAGGATTTTTGGCCGACCTAAAAGGAAGCTTGTTTAGATTAAACAACTTTTTACAGTTGGATGAAATTGAGGAGAAATTTGATAAATTTACCGACAGTCCAAAAGTGCTATTACAAAATTTTTCTGTAAACATTTGTGATAAGGCGATAATAAAGAACGTTTCCTTGAATTTTCATAAAGGAATTACCAGCATTATGGGTATGTCAATGCAAAATATTTTTTACCGTGTAAATGTAATATTTTATTTTAACATGTTAGGCGTTAAGCTAGAATGCGATAAGATAAAATAATTAAGATAAAACGCAACAGAAATGTTACATTTTTTTAGACTGTTGTCATCTCATTAATGTTTATCTGCCCCACCAAAAAACAATCATACTACTCTTCACTCTCCTAGCTTTCCAAAGCTTCTAGACCCCGTAAGATCTCTCCTCACTCTCCTCTTCCTCCTTTCCAAGCTTTCAAAACCTTCTAGACCTCGAGAGATCTACAATCACATCATATATCTCTTCTTTCTCCCCTCCTAGCTTTCCAAACCTTCTAGACCTCGTAAGATCTCTCCTTACTCTCCTCTTCCTCCCCTCCAGCTTTCCAAACCTTCTAGACCTCGTCAGATATTTGCTGCATCTCGGACCTAGGATGTCGGTTTGGGCCCCTAACCTTTTGAGATGTTTCCATAGCCCGTGAAGCTTGACTTCTGCCTAAAAGCCAGACGAATCTGAGTTTGCTGGGGGTGTCCAAGATGCCCCTGGTCTGTCTGCAGCTGCCACTAGTCCTCCAGCCTTTCTTTTTGTCACTCTTTTAGGTTTAACTTGTCAAGAGCTTATCAAAATTTTAGCTTGTTTTTAGGTCCATATGGTTCGGGAAAAACATCGTTTCTACTGTCAATTTTACGGGAATACCCTCACGAGGGCTTTTTGATACGAAAAGGTCGAATATCCTACGCGAGTCAAAATCCTTGGTTATTCCCAGGCAGCATTAAAAACAACATATTATTTGGAGAGCAATACGATTCCAAAAAATACCACGATACGCTAAAAATTTGTCAGCTTAAAAACGATATAAAAAGTTTCGATAATTTTGACAATATGAATGTTGTTAATGGTGGGTTAAATTTGAGCAAAGGCCAGCAGGCTAGAATCGGTTTGGCTAGAGCGATATACAAGGATAGCGAAATTTATTTGATTGATGATTGTTTGGCATCTTTGGATAGCAAGATACAGGGCGATATTGTCAGTGGTTTGGTGGATTTTTTTAAAGGCAAAATTTGCATTATTGTTACACAAAACAATGAGTTAATCAGGAGATCAGATAAAACCTTGTTGGTTAAAGATGGTGAAGTTAATTATGTGGAACCTGAATCGGTTGATGATGATATTTTGAAGTTGTCTTCAAGATCAAAGAGTGAGGAAAATTTTGAGGATAATGATGATGATTATGCGGAAGATTCCAAGTTACTTGAAGAAGGGAATATATACGACGAAGTTCAGAAACAAGGGAATGTTCCTTTGAAATATTACTTGAAGTATATACAGTTTGGAAGAGGATACATCGTATTAATTTTGATAATCTTCATTTTTGGCCTTTCCCAATACGCTGAAAGTAACGCCACAAAAACCCTAACAAAATGGATCGATCTTGAACAAAATAAAAAATCAACTACAGCAAACACCACCTTCCTCGACCACGTCACTGAAGAATCCAGTGAAACAAACCAATTCTACTCAATCCTGTTATTTTCATCGATAGGATTAACGTTGATCAAGATATTTGTATTCTACGATTTCACCAAGACTGCTTGCATAAAAATTAACAAAGAATTAACGACGAAAATTCTAAACAGCACTCTAACTTTCACCGACACCCACTTGTTTGGCAGTATTTTGAACAGATTCTCTCAAGATATGAACAATGTTGATGAGCACATACCTTCAGTATTCTTGGATATATTTAGAGTAAGAAAAATCCTTATTTTTAAAGACTAGGTTAACAGGACTTGACAGGTATGGCTAGAAAGACAGCCAAGACTAGACAAGATTATAAGACAAGACCATAGCATTTTAGAGACCCTGATGATGACTATTTTTTTAGATGTTCAGTGCCTTAACTGGTATTATTATCATTGTGTGTATGGTGGACATCAAGTTGCTTATACCAATAGGCTGCCTATTGCTTATTATGTTTTTGTTGAGAAAATTTTATGTGCCTGCGGCAAGAAGCTTCATGAGATTGGAAACTTCGAGTAATAAATTTACTTTATTAATTTGTACTTTATACATTTTTGTTATTTTAGCTAGAAGCGCCTTTATTGGGCATCTGAACTCCACCATAGAAGGGATAGAAACGATTCGAGCTCATAACCATCAAAATCTAAATAATGCAATGTTTGAAGACTTTCACGATTTATACGCTTCCAGTCACTATACCATCATGTTGTTGCCGTGGTTTTATTCATTGTTCATGACTGTTACATGTTTGGTTTTTGTTTATTCAATTTTATGGGCATTTATGTTTATACTAAAAGGTATATCAGCGGGTAATATTGGCTTGGCATTGATTCAATTATTCTCCATAAGCAACGCCATCACAATGGCGTTTATGTCCATTACAAGTGGTGAGGTAGTGATGACTTCGTTCGAGAGGATCATGGAGTATACTGAACAAAAACAGGAGGATAATGAAGGTGTCACGGATGAAAATTGGCCGCAAAAAGCCTGCATTAGTTTTAGAAACGTGAACATGTCCTATGATAAAGTGAATATTTTGAGTAACATAAACCTGGATGTTGAGGATGGTGAGAAAGTTGGAATAATTGGAAGAACAGGTTCGGGCAAATCAACCCTAATATCACTTATAATGCGCTTATATCACTACGAAGGTACCATATTGATAGATAATAGAGATATCAAGACAATACCGCTAAATTGCCTACGAAAAAACATAGATATCATCCCGCAGAACCCCATATTGTTTTCGGGAAACATCAGGGACAACCTGGACCCCTTTAACGAACACACAGACGAAACAATATGGGAAACATTGGAAAAACTAAAAATCAAAAACTTCGTACAAGACATATACTGCGAAATAGACGCGTCGAAGCTCAGTGCTGGGGAAAAACAATTGATCTGCATGGCAAGAGCTATGCTAAGAAAAAGCAAAATAATTATAATGGATGAAGCCACCGCCAACATCGATTCCGATATGGGGATGTTTTTGAAGAACGTTTTGAACGAACATTTTGCGAAGAGTACCGTTATCAGTATAGCGCATAAAAGCAGTTGCATCAAGGGGTACGATAGGTTTTTCCAAATTGATTCAGGGCAACTAGCAGAGTGTAAAGTCAATAATTTTTAATATTAAATTAGTTTTTATTAAGATTTGTTTTATTTTTGATGATACCTACATTACACTGTTTAAAATATCTGTGGTGTAAAGAGTAATCTTAAAATGGTGTCAAAATCCAACACCAAGTGGTGTTAATATAACACCATGAATTATGGTTGAAAATGTTATATACAGCAAACAACAAAACGGTGTTTATCTAAAAATATTTGAGAAGTGCACCTACACAGAAAAAAAGGAATAGTTCATTTAACTATATTAATTTAGTTGACCCATAAGTATTTATTTTTGTATTTTTTTTATTTTTATCAACTGTGGGAAGGTTAATATAAACAAAGATTAGTCTGACGGTACTAAACCAGATAGTTATTTTTTTTTTAGATTGGTTAAATTAACCCAAAAAACTTTAGTGAAACCAACCCGCTGTATGGTTCAGTTTACTAAATATGTTGTTTGTAAAATAAGAGTTACTTCAACCTAAAGCACTCTGTTAAAACGATTAAAACAATTTGCCGTGCATTCCCGGTTTCATAGTGTGTAGGGCAATTCCATGCGTAATAGCGTAATTTTCTTCAAATTTATATTAATCGAAATGTTCCAAATGTTATTAAACTAGGAGCATACATGTCTACTTGTGCCTAGAAAATTATTACTTTATTTATTTAACCCAATATTCCATAAAATTTTAAATAATTATAAAGTCTTAACTGCTTTTGAATTCTGCACTAAAAATATGTTATGTCCCATGAGTTATCATATTAACCAATTTTTTTAAAACCTCACACAATCAAAGCAGTTAAGTTGAATGCTTTTTTAATACACTATAGGCAAAGTATATTTTTAAAATAAGATTATGTTTCATACAGTTTAGGATTCAGAGAAAAAGGTTGCTTCATTTAACCATTTTTTTAAAGAAAGTTTTTCGTGTCCCATGAGTTATCACACGTTTTGTCTGCATTTTGTCTAGAGATCAATTGGTAAACTTATTCAAAAATGTTAAAAATGTACATTGGCCTATCCTTTAAAGTTTAAACATTTTATACATTCCTAATAAATATAGGTATTCTGGTATACCAAGTTAAATTTTATTTCTGTCATCTGAATGTCCCGTGAGTTATCATGGAATTGCCATGTACCGATCGCGGCAAAGGCGGTGTGGATCACGTGATGTTCTTAAATCTCGCCTCTGTTGACTTACATGAAGAGTATATAAGCTCAGGTAGTCCTTTGCTTTGGTGTGACACTACAGGTTGTTCGATACTAAAGAGACCTTAAATAGGTGGAAACAGCTGTCAATACTTGAAGTATTTTAAGTTAGTGGAACGCACTTAAAACATTATCTCTATAGCGAGTTAAAGGTTCAATTTTCTGGAATAATACTACTGGTAATAATATTGTGTTGCCAATGGTGTTGACATAATTTACACACAGATTCTGTCAAAATTCCACAATTTTGCCAACTATTCCACACATTTGGGATTTTGGTTTTGTTAGGTTTCTTTGGTGATTACCGCAGAAAGAGTTTCTGAGGTGAATCACCACAAACACTCTTTCTGTGGTAATTACTGGTGATTACTTAAAGACGTTTTCAAAAACTTACTAGATTACTTACTTTGTCAAAAAGTCTATTGTTATAAACGGTTTTAAGTTACTCGATAACTTACGCTTGCAAGTTTACAAAAATACCAGATTTTTTTAATTTACTGTATATATAGAAATCTGCACAGAAATTCGTCCATATAACTCATATACCTATAACTAGTTATAACCTATATATAGGTATATGATATAACTAAATAACTAAAATGCGCATTTGCAAATGTATCTATTTAAATGCTTGTTATAAGCATTGTTAATTTAAAGATAAAGTTTACACGCAAATTCCACACATTTATGTATTACACACAAATTACACACAACAAAATAAATTCCACACAATGCGTGGATTTCCACGTACATTGGCAACACTGGGTAATATACTAGTAATGCGTCAAGGAACTTCCTGTTTCCTTTTTTTTTTCTTGTTTCTGTGTAGTATGATTTAATTTGACCAAAAACAAATAATATTTAACACTGAAAAGGAGTTCAACTTACACCAGGTAAAATTTATTTTAATACTGTGTGAAAGTTAAATTAACACTATTTTAGTATTTGAATTTACACCGGACCAACAAACCATATTTAACACCATTTTGGTTTGTATCGATATAGACCATGTATAGTGTTAATTTGGTGTTAAAATGGTCATGAAATTTTGAACAGTGTATGTACCAGCTTGGACCAGCCTTATGTCCCAGAATGGGACATCCTATAAGGACGGTTATAGGTCGACCTTTTGGGAAGAAATATTAATTTTATTTAGGTTGGTAAAATGGCCAATACGTTAAATAATTGCTACAAAAAATCCTAAAATTATAACTAATTAACGAAGTTATAAACAAATATAGTAGCAATACCTCTCACCGCTGCTTACGCATGTTCGATAACTATATATACCGATGTATATTTCTTAAAGGTAGAGATTTATTTCGACGATTTATAAATTGGGTAATAAAATTAGTGGTAAAGTTAAGTGGCAATAATTTTGATTTATTTCGTGAGATCGTCAATGCAGAGGGTGTATGTTGTGACGAAGAAAGGTGTGTGGAAGAGAAAGAGGGATAAAAAGAAATAATAAGAAAAAGTAAAGTATAGAACGGCATGGAATAGAATAAGAATGTTTAGGTATAATAGACGATTAGTTGTGACAGTAATGTAATAAATACACATTCTAAGTTAAATGAGTTCTTATTCTTGAGGGAGTTGGCAACAAGCGAACAAATGCGTCCTATGGGAAACATACGAACAGTCGATACCCGGCGCTGATTTTGTACATGATTGCTTTTTTTATATCGCGAAACAGGACACGTACAGTTACAAGATAACAGGGTCATTCCGAAACAACTAAAATGCTTGTCTCGGCTCGTTGCGCTCAAAAATAATGACAACAGATTTCATAATATGGAAATCCTACAACCGACGTCTTTCCTACTCCAGCTAAGCTCTGCCTTTTTATACCAACGTACTTACACCTTCTTGTTAGCTTTTATTATTCTGTCTTTCTTGTTTTACGCTTCAACTTTATATTTTTCACTTTATCCCATTTGCTAACGTACCACTAAAAATAACTAGCCATACATCCAAGCTTATTATTTAAAAAAAAAACAAGAAAATACATGGATACGTAGCCCGGATTTGTACTAGTGCACAAATCACTTTGATATAAAGCTTTATTAAAACATTAAAATCGATTATTCGGTGACTAATATTTCCATAATTAAATTAAAATGTGTCCAACTTTTAAATAAAAATAGTAAAGTACACTTTTGATGCCGTGTGATAATTTAATATCATTACACACATTTGTACTCGTAATAGTTTAAACGATTTAAAAAGATTATGTATCACGAAATGTGTACATTAATTTTATGAATATGAAAATTAAATGACTTTTCATAAATATTTATATAAATAGATATTTATGTATCAAGGCAGTAAAGTCGTATTTTTTATCACGAATGTGGAAATTATTAAACAACATTTTATAAAAGGCTCCAATCGACCTCCGCGACGGTGCTTTTTTTAATATTATTTAGTTGCTGCTGAGGAGCAGTAGACACATCTTAAAATGTATAATACTCGTATTAAATCGGCAGTAAAGTCCTTCTTTACTGCCCGTTTCTTTTACTTTACTGCCGATTGTTGACTACTTTACTGCCGATTTCGGATAAAATAATTTATACATATTTTTATTTATAAACATTGTTTTTTAATTTTTTTAATTCCCTAAATTAAATATTCAAGGTTTATTTTTATTTCATTGGAATGTTTTATTTACTAAGGTAACTCAATTTAAGATACAAGTAATACATTATACAGTGTGTATCAGCCAAATGGAATTAATACGATAATACATAAAGGAAGGCGTACTCCAAAAACCCAATTGGTATTTTTAGTTCCGCATTTTTTTAAATAAACTTTTTGTACAGGTTGTGTCATGTAGCAGGGACCAATACCAACTTTCTTATTTCAAATACAACACTCAAAAATTGTAGACATATTTTATCTACTATATCATATACCTAACTATAATCAACCATTTATCGTTCTTTAATGTTAATTTTTTAATATTTCCAAAAGAGTTGAAGATAGGTATAGGACATTATAAATATATTATGTCTACAATTTTCTGAAGAATCTATAAATTAAATAATATACAGGGTGTTGCATTTGAAATAAGAAAGTTGTTATTGGACACTGCTTCAGGTCACACCCTGTACAAAAAAATTTTGTTGAAAAAAATGCGTAACTAAAAATACCAATCGAACAAAGTTCTATAATAATTTTATATTTTTTACTTAAGATTGTCGTCATTTTATATTCTCTCATTTAAATATTTTTTATTTTAGCTTGCCATTATTTAAGCACGTATTAATTTAAGCTTGTTGTCATTTTAGGTAGTCCTCATTTAAGGTTGCCTCCTTTTTTGCATGTCTTCATTTGAGCTTGTCATCATTTTAAATTTTGCCTATTAGTCATTTTTGCTTGTCCTTTTTTTAGTATGTCTTCATTAAGCATGTCTTTATTTTAGCTTGTTGTCATTTTATCTTGTCATAATTTTAAATTTTGCATATTTATTTTAGCTTGTCTACTTTTTAGCTTGTCATAATTTTAAATTTTGCTCATTTTAGCCTTCGTCGTTTTAGCGTGTTCTTTTTTTAGGATGTCTTCATTTAGCTTGTCCTTATTTAAGCTTGTCCTTATTTTAGCAAGCATTCATTTTAGCTTGTTTACTTTTTAGGTTGTTGCCCTTTTAGCTCGTCCTTCCTTAAGCTTGCCTGATTTTTAGCATGTCTTTATTTTAGCTTGTCATTATTTTAAAATTTGCTCATTAAAGCCTTCTTCATTTTTGCTTTTCCTTTTTTTAGTATGTCATCCTTTAGCTTGTCGTCATTTTAGATTT